TCGGCACAGCTGCGCGATCCTCCCCTACAGCAAACCAGGGGGAAGAGGAGAGCCGCAGTTTCGTCGCTCGCTACTTTGCCGCTCGCCGGGCTTGGGGGAGTCGCGAGGGGGGGAGCGTGCTGAATGTCACCCCCTTCAGGATGACACCCAGGGCGTACCATACCCCCCATACCCCTCCCTACGGCCCTGGCCCAGATGTGTGTACAGTGGTACCTCAGGTTACAGACACCTCGGGTTACAGACACTTTAGGTTACAGACTTCGCCAACCCAGAAATAGTACCTCGGGTTAAGAACTTTACCTCAGGATGAGAACAGAAATCGTGCAGCGGCAGCACAGCGACAGTGGGAGACCCCATTAGCTAAAGTGGTACCTCAGCTTAAGTATGGTTTCAGGTTAAGAACGGGCCTTTCGGAACGAATTAAGTTCGTAACCAGAGGTACCACTGTACTGTGGTGTTTACAGATGAATGCCCATGCATTAAGTCTTCACAGGAAGCGCTACTGTAACACACCATATACAACATTGTTGAAACACAAGCCGAAAGCACGGAGTTTCTCTAAGACAATGTGTGCTTTTAATTCCATTTTGTTATGTAAGTTTGCTGTTCAAAAGTTTGCAGAATATTATTTGCTTTTGTGCCTTCCTCGTATCTACTGGTCAGATATTTTGCAAGAAATTGATCAGTCCAGCTTATTATGTTCTCTCCCCCATTTATAATACAATACAATTGTATTTGTATTATAATTTGGCATTATAATGAGGCTACTATTGGACCGTAATCGAAAACTAATAAAAATTATTATATATAAAAATATGTTTTCTTCCCAGCAGCATTATTGTTATGGGAATTTTTTGGATGGTATCATTACTAGCCTTAGGAGTTCCTGATATAGCATTGGCACAGTCCTCACAGCCAGATGAACTGCACCTTGAAGTTGCATGTAGTAACTGGTATAGATGAATTATGGTTTGGAAGGATATTTATATTCCATAATTTGCTTACTGTGTTATGTTTCCTTTCCTTTCGGTTCTATCTTGTGTTCCATCTCTTCCATGCTGAACTATGAAACCCTATACACTAAGCACCTGGAGCATTTATTATTCCACCTACTTTTGACTTTAGAGCTCTAGACTCTCCTAGCACTGGCAGGTGATCCTGGAATGCAGCTCTGGGACTGAACATTGTTATTCACCCCTGCTTTTGACCAAAAGGGGATTGCAACTTGTTTAAACTACTGATAGTCCTCTGGTAGAGATCCCTACTCAGCCAATAGTTCTCTGGGGAAAGGGCAGCTTATGTCTGTGGTAAAGATACACCCAAGGAGGATACCTTTATAAACATCTTTATTTTTGTGCTTTATGTTTTCCACATCCCTCAAAATGGTTCTGAAGCATTTATTGTGCAGGGTCTTCATCAGAACAGAACAGATAAATCTGAAAATTCCACAGGGCCACGTTATTTTGAGGCCGACTATATCACTCTATCACCTGCATGTTAGCTTAATAGCTCTTCACATCCATCTTTCAGGTTTTCTTTTCTCCAAGTCCATACGCTTTGGCTCTCTAGTTTCCCTTGTGAGCTAATGATTAAATTACACCATGCCCAGACTATTACTAGAACAAAATACATAAATCTTGTGACCATCTTTTACAGTTTCACTGCTTGTAAGTTCTTAGCAGGTAATAAAATGTTGCTTAGGAAGCAAGTATGATGCTATATATCTACTTAGTAGCAGTCTGGGGGGCTGTTAAAATGGATATAGATTATTAGGCTCACTGTTCTGCAGCCCCGGTGGAAGCAATTACCCTTAGTATTTATTCAGGTGATTTTCTCTCTCTCTCTCTCTCTCCGTTAATTATTCCATAGTCTGATATAATTATTCAGCAGTGTCATTTACACTTCTTATTTCTTGCTCCAGAAGCAATGTGTTCAAAGTTATGGAAAACTCATTTCACTGTAGAGAGAGAGAAAAGGCTGCAGAATTTAGCTGCAATCCTGCAGCAAGGTGACACAAAATCTTTAGATAGTCTGAAGCCACACAGTGCCACCTCCTTGCTAAAGCTAACCAAATCTGTGTCTAGTCACTTTCTGAATTGGAGACCTCCTAAGGACTATATGTGTGTCACCTTAGGTGAAGAAGATGGACTATGGATGGAAGATGGTGCAAATAAATAGTTCAGGAAGAATGGATACTCCCTATGCACTGAGCTCTGTAAATCTTCCTCTGTTGTGCAAATTATCATGTATGGGGGACAATAGGCAGCTGCAGTTGTACCTTGGTTTTTGAACGCTTTGGTACTTGTACATTTTGGCTCCTGAATGCCACAAACCCAGAAGTGAGTGTTCCAGTTTGCAAACATTCTTTGATACCCAAACACCCAAAGCAGCTTACACAGCTTCTGATTGAGTGCAGGAAGCTCCTGCTGCAAATCAGAAGCCGAGCCTTGGTTTTCGAATGTTTTCGGAAGTCGAACGGACTTCTGGAATGGATTACGTTCCAGAACCAAGGTACGACCGTACTTTATATCAAGTCAGATTGTTTGCACATCTAGCTCACATCTATTCTCCACTCTAGCTAGCAGCAGGTCTTCAGGAACTCGGGCTTTCCCATCACCTGATCATTTTAACTGGCAACTACAAAAATATAATTTAGGACCTTCTGCATGCAAAGAGCTGTCACTGAGCTACATTCCCTTCTTCTGAAAGATCTAGTGGTCAAGGCTGTCAAGTGCAGAGATACAGTTTGATTGTTGGTACTGTTGGATGTTGTGCCACACCATGCACCAAATCTTATGGCTTTGTTCCTCACCAGTTCCCCACTTATGTTCCTGCCTCCTTGGGAGAAGATGCTCTAGAGTTTAGTAGCTGCATCTCTGAATGTGGCTGCGTATGTGATGCTCTGTTGCAGAATGTCATCTTCCCTTACATTCTTTATTCTCAGAGTAGAAAACTGTTCCTGTGCTGGTCCAGAGATCCAGATGTGCTTAGCTGTGCATGCAGACTTCCTGCATAGCAGACTTGCTCTGCTCATTGAATACAGAAACTTAACCCCTTATGCACATTGCCTTTATGAATGTGGATTGGGGGCCGATGTTGAAAAAGAATGAGGAATCTTTTTGTTTGCCCCAGAGCAAGAAATGGTAAGGAAATTTGCAGAAGGAAGCACAGTGAAGCGGTGCTAGTCTTAAAACAACAGTAGCCCCCAACACTCCCAGCTTCAGCATCTCAGGAGCCCCCCCCCAAAAAAAACCCACTTCATTGAACCACTCAAAAAGCTTAGAACTTTTTCAAGTTCTTATTATACAGCCTCCTCCTTTCAGCCTCTACCCTGTGGGAGCCAGTGTGGTGTAGTGGTTAAGAGCGGTAGTCTCGTAATCTGGGGAACCAGGTTCGCATCTCCGCTCCTCCACATGCAGCTGCTGGGTGACCTTGGGCTAGTCACACTTCTTTGAAGTCTCTCAGCCCCACTCACCTCACAGAGTGTTTGTTGTGGGGGAGGAAGGGAAAGGAGAATGTTAGCCGCTTTGAGACTCCTGAAGGGGAGTGAAAGGCGGGATATCAAATCCAAACTCTTCTTCTTCTTAAATGTGGCTTCCTTTATCTTCTGCAGTGAACTTTGAATAAAGATGGGCCATTAATGACTCTTAAGGAAACCTCTAACATTTCTCACCAATCTGCTGACTTTACAAGAACTTAGGAGGAGTAGGCGAGACATTTGATTGGCACTCTGAACATTATCGCCCACACGAGGCTTTTGCAGCTGGGATCAGAGTTCCTTCCTTAATAATTGATTGCTGGGTTGGAATGTTTTTGTTCTGAAGCTTGGGGTGTTTCCAAGGAGCTCTTCAGCATCCATCTAAGCACCTTGACTCCAGTTATTTCCATTTTCCTTGGCACACACTGACTATGCAGGCAGCCAGGGCTAGAAAGTTCTAGTTTGTATTTTATTACCTTGGTTTATATTAGACAATGAGGTACTCTTGTTAGGTATGCATACCAGCGTGAGAACATGCAGATGCATTTCTCACCTTGCAATTCATAACTTACTCAAGGCATCCATAAGCTCACGAGCTCAGTCACAGTAAAGCTTCACACTTAAAACATCTTCACTGCTGGTCAACCCGTTAATAGCTGTTAGTATAGTTTAAGGGTAGAAAACTTCCACCGGAGGTATGTGCAGGAACTCTACATCCAACTCTTTGATGCTCATCGAGACCTTTCCTTCTCTTTGTTGTCGTGCAAAGGGGGAAAGACCTCTGGGTATAATTTGACCCTTAAGAGGATTCTCAATTACTGGTAGGTCTCAGTGTTCAGTCTTGGGTAAGCTCTCAATGGGTTTGTTTTGTAGGTCCAGGACGTGGTCTTACTTTGTGGGATGCTCAGGCTTCTCCAATAGCCTCCTTAGCTTTTCTTCCTTTCTTCCTTCTTTCCTTGGTTTCCAATGCCCCTTTTTATTCTCCATTTTTGTTGAGTTTGATTCAGGGATTGGAGAGAGGAATGTATTATTTTTTTACTATTAATTTCAAGACTAAAACGTTATACTGAAAACTGGAACACTAACCCTACTTCGAATGCATCCTACACTCCAGTTTTGATGAATGGGGAACTTTGGTTCTTAAATCATCATCATCATCATCATCAATGAGCAGTTTCTGTCTGTGAGTAGTACAGAGGGATTCATTGCCCGGTGTACATGCCAGGATACTGGAGGCTCACAGTTGCCGAATTGTTACTGGCTGTGCCTCACTGGCTCATGCTGTGGAGGTTCAGTCTCACATTTTGTGACTTTTGTGTCTGACAGCATAGAGTGGCATGGGGAGAGAGGGATTGTCCCATCACTGAATGAGGATTGGCTCCATCTGCACCTGGCAACTGTTGACATAGGGCTCCATGATTGGTGGGGGCGTTGGCAGTCTTACCACAGATGCTGGCAGTGCGCTTGGTAAAGGTGCTCTGTTCTGTGTCTCTTGTGTTACCTTTGATTTCTTCTTTGTTTTGTGGAGGATAGGGGAGTATAAGTTATACTAAGACTGTGTACACACACGACCTTGAAATCACATTTGAAGCACCTAAGGGCTGCCGGGAACTCTGTGAGGGGTAAACTGCAGTGCCCAGAATTCTCTGAGAGGAAAAATGTCCTTCAAGTGTGATTTCAAGGCGGAGTGTGTATACTGCATCATGCCAGTGTTATGTCAGTGTAAGTGGCCCTCTCATGTGCCAAGACCATAGGATTGCCTGGTTAATGTGTAATTAATGTTGTCAAATCTTGTTCATTACGCAAGTTCTTAAAAGATGCAGAAACTAAAAAAAAATCAAAACCTTCAAATACTCACCTAGTAACATCAGTAAGAAGGTAGAACCTGTTTATGGAATAAAGTACTGATACTTACAAGCATGCAGATGCAGATTGAGATTAATGAGGAGGTATTTAATGCTGTGAGCAACTGTAAATCTGATTTCATATACAGTTTGACAATGAATAAAGTTTTGTACAAGTTATTGCTTGCACCAACACTCTTGTCAAATGCTTTCAGGCTAGCCAAAAAACAAATGCTACAAATGATGAGCATTTGAATGTATGAAATGATAAAATTTTCTTCACATAAGATATTTTAATTTTGCTTCTTCAGGTGCTAATAGTTTGACATGGTATTGCTGCTCCCTTGATTACTTCCTGCCAGAAGTGGCCTGTCCAAGCCACTTCTCACATGCTTGGTGCCTTGTTTTGATCCAACAGAAGACACTTGTGGAATATCCTCTTATTTTGTGAGGGAGTGGAAGGCAGGCCAAATTACAAGAGGGCAGGACCAGCATTATCATTAGGCGGAGTGAGGCAGCTGATGTTGGGGGATGAGGAGACGGACATAGGTTTATTGGGGGGGGGGCTGAAGTGTTGGAGAACAGCCCTGTGTGTGGCACATGACTTATATCTCTCCCCCTACGCCTAAGTGAGACTGGCGTCTTGTCTACCTTAAAAAGATAACGGACCCCTGACAGTTAAGTCCAGTCGCAAACGACTCTGGGTTGCGGCACTCATCTCGCTTTACTGGCCAAGGGAGCCGACGTTTGTCCACAGACAGTTTTTCTGGGTCATGACTAAGCTGCTTCTGGCGAACCAGAGCAGCGCACGGAAACGTCGTTTACCTTCCCGCCAGAGCGGTACCTATTTATCTACTTGCACTTTGACATGCTTTTGAACTGCTAGGTTGGCAGGAGCAAACAACGGGAGCTCACCCCATTGCGGGGATTCGAACTGCCGAACTTCCGATCGGCCAGCCCTAGGCTCAGTGCTTTAGACTACAACGCCACCCATGTCCCTTGTCTATCTTAGGGTGAAGTAAAATTCAACTGCCTGCCTGGTTTGCCTCCGTTTGCTGCCTGGTTTTCTTTGGCCACAAACAGCAAAATATTTTGGGCCAGTCCTGCTTGCTTCCCACAGAAATTGGGTTGATTGAATATGGCCTAGTTAGCGGTGTCTGTGAAATCACTGTTCTCCATTTAGCATTGCTCATAGCCCTTTTGGTGAGTGATTGTGGTGATTCTCTTAAGTCTCAGGTGGGATTTAAAATAAAGATTCTGCATTTAAATATTCTGCAGCTTGGTTTGTGTGTGTGTGTTTTTAAGGGCTTTGTCTCCATGTGCCAGAGTTCGTTTAATGAAGATAATGAATTTTCTGGGAGTTGCCTTTAGCCTGTGTTTCTTCAAAGAGTGTCTGGTGCTTGCACGCTTGGCAGAATGTGGCAAAGAGTCTTTCCTGGTGCAAAGTGGCAGAGCTATTTTGATTTCCATGGAAATCTGTTTCATAGTTGCTGAGCACCTCAGCCTTCCCCGCACAAGTATGCTTTCAGAGGCCATTTATTTATACTGTAAGGTGCCCTTGGTTCTGAGAATATACCATGCTGGCTTGGCAGATGCACAACACAGCCCAGCTAGCATGTCTGCCATTATTAATCTGAGCCGGAGCTCAGTCAAGGAAACCAGCCAAAGGAATCCCCAAATAAGTTTTTCTTCCCTAGCTGTTGATGCTTTCCTCCTGCCTGTTTCTTCTCAACTGGAAGAAGTATTCATCCCTGTCCCACTGAAGTTTATTTACACTGCAAAATCTGTAGTTCTAAAGCTAAATTTTAAAATGACATGCCGTGTGGTTTCCACCTTCTTTGGAGTATGCAAAGAATTGTAAGCTTTGTGGCTGTGCAAACAACTCCTGCGGAATTCAAATGACTCCATAATTTTTAAAGCAGCACACTTCTCTCCAACTCCTTATGCAGTACCAGAAGTAATCTCATTAACAGTTCCGCATAAAAACTGTAACTTTTACACTTCCAACTACATTGACTAGGCTTTGTTCCCATAAGCTCCTTGCTGTAATCAGATTTGTTGGGGAAGATGCACTTACCTTCTTTGCTGGAAGAAGCCAATTAAGCAAAATTAATAACCCTAACCATTTGGGGGGGGGGCAGGCATCTCCAGTAGCTTTGAGCACCATTGACCTAAATTTATCCTCACTTAGGACTTATCCACACTTCCCCATGTATCTGAGGGAAAACCACTCTTTAACACTCAATCAGAGCAAACAGCAATTTGGGTGGTCCCCCCCCCCGAATTATTATTTGTTCTGATTTATCAATAAAGAGCAGGTTTTCCCTTGGAAAAGGACTGGGGCAAGAAGAAACCACTCAGACCCATGCCTAGAAAGTTCAGGTCAAGTGAAAATCATTCTGTCCTGCACATTCAAGGCATAGCACAAGCGGAGGTTTGGATGAGCCCTTATATTTCCTGTAATCCCTTACCATTGACTGGGATGTTTTCTTGAGACAGGGATAGAAAAGGCCTGAGTCACCCTGAGCTGAAATGGACACTGTTACATGCTACAAGTTTCATGTGACAATTTTGGCAAGGGTAACACAACATGTTGGAGAGAAAGAGCATCTGATTCTCCAGATGATTTCAATATATATCTGGATTTTTTGTAAATTTGTTGAACATATCCAAAGAAGTCTGGATGAAATCTGTCTGTCTAATCTATACACACACCCAGGCCCATTTTACCCACAGAGGCTAGTGGCGCAGGGCAGCAGGGCACCAAGTTCTGGAGGGTGCCAGGCGAGAGCACAGGGAACACTGAACAAGCACGCTGAGTGCACCGCTCGGGTTTTTCCCTTTTAGCCTGCAGGCGCCGAATTCTGCGGGGTGGCAGAAGGCTTGGCGGGAGCGGTGCACACACCCTCGTTCGCTCAGCGCAGGCCTGCTCGCTTGGCGTGCTGCCTGCTGTGGTCAGCTGAGCTGGGAAGCACCACGTCCAGCTTCCACCTCTTCTCCACCGGAGGAGCTGCCCTCCAGCCACTGCCAGCCTCCTCCAGCCCTAAAAAAAGGTCAACAACTCTGGGAAAGTGTGGGCGCCGGAGGGATCTTTGCACCCCGGCACCGGATATGCTTAAGATGGCCTTGCACACACCTTTATTAAATACAATGAAAGTGTCAGAAAATAGTGCACATGTTTTGCAGTTCCCCAGATCTCCTTACCAATCTTTATGTTAAAAAAAACAAGGTGTGGAAAAAAGCCATTTTTTTCAGTAAAAAAGAAAGCATTTTACTGGTTATTGATGATTAGTATTGGTGTTACTCTAGTGGAATTGGATTTTATTGCTTTGATTCCTCTGCAGTTTACATGAAATCTATAAATTTGATTTAAATACTAGCTGGCACTGCAACATTAATTACTTATGGTTGTGATTATCTGTGAACAGACTCTTGCTACCATCTACACTTCTAGTCAGATGCATAAGTGTTAGACAGTATTTGCTTAATTAATCTAGAATCACAAAGCAGTCTTGGTTCAATCCAGTTATGTTTTGGAGAAAAATCAGGCTCATTTCCCCCCAGTTTAAAATGTATACCTTTCAGTCTATAGTTTCTGAGACAGTATGTTCAGCTTGTTTCTAAATTAATTTCTTAAATCTTGCCTTCCCCCTATGTATGCCACAGCAAGAGTCATCCATAAGAGCCATCATGGGCAAATGGCAACCTGCTTAGAAAGAGACATTCTTCCCAACTCGGTTTCAGAGTGAATTGTTCCCCCTGTACGTTTATTCTTATTATATCCACAATCACAATGGCTGCAGGGTGGAACTGTTTAGAAGAGAGCCATAATTCCTTAAGAACTTGAAAATGCTAAGGACACACCAAACCTCCTGATACCTGCTGACGGGAAGAAGCGTGTAAGTTTTTGCAGGTGTCCCCATCCCCTGACCTCTGCTCTGCCAGTATGGGAAGCATTTGCCACTGCGGAGGCCGCTGATACTTTAAAGCATGACCAACTGAACACCACTGGCAGCTGTGTTCCTGCTGGTCTTGGCCAATGTGGTGCCTCAAAATGGAGCATTATGGTTGGAGAGGGCTGGGCACGAATCTACTAGATCATAAGTCAGTCCATTACCTGGAGAAGTGCCTGATTCAGATTTGTTGTCTGCAAGCCAATGTTCCTGCTATGCAGCAGAAATGGCAGGAAAACTGCCCTCACTTTCTAACATGGCTAGCCTAAAGAATTAAAAATGTTACCCTAAGGAAAATAGCTTTGGATAAAATGGTCTGACCTTCTCTGTGACTATCCCACCCCGCTCTGCCACCACCTTCTTAAATTCTGTCAATTTGCTTATATCGTGCAAGAGGAGCAGAACGAACAACAGCTTTGTGGCTTTAAGGAGACCATTTACAGAATCTCAAGGCATCAACATTAGAGCCTCTGGGATTTAGTAAGGCCTCGCGCTCTTTGCAGCTTGCTCCATGGACTGTATACACTTAGTGCCAGTTGGCTGATGGATGGCATGGGAAGCTGTATAAATATTTCCCAACTTTTTGTGCATTAGATTAAACATGATAGGTGAAGGGAGGGCTTTTTGTTCTGAGCTGCAATACTTCATAGGAGAAGAAAAGAAAACCCTTCATCTCTAAGGCTATGTCCAGAACCTAATCATCATTGAATATATCGCATTATCTCTTGAGACCAATGTTTTTATTTTCAAAATAAAGGACATGCTAGGGTACTTGCAGAATTTCTCTTCAAGCTAGTATCCTAAAACCATCTGTTACAGCAGGATGTAACAAAGTGAGAATAGATTAAATAAAGAAAGAGGAGGAGGAGGGACTTGCTGGAAGGCCTCCAGTCTAATTATTTTAAATGGAAAAGAACGCACAAGATACTATTTTTGCAGAACCACAAGAACACATTTTTAATAGAAGTGTACTCCCAGGGATTGGTCTGTGGGAAAAGTTGTAACAAATCATCTCCCACCATTGTACTGCCAGGCAGACTAAAAAGCAAATAAACAAAAGCTTCCTTTCCTTTTATAGAAAATTTCAGCTGTTTATGAGGTTGCTGTTCTTTCACTCCTCAAACGCCACAAGGTCCATATTAGTGGGCAAGGACGTGGTGAACCAAATATTCCTGGTCATTTTCAACTAAGTTTTTGTCAGAGTTACAACCATTTAAATTAATGAACATGACTAAATTAGGTCCATTCATTTCAGTGGTTCTGCTCTGAGAAAAACTTAGTTGAATACCAACCTCTATATCCGGACATAATAGACTTTTGGAAAAGTCAGTCTTTTTTCTTCAAAGCAGATTTCTAGTGACCAAATGCAGTGTTAATTTGTTTTAAATTTCATCAGTGGACATGGCTCAATGCTTTTAATGTCTAATATCTAAAGGGGTATTTTAATTGTTTTATTTAAAACATGTGCATCAATCCTATGCACACCTACTCATAAGTAAGCCTCAGCCCTCCAGAACTGATTGGCAGGGTACACATGGGGCTGAAGGAGGCAGTGGAGGAAGAGGGAGTTTCATTGCTTGCATGGAAATCCCTTGCTCCAACAGAGCTACAATGTTGGATATGGTTCATTTTTCTCATTTAACATTTTTAGGTCCATTACAAAGAATAAAAGAACAGTTGACTACCAAATCATTCTGACTTAACAGAAAAGGATCTGGGTGCAAAAGTAGGAAAGGAATCCCTTGCTTGCTTATTTATTTAGAGAACCTATGGTTCACCTACCGTACAGAGCAGGGTTATCCAAATTCTGGTCCACAGACGATGCACTTCATTCATGTGGTTCACAGCATGTTTACATTAAATATTCATATTTATTTTTATTGTCTTTCTATTGTTTCTTTTAGTTCTTATATTGTATTGCTTTACAACTGGCATTTCATAGAATTCAAACAGCAATACAATAAAATACAATATAAGAAATAAAAGAAGCAATAAAAAGACAATAGAAAATACATGGCATCTACCATAGCACATTACATTTGCAACATCAGGCAGAAAAATCATTATGTGTTCTACTAAGACCATCAGCAGTTTTCAAATGGGCCATGAGGGAAAAGTTTGGGAACCATTTTTCTAGACAGGGAAGAGAAATATACAATTCAAACATCAATAAAATGATCTGAGGGAGGTAATAAACAGATTAAAAGCACAGCTACCAATATAAAAGAAAGCAGGCATGCCTTGCAGGAACTGCCCAAACAGGTTACACATGGATTCCCATCTAGATGCTAGTTGGCTTACCTTTTGTTGTTCTATTACAGTTATCAACAGAAGGTGAATATGCACCACCAGATTCTCAGTCAAGAGAGTCAGTTTGGTTCCTATAGGCCAGATCCAGATTCTAAGTGTTTGTAGAATGAAGCTTGGCAACTGTCCTTGTTGACTGTCAAAGCTAGAATTTTTATTAGGCTGTGCTTGTCTGTATCATTCCTGAGTTCTTTTCAAAAGGTTTGTTATCACAGCAAGCACAGAAAATTTAAAATGTAGGTTTCTGAGTGCAAAAGAAACACTACCATATATACAGTGGTACCTCAGGTTAAGTACTTAATTCGTTCCGGAGGTCTGTTCTTAACCTGAAACTGTTCTTAACCTGAAGCACCACTTTAGCTAATGGGGCCTCCTGCTGCAGCCACACTGCCAGAGCACGATTTCTGTTCTCATCCTGAAGCAAAGTTCTTAACCTGAAGCACTTTTTCTGGGTTAGCGGAGTCTGTAACCTGAAGTGTATGTAACCTGAGGTACCACTGTACATAGTTTGCCTATATCCCTCTGTCCTCTGAAGAGCTGACTGGTCGTTCTGAAACACATAGAACTGGAAACCTGGTAAATGAAAAATAAATGAAGGAGTTTGTGTCATTTGCATAACAGAGGTTGAGCAGCTGTCACACTAGACTAAGGGCTTGTCCACACCTCTGCTTGTCCCATGCCTTGAAAGCATGGGTTCGAGACGATTTGCCTTTGCCCCATCACTTGCCCCCCTCCAAATCCACAGAAATCCCAATTGCCATTTGTTCCAATCCATTGCTAAAGATCGGGGTTCCCCAGGGGAAAGTGGTGAGGCAAATGGGTATGTTGTTGAGCCCTAAGCCACTCTTTTCTTTTAAATTTATAATGCTGTCATTCTTTGTGACTTTAGTTGGTGGAAACAATGTGTTGCTTTAAATACATGTTCAGACTCATATCTATTTTTGCTAATGGTCATGAATGATGAGAGTTGCAATCCAGCAATATCGATAATGCCAGAGGTCTTTCTCTACCCTTATTGTAGAGGACAGCCTACATGGTGGGAATAATGGAAAGGCAAATACTAATACTGTCATTTTCCTGCCAATAATTCTGGGACTGACCACCCCAACCCCTTCTCCAGATGCTCTGTCACTGTTCTGCTATTCCACAGATATCAGACATTGCCATTTCCTTCTCTCTTCATGAATCAATTCCTCTTTAATTCTCAAATCTAAGAACACTGCTTTGCATTCGTTTAAGCTGTGGAGGTAAACTACCCCCATTTTAATTAGCAAACCCCATATTTGTTGATATATGATGAGGATTAAGAAAAAGTACTACTGTACAATAATTATCGCTCACAGGAGCATTATCAGGATCATGGCCAACTAGCAGCATTCCAAATTCAACTTCCTTAAGCTTAATTCTATGAGATGTCGATTGTGGTGTTTGGCAGGACTATTTGTTTTTTGTGGGGTTTTTTCTTTCTTTAATAAGTCCTAAAAATCTCTTAATTAATTGTTTGAATGCATGCCATCAAACCAAATTAGGCCAAGGAAGCAATCCTAAACACATTGCTAGGGGATATTTTAAACTAGGAAGGATTTTGCACCTAGTTTCTGTGACTTTTTGTGGCATTTGAACAGAACCCACCCCCATGCATTTTTTAATTTTTATTTTTGCATTCCTTTTAACTCCCTGGTCCAGGCACAGTTCCACATTTCTGCGGCGCAGCGTATCAGTGGGCCCTTGGCCTCTCCCCTTCCACCTCAAACCATACCCCTTCCTCTTAACCCCACCCATTTAAACTAAAAATTGTGTCCTCCCTAAAAGAGGTCATGTGTTGCGCTGAGACCTGGAGACTGACCCCCTGCATTGTGGGCGGGTTGGATTGGTTAGCCACAACACCCGATTGGTTAGTCCCTCCATGTTGGGTTCAATCTGCCAATAGAGTGCAGTCTAAACGGATCGAGGGACCTATATATACCCATGCACGTGCCCAGAACTTCCTCTTTCAGCTCGTGCATTCGGAAAACCCGCCCACCTCTTCCTACTTTTAAGGCTTGTGCACTTGACCTTGTTATGCCGTCGTGTGTCGTCTGTCATTGGGACAGGGGCAAGGCAGGAATTTCCCCACTTGGCTGATTGGCTGTTGCCATTTGGGTTTCGCCTGCCACGTAGCAAATCGTCACAACTTGTAAGGTTGCGGATAAGCACTGGTTCAGGTGATAGGGATGGGAGAATGCTCTCGCCATCCCTATGTTCCGTTAAAGGAATCCAGGGATTCAGCTGGTTTGGTCAACCCCCGAGAGGGGGTTGTGCCCGTGCCTGCGTCCAGGGGGGCATCTGGGTGGTGAACATAGTCTGTTCCCAGCTGTTCGCCTTCCCAGGTGTTCACCCTTGGCTGACCTATGCTGGTGCCCTGGGTCAGCGCTGCCTGCAAGGGTGCAGGGAACTAGTCGAACCAGAGCCTATGCAACCACTCACCTTATGTAATCAATAAAGTTGTGGCCTGAATTCTGCCAAAAACCAAAATTTAAGTTTGAGCCATGTGTGAATTTATTTAGGGGGGAGGTCTCTGGGTCTGAACATGCAAACAAATGTTGAGCAATATCTCACTTGGGATTTGGATGTGAACCAAATCAGGCCACTTCCAAAGTGCTTTGGACCAAAAGTGGGCTGTGTTCTGAAGCATTGAACCAAATCTTGTGGTTGGTGCACACCCCAATGTACTTTTCAAGGGGATGAATTCTGGGACTGAATAATCAAGAGGTTCCTCTTAACTGAGAGCTACTAACTTTGTTAATGCACTTGATGTGCATGGTAAATCCAGATCAAGAAAAGCTCAACATCAAGACCCTTCTTTTGTTCAAATGTTTTCTTTTAAAAATCTGTAACAAATAATAACTTTATTGACTTGTTTCCCTCTTCTGAACAGTGCTAGGGCAGAGTATGTTCTTTATCCCAGAATGGGCCCTTGAAAGCCACCGAAGTATCTAGATTTGTTGTTGGCCTTTCTGTGGAAGACTCAGAATAAAAATCTGATTCCTTATCCTGCCTGTTGGAACATATGCAGACGCCTGCATTAAGTTTATTAGAAAGTAATTAGGTGATTGGATTTGTTGCTGAAAAAGCACTAATATTTTTTTTTAATCTGCTTTGACACTTTAATGGAATTTGTTTACTTGGCCTTCAGATGGCTGATAAGGTTTTCCTTCCTTACTAGTTGTTTGCCTATTTATTATTATTATTATTAAAATGGGTGCTCTTTATCCTCCCACTATTTTTAAAAACACAGCTGTACTTCAGTGATTACAATCTCTTGGTATCTCTTTCTTGCATGCAGCAAAAGCAAACCACTCATTACTCACTTTTTATGATGTTTCTTCGATGTCAATGTTCAAAAGACAGTTGTCATGATAGTGGTATAGATGAAAGGGTTCTACCTACCTAAGTCCTACTCAGAATAGATCTACTGAAATTAATGGGGCTAAGTTAGTCGGGCAGACGGTCTTCTTGGTGGTGGCGCCTGCCCTGTGGAATGCCCTCCTATCAAACAACTATTTGACTTTTAGAAGACGTCTGAAGGAGCTCTGTAAGAGCAGAATTGACATCTAGGGGGAATTTCTGAAATGTGGCGCTTTTGCAAGTTAATTGCAAAATTTCATGGTGTTTGGGGTTTGTTTTTTTTTTTTTTTTGGTGTTTCTGTAAAAAGAAAAGCTCAATTTTGGGAGTTTCCTTATAAAAGTTCAACCATTTCAGTGGTTTCCTCAAAGAAACAAAAAGTTCAACTTTGGGGTCTTCCTAAAAAAAAGCTCAAAACTTTTGGGGTGTCCTGGCTTTTACTTTTTGAAATGTTTGATGTTTTATTGTGTTTTTAATATTTTGTTGGGAACTGCCCAGAATGGCTGGGGCAACCCAGTCAGATGGGCGGCGTATAAATAATAAAATTGTTGCTGCTGTTGTTGTTAGTCATGTCCAATGATTTCAATGGATCTACTATGAGTAGGGCTTGCATTGTATGCAACCCATAGTCTGGACCAGGAGGGTCAAACTTTTTATACCAAGTGGGCCACAAGAGTACTTCAACATGAAACCCATGGGCCACACACTGCCTTGTCATGGTATGTGTGGATTCGACACTCCCCAGCCCTCGTGCAGCCTACCCAAAGCCAGCTAAGTGAAGCTCCGGGCTTTGGGAAGGATGTGCAGAGTTCTGGTAGGTTCCTAGAGCCCTCCATCCTCCTTCCAAAAGCTGAGAAAGCACTAACAAGGTTCTGGGAAAGAGACAGGAGGACTCTGGGACCTTGTCAGAGCCCTCACGCCTTTCTTCCAAAGCCCAGCACCTCCTTACTTGCCTTTGGGAAGCAGTGTGAGGGCTGTAGGCATGAGGTGTAAAATGTTGTCGAGGGCCACCAAAAAAGGCATAGAGGGCCACATGCATGTTAGACCACCCTGGTCTGAACTGTTTGCATACTGCAGATGTTTACTGCTACCGATCAGCGTGATACACAGTCCTCACTTATTCTGGGTCAGGGAAATAAGTCTTGCTTGTGTGTTTGTGGCAAGCATCCAGCAGGTAGCAGTAAAAGAGGTAATTGCCCAATGATCAAGTTGCAGAAGAAACAAACATACCTTGGAAACGGGGAACATTTTTCTGCAGAAGGGTCATGCCCTCTTCTGGGCAACTTTCTGAGGGAAAGCACATGCCACTGGTGGGTGGGCCAGAGGCAAAGGTGAGCAGTGCAAGAAATGGAATTTTTACTTCGGTGCAGTAGGCTAGTTTCTACACACATTAATTACCTTTTCCTTTTATTTGTTAAGTGAGAGGGGGAAAACACATGTTTTCCATTAATAAACATATGGCTCCTCCTCTGTTGGTAGCCCTGAAAGGATAAATGTTAAAAGACATTCAGTTCCATGGCCAAGACAGATGAATTGTCATAATATTCAACAAGGAAAATGAAAGCTATGAGGAGGAGGAATGTCTAACATGCAGGCCGTTTGGCATTTGTGCTCTTTGGTCACTTAAAACTGATACAAGCCACACATTCTGCCTTTCAGCTTCTTTAATTGGGCCTATTTTACTATTACACTTCATTCACCATGGCACAATAGCTTACAAACAAAGAGGCACTTGTAGTCTCCAAAGAATCTTTTTTTTTCACAAGTTCAAGAAAACCTCTCATTTTGCCAAAAGAGACAGAAAACTGCCCCTGTGTTCAGGCCTGGACAGAAGCCCAAAATGTCACATACGTCTGGAAAAAATGAATCTGTGCTCTGAGTTTCTATTCTTTTTCCACGGAATTTACCAGAAGGGGCTGGAGGTCAAGAGGGCCATACTTGTTTAGAGAGTCAGTCCTGTATTATGCCCAAGTTGTTGAAGATGAACAAAAAAGAATTTAAAAAGATCTTGGGGGGCGGGGGAGTAATAGCAATTTAGAAATGAGAAGCTGAATCACTACCTGCCAACATTTTGCGGTGCCTAGTTTGACAATAATATAGCCTATCATTTTGTTTGTAAGTATTTGATATTTTGGACCAGTTACCATTAAAGCTCCCCTCCGCCAAAGGTATTTTCTATTCAAGCATTGTAGATAAACAGAAAGGAATATAGGAAACTGTCTATCTAGCTCAGTATTGCATACACTCCAAGTGTCCAGATTTTCCAGGGGCAATCCCAGAATTACGAAAGCTGTCCCAGCTTCTGATTTGATCCCAGAATGTCCCTATTTCCCCCACCAGTGCTGCTGCTGCTGTCAGTGGCTTCTGTAATTCCTGGACTGTCCCTGGAAAATTGGGACACTTGGAGGGCATGCCAGACTCAACCAGAGAAGAAGTGGGTATGAAGTGGATGACCTCTTATCAAAGGGGCTCCAAATAATAGAGATAACACTGGCCACTGTCTGGAATCTGAGGAACTACTAGGTTGCTTGTGCAACCTGATGCCTCAGGCATCTCTTGTGGAATCTCTTGGAAAGTCCTACAAGCGACACAATTAAACACAGTTAGGAGCAAAATAAAATTAGGCAAGTTCCATTTGTGTGTGGAAATGATGCAGGGGACTTTTGGACCCATGCCAGAGCAAACATTCTGTTTTTAAAAAATGTATAAGAACATATTAGTACATGACTGTGCGTGCACGTGCACACACACACACACACACACACACTTCAGTTCCTTTATAATTTATTCTGATCCTTAGAAGAATTTCAACCATTAGTTTGTAAATAATTGATGGTAGAAGTAGACGGAGCGTTCCAACTTCTTAAGCTACAGTAGAACTTGAACTACTGAACCTGCTTGCCCCAGTAAAACAAGATAATGTCCCCAGGTTTCCAAAACGTCCTGTAAAAATGGCTTTTGATAGCTCATATGGAAACACTCCATGTTAACATGTCAGCTAGTATTACATCTGCGTCACTGGGTTGGATTTTTGTCTAATGTAAACTGATGTAGCAGTAGGAAAAGGCATACAGCTATGAAGTTCTGCAGCAGCCGAGAGTCAGAGTTATAGGTGAAAATATTAGCGTTCATATTAATTGCAGGGACATTTTGGTTTCTATCACTCTGGAAAAGGTGGCCTGGAAAACTGGCCTGTCAACCTCCCATCTAATTTTCAGAAGCTCATTTGCTTGTAAAATTGGAGCGACAGGCTTGTAGGCTATGCGATGCTGTGAACTATTATGGTGTATTCATACCTGCTTTCCCCAGAAGATGATGTCCAGGAGCAGCTGGGGCATTTTGTGTCACATTCCCTGTGGAGTCACTGATGGGGAGAGCGACCCAAACCCTGCTTGTCTTGTGAGCAGTTCTCTCATAGCTAAGCCAACCTGTCACTGCCCATGTGGGAACATCCATGGAGGACCAGGGCAGGCGCGTTCCCGACGTGTGCGCAGGCGTGTTCCCAAGGGGCGCAGAGGGTGCCCTCCCAGGTGCGGGGTAGCCGCGCATGAACCCACCGATCCTGCTTCCTTCCTCTCCCCTTCCTGCTCGCCTGCCTCCTCCAGCTGGGAGCACGGGGCAACGGCACACCGCCCACCCTTGACTCCCGTGCCTACTGCCAACTGTCAGGGGGAGGGGAGGAGCTGCTGTGCCAATGACTCGCAGTAGGCATGGGAGTCTGAGTCATGCGTGGGGGGAGCACCAAATGTCACCCACACTCAGGAATGACACCTGGAGCATTCCTCTGCCAGCAGTCGGCACAATGGCTCTGAACAGAGTTTACCAGAAGTTAGAGGGGGCTGATGCAGCTGGGAATCTATTGAACCCAAGCTCGCCTCATTGCCATCAAGGCTGGTCACTGAACCAGCTCCAGGCTGCTGTCCTTCTGCCTTGGCTGCTGTGTTCAGAAGGGTTGCAGATTTGGCTCTGCCCCTCTGGAAAGTGTGACTGGATTGCAGCATCACTGTGGTTACAGGAAACCATGCTCCTCACTCAACACAGCATGACTTGTTATGCTCCATGTAACATCTAAAAAGATGTCGCCCAGATGTTGCACTGCCTTCTTCCTCAGCAATGAATTCAAGGGCTGCGTTGTGCGCTATGGAGTGAATCTGTTTTGGGTTTGGGTTTTTTGCGAGCCATGGAGCGAATCTGCTGAAGATGAAGTCTGATCTCCTGGTGACTAAGCAACATCATCTTGGCATTGTTTAACCACCTAGAGGTTCATGCAATTTTCACCTCTGAAGCAATTTGCTCCAAGCAAGGAAGCAGGGCAGCCCAGCTTTGTGCAGTGCTGCAAGGCATGGCATAGAAGCATCCAGTGTTCTGCACCCACTGAAGATTTCACCTGTCAGAAAAAATGCCCAACAGTAGAGGTTTTTTCTTTCTCCTTACTCCTTTCTCTCTCCTAACAGTAGAGGTTTTTTCTTTCTCCTTCTCACTTCTGTTTGCTGTGAGGCACTGGCAAAAGCCAGGTCTCCCCCTCCTCCGCTAGTGATTGGTGGTGGTAGCAAGTAGCTCATTCACACTCCTACATGTGCTGAGTGCACAATTACTTATCGCAACATACGTATCTTCACAGGAGCCACTCCCGTTTTCAAATTTCAGAGGGAGAATGCTGTAAAAAACAGCATCACTAGATGTGGCAAATGTTAAAACCTCACCATCTTGCTTATACTTGTGCACTAAGATCAAGCTTAAGCCTTTGCTAATAGGGTTTATCAAGTTTGGGCAAGTATCTAAGAAATTGAGTTCCACAGGTGTAGGACTGTCAAATTTGCTCTCTACAGGCTTCTTTTTTCCTCCAACATGGGCACACATAACAAACTAATTCAACGCCAGCTGAACAGCTGGCCATTATAGTAATCTAGCCACAAGCACAATGGCTCCAGGGTCAGAATCCTAAGGCTCTAGCTGTTTCACTAGAATATAGCCCTTGTAAGTCACATGGTCTCATTTGTCACCAATGTTTCATGATTGTCTGGATTCAACTACAATTGAGCCACATGCACCCAGTCCTTAAAGGCATCGATTCCAAACATCTGGCAAAGTGCAGTACAAACAAGAAATACATACACTGACTGTTGCAAAAGGTTTGACTAATAGCAAATGTGCTGATATTAGGAAACAGCTTTGGGACCATTAGGAAGAGGATTTCCTTAAAGATCTAGAGAGCTTTCAAAGCTCATTAAGAATATAACAGTAATAATACCATGAATTCCACAGACGATGGAAGGAATCAATTAGGGATGTGATATTGTGTTAGCACCCTGTTCAATTAAAGATTATCAGTGTATATAATATTGCTGCTGGTGGAAAAGGGATGCCATATTTAAAAGACTGCTGATCCTCCCCAGGAAGCCTCTCCTTATGGGGTGAATGAAAGGAAAGGACTCATTAAACCTCAGTGCATAAAATTCATTGTTTAGAACAATAAAGCATATGTATATAATTTCAGATTCAACCAATATAAAAAAAGGACAGGGGTATACATCTATTTTTAAGAGGACACATAAGATACACATTACATTTTATAAACTTGGTCAATTAACCTTCAGTCAGATTACAAATAAACATCAAAATATACATAATCTCAATCCATGACTGAGCCAGCAAAGGAATATATCTGTCCGATAAGAAAGAGCCTAAAGTTTCTGAGTTCCTAGGACTTAAATATATTTAATAATAATATTTTATTTTATTACATGGCTTCTTTTAAAAATACAGGTGAATGAAATTACTAGTGATACAGGGGAAACTTTTATGTAATTCTCAAACTCTTATTCCAAATAGCTGAAACAATACAAACATAGCTTTTTGATTTAACAATTAAATAGTGTGTAGTCTGGAGAGTCTAACCACATTCAAAAGAGAAAGGAACGTAGCATGGCACATTTGTATTAAATATGGATCTAGAATGAGTTTGCAGTGAAATAAGTACCATTAAGTTATTCAAGTAAAATCTCTTGTAACATAGCATACTGAAATTTGCCCTATGTAGCTAGCTGCTTTCTGTTTCCACAGAAGCTATCCATGAATTCACTAGATGCACTTTCACAAGCTCCATAAGGGATAAAATGATGTTGGCTTAATTGATCTATTAATTTTCTTTAAAAAACAGCATTTTTATTCTTTTGGAGGAATATACAGTCGTACCTTGGATCCTGAATGCCCTAGAACTCAGACGTTTTGGCTCCGCAAACCCGGAAGTGATTGTTTTGGTTTGCGAATGTTCTTTTGGAACCTGAACGTCCAACGGGGTTTCCACAGCTTCTGATGGCTGCAGGAGCTTCCTGCAGCCAATCAGAAGCCGCAATTTGGTTTTCAAACGTTTTGGAAGTCAAAAGGACTTTCAGAACAGACTCCGTTCAACTTCCAAGGCACGACTATAAGGGCCCCTTGCTGAAAAACACCCCCCTCCCCCCAAAAAAGAGCACTACATACACTACACAGAGAGAAAATGTTGGATCTGGAGATAAGTCACCGGGAAAAACATGGGCAGTGTCACTGATTTGCACACTGTTGCACAGGAAGTAGGTCTTTGTTCAACACAGAGTTTGCACAAGCACACATCTCGAGACATTGTGCAACAGAAGCACACCACTGGATTTCCCCATGGAAGGATCTTGTGCTGTTGTTAGGAGCAGCCCTTCTGTTTGTAGAAGGACTTGATCCAACCCAAAGGATGTTTAAAAAGGTTTTTATCTGAATGATAATGGTGGCTCCTACCCTTATACTCAGTGATCAACAATCCAAAAGAACTCATAAGCACAAAAGAAAACCCCGCTGGGGTTCTGCCCACACAAAAACTGATACATATCCTCAGTCTACTGCTAACTCTGCATTGAGAAGACAGAGGAAGTTCACCCATCCAGATTCTGAATTTAACTGAATTCTTAAATGGTATTGGGGAGATTAATCTGCATTAAGTGATCTTCCATATGTGCTAAACCAGCTCCCCACCTCTCTTGATTTCTTTGAGAGTCTTTGCCCCTTCTCCATGCTGTTGTGAATGATCCCTTCACGAAACACTTGGAGCTGCAACATCACACACACAGTGATTGGCATTGTCAAATCTAAAACAGAGCTCTGTGACTCATGAAAGCTATAGACAGCCATGCTCTACTTCCCATGAAGAACAGCTAACTCATTACTAAAAAAAATCAGATAATGTGGCCGCTCTGAACTATCTGCCTTGTTGAGTCCTGGCTGTGACTGGGCTGGATCCCAATTCTGGCACAAAGACACCAATTTTACCTTTCTGGTGGAGTCATGCCCTTAAACTCAATAGTAGCCACTTTGACAATTCCAGAATTCAAAATCTGGCCACAAATCATTTTAATATCACAATAAAAGGGAAATGAGCTATGTCCACAACCAAATTTAGGTACCAAATAAACAAACTGGATTTGGATCCAAAGATTGCTCTTCCTCAGATGGAGATATCCATCCCATTACAGTTTTCAAAGATTAGGTTGCCAAATGGTTATCCTAAATGGTAAAGTAGTCTCCAGATATTTCATCTTTGTGACATTCAACTGAGATGGCCCAAACCACTCAGTCAAACGTCTTAAGCATAAAATGCCAAGGAAATGCTACTCACTGTCAAAATGATTATTCAGCTTTAGTTTTGATGGGATGGTATTCCACTTTGTGCTAATGGAGGTTATTTACATTCAAAGCGAGAACAATGATTGTTATGCAAGCATGGTAAGGCCAGTAGGATTATACTTGGAATTTTTCGTTGGCTCTGTAAATGCCTCTTGACCTTAAATTTGTCTCGTTCTGTTTTTTTGGGAAGGGAAAAAGAATGTGGCATTGTTATAAACCCTGCAGTATAAATGAATCTTTGCACAATATGTACTGCAGTTTCCAACAAGTATGCAACGTTACCTTTAAAGCCAGTTTAATCAAGCAACAAATGGGTCCTTTGTTCCCTTCTGAAGAATTTTTTTTTTAAAAAAAGCAGGTTTCGGATATTGCATCCACAACTGTGTTCCAGAACACTTACTGGAATGTGAAATGTTGTCCATGTTTATGATGTGCATAGTGATTTACTGAGGCATGATACTATTGACTGAGGCTCTAGTTTCTACCTTGTCGGGGCCTGCACTAGAGCTACATTCAAGCAGATCTTCCTATATCTTTAGGTTGCACAGAGATTTTCATGATTTTCCGACTCTAAAGATGGACAGTCACAATTGTAGGCTCTGATCTAGCTATGGGCTATAGTCACAGATAGAAGCTGGTGGTCCTGGGCATCATCAAACCAGCTCAACAGATCAGCTCTGTCATTTGGACTGCAACATGTGTCCCAAATATGCCTCATAGAATTGTAGAATTGGAAGGGACCCCAAGGGTCTTCTAGTCCAATGCCCTGCAATGCAGGAATCCTGCTCAAAGCCATCCATCCCTGGGTAGGCTCCAACCACCAACTTTCTGGTTAACAGCCAGACACACTGATCTCATCCTAATTACTACAAATGGTTTTGGTGGTACGTATGCTGTCATTTGGCTTCAATGCCAGCCAAAAAAATAACAGGACAGAGATTTTAGGAATGCCAGATTTGTGTTATTTTTAAATCTATCCTAAATACATTCTATAGCTTTTCATATATTATTTCTAAGAGTCTGTGACATATATGAAAAATAAATAAATATGTGAAAATCTTTTAAATAAAGTATCCCTTAAGCATAGGTAATTTAATCACTGCGTTGTAAATGAGCATTTTAACAATAGTTAAACTTTTAGTTTAACAATAGTTAAGATTATAGTTTAAGGTTATTATTGGATTAGTAGCTTGGAATGTAGAGCAACCCAGCTGTTTCACAGAATACAATATCCTGTGAATATCTCTTCCGGAAATAATAAGAACTTAAGTAAATTCTATATGGGCTCTGATTAACTTTTAGTGCCCTCTTTTAAATTTATGAATAGCAGGTTATTTTCAGTCTTGGATTTGTTGTCCACAGCTTTGCTACAAATAATATCAAGAGACTGACAACTATTAAGAAAGTTTTCTCTTTTTTATTTGAGCTGAACTAATATAATATTTGATGGAGAAGGCTAAGTGATGAAAAGTGTATTACTTTTAAAATTCATTTGCAAATATGAAATGGCATACAGTAAAAGTTAAACTAAACCTTAGTATCTTCGAGATGACATGATTTTTTTTGCAAATGTCAAGAATAAAATTGCATGTTTATATGCATTTTAAATAGACGTCATGGCATTTTTTTTATTCCTGAAGCTGACTTCTTTTCTCTCTCTCCATTTTCTCACTGGAACATTAATAGGAGTCTCCCCAACATCAGGCAATCAATGTTCCATTCTATTCCGATTGCCCCATTTTCAAGATCCAGTGTTTACTTCTCCTTGATGGATATTAACAGCTTTGCCAAAGTGTATGTTTGTTTTCTGTGACATGGAATAAAATTTCACTTACAGCTCGACAGATATCCAATCTTATTTAATATGAACCCAGTTCCACCGATGAAAGAAAGCTAGCACATTAGTCCACTGCATAACCTTACTTGCAAGTCTTATGTACAGTGCTGAAGATTTGTATTCTCATTAATTTCTGCGTTTTTCTCCCATTCAGAGTCTCCTTTTGTACGCAAAATGCAAATTTCCTGATGACTTTTGGAGTTGGATCCCATAAATCCAGAATTACTTGTTCATGCATTCGCGAAATTCCACTGCAAATTTGAAGATGCAAAGAAACAAATCTGTCTGAATATAAAAATACAGTCCATTTCAGTGCAGACTCTTCTTTGATGTTTAATTCAACGTTGGTTTCACAGTAGCACACTCTTTGTCCACAGCTCTATATTCTCAATATGGAGTCACGGGCAACAACAACAGATGCAGACTCAGTCTGTCACTCCAGAAGGAATACAAATATGCTTAAAGCTGCTTCATTTATGAAGCAAACATGGAACTGTTAGCTGCCTAGTAGAGAAGAGAGGGGGGAAAGAAAAACGCAATAGCTTTTGGGAGATGTTTTCTTGAAATTTGTTTAATTTCACAAATTAGCAAAAGGCACCTCCAAATCACAAAACCAAGCAAATTCCTCCTTGTGAAGCAGTTTCAGCATACATGCATTATGTCTGTAGCAGAACGGACTTGCCCTCTCAGGGAAGGAAGTGATAGCATCACAAGGTATCAGGGAAGAAGGAAAAGAAGAAGATATAGGAAAGGGAGGAAAGAAATGCTGGGCAAAGTGTCAAAATTTATGAAAGGAATGGACACAGAAGAGGATTGGAAGATAGGACCGTGGGATGAGACTATGGGCAACAATAAAAGCATTGGAGAATATTATCCCATGCTGTGTTAACTAGGGGTGTTTGTACATATATTACCTTCAGCATGTCTATGTGTGCCATGCAGACATACGAGTTGAACTGTGCATTTGTAGTTATAAAAAGCTAAAGGTAAAGGGACCCCTGACCATTAGGTCTAGTCATGGCCGACTCTGGGGTTGCGGTGCTCATCTCGCTTTATTGGCTGAGGGAGCCAGCGTACAGCTTCCGGGTCATGTGGGCAGCATGATTAAGCTGCTTCTGGTGAACCAGAGCAGCGCACGGAAACACCGTTTACCTTCCCACCAGAGCGGTACCTATTTATCTACTTGCACTGGTGTGCTTTCGAACTGCTAGGTTGGCAGGAGCAGGGACCGAGCAACGGGAGCTCACCCTGTCGCGGGGATTCGAACTGCCGACCTTCTGATCAGCAAGTCCTAGGCTCTGTGGTTTAACCCACAGCGCCACCCGCGTTCCATATTTGTAGCTACACAGACGCAATATTCAATGAGCAGTGCTTTTTTTCTAAAAAAAAAGTGTTTAGGGGGTACTTTCATTTTCCTACTCATAGTGAAATACTGCCCCTCAATGAGGCCAAACTTAGATTTACAAAATGTTTAGGGGTATGCGTCCCCTGCGTCCCCCCCAGAAAAAACCCCACTGTCAGTGAGTATACGGTCTGTGTAGCTCTGTACACAATAGTGTGCTCTTTCACATCATAAACACATGTATGTGTGTAAAGACAGTTTGTACCTGTGTTCAGTGTAAAGTGGAAACAAGTCATGTGTTAGTGTATGCATGTATGAGAAGGGGGCGGAGAAGAGGGATAATGTTATGGTGTTTGCCAGCAAAAACCTTGACCACAAACCTCATTTTATGTACATTCTAAATCTTTAACTTAAGCTCAGTTCACATCTGAAACATATTGGCCAGCTTAGCTTAGTCTTGTCAAAAAAGTCAACCCCTAGATGCAACTGACAATCAAGTTATACCAGTCAAGGAGGTGAGATTGTCTTCAGGAAAGCAGCAGTGAAGGGAGGTTTAAGCCTCCCTGGCTATGATATTGGTGAATATCACCCCCTCCCTGCCCTGGATTAGGTGCAAATTGTAAAGCTGCTATGGGTTGAGGGCTAGATTTCCCCCCCATATATGGCTGCAATATGAAATGAATGCTATGATGGAAACTGGAAACTTAGTGAAGGCCCTTATCAACCCACCATATGGATAGGCCATAGAATATTTCAAAGTGGTCGTTTGTACCACAGCAACTACTTTGCAGGTAAATATCCTTTAATACTTTGGAATGCTAATGCAGAGTTTCACAGGAACACAGGAAATTGCCGTATACTGAGTCAGGACGATTGTTCCAGCTTGCTCAGTATTGTCAACGCTGACCGGTGGTGACTATCCAGTATCTCAAGCAGGGAATATTCCCAATCTTATATGTAGATGCTGGATATTGCAACTGTCTGCATGCAAAGCAGATGGGAGTTCCTGCGAGTGCCAGTACTAGATGAAGTTCTAGCCCCCGAAGGGCACAAGTTGTGTTTTTAGATACTAGAACTCAGAGGTCTCATTGAATAGCCTACCATCTCTTGAATACCTCTCTAAAGGGAAGCAAAGGGGCTTACTTTCAAAGGCTGTGACTCTACTGTTACTGAAGCAGTAGTTTTTAAATTAATGGCCTGTTAGCTTCAAGTTTTATAAAATAATCCTTAGGGAATAGTTACTACACATTTCAACAGGCTAATCATTAGAAAAGTTTTGTGGGCAATTCAAAATTGTCTTTTCCGGAACTTACCAAGACATGAAACAGTAACAGTGTATATATATAAAAAAGCAACAGCTACACCTGTAGAAGTATTTTCTCTTTTTGCTGCAGCATACTGAAAGGCAAAGAAAAACCAAAATGCATTTATCATATGGGCAGCAGAGAGGATCAATTTTAACACAATTTTAAAGATCCCTGCTCAAGATTAAAGAACATCCATTTGTAGAGAAAGGTCATAGGTGGGTTTCAGACTTATTGTAAAGCATAATTGGATGAAAATTATGATTTTTTTATTCTTAAGACTCCTCTGAGTTTCCTGTGGGTAAGACCCAGTTATTCAATGGGCCTTATTTCTGAGTAGGCATACAAAGAACTGTGTTGGAAGCTGGTGAAAGAACTGCAATAAACCTGACATCTGCATGGGAAGAAAACTTTCTTCTGACTTTTCAGCTGTTTGTTTTACGTTCTGACAGCTCCACCCTTTTGCATATCTACTCAGAAAATAAGTCGCCCTATGTTACCCTGAGCAAGTTAGCTTTGGACTGGAGGCTTAATGGAACATAGTATATGAGACATGACCCAAAGTTTTCCCTCAGATGTATTTCATGTTCAGGCCTCACCTTCTTCCTATCCCTGAAGCAGCACTGCACAGAATCAAATCCCCTTGATTACCAGCTGCTAAACAGGAGGAAGAAGAGTTTGGATTTGATATCCCACTTTACTACCCTAAGGAATCTCAAAGCGGCTAACAATCTCCTTTCCCTTCCTCCCCCACAACAAACACTCTGTGAGGTGAGTGAGGCTGAGAGACTTCAGAGAAGTGTGAGTAGCCCAAGGTCACCCAGCAGCGGCATGTGGAGGAGCGGGGACGCGAACCTGGTTCACCAGATTACGAGTCCACCACTCTTAACCACTATACCACACCCATCCTGCATAGTGCCAGTCACTTCTTCTCTGTGAGTGGCTTCCCTTACATACATGAAGCCACCTGCAAAGGGGTAGCTTCCCATGGGATCAGATTATTTAGCTTACCAGCAGGAGGATTTGATCCTACGTGGTGCTATTTGCAAAGGAACAGCACACCTCAGGAATGAACCAACATGCTCTAGTCAGCACCGCCACCTACCCCCACCAGCTCCTGTTTGTTAAAATAGGGTTTAAAAAAATCCTTATGCCCCTTCCACTCCATCCCCCAGAGCAGCACAAAGCAGATTGGTCTGATCCAGGAGCCATGGAATTTTATTTTTTTAAAATACCTTATTTCGTTATCCTCTTGGCAGATGTTTGATTCTGTATTCTGGTCACTTTCTGAAAAGTGTTTGCGGGTTGTTTTCTATAGAAAAACAGTGGTATATAAGTATTTTTATGTGTCAGCAAATGCATAAAGTAAGCCAGCGTTCTAGTTGGCATATCTCACCTTCCAGCACAGAGCTCCCAAAATAAAGCCAATAAGAAGAGTCACCAGCCCTGTTAGTGCTATGCTGATTCCATGCATGCTGGCGCTGTTGAGGAAACCCAACTCTGCGTCTGTAATTGAAAACATTTCCAGTTAGTTTAGGCAGATTTCTTTCTTTTTAATCTCCGGGGTAACATTGTTCATAAAAGGTAGTTAGGTATCACCTCTGCAGACCATACATCACAAGTTATACCTTGAGAGATTTGTTTGTCATTAGGAAGCATTTGGCTCCCTGAAATTCACAGCTTTATTTGCACTCCCTCCGGAAAGGCAAACATTCTGGCAACTGTATAATAACAATTTTACCATCTGCGGAGCAACATTTACCAAGCTATTTTCTTCCTCTCTCTTTGCAGCAAAAGATCTCCTCTCCCCAGTCACCTCCCAAGGCCGCTTAGCAGAACAGAACAGACTTTTCATCAGGAAGATACTAGGAGTAAATATATGTGGGCTCACAAGGGACTGAGCACTATAAACTTAAATACTCTACCACCCCGGAAGTATTTCCCCCCACTTCTCTGGAGTAATAATAGCAATGCTTGGAAATGAGCAATGCTGTTGACCACTGGATGATGCTGACCACATATTTCCAATTTACAGGTTATGATTTTAATTAGCAGCCTGGAAGTAGCTCTGTTACAGTGGTGCCTCGCAAGACGAAATTAATTCGTTCCACGAGTTTTTTCGTCTTGCGGTTTTTTTCGTCTTGCTAAGCACGGTGTCGGAAAAGTTTTGGAAAAGCTTCAAAAATCACCAAAGTCTCAAAAACCTCAAAAAAGGCTACCACACCGCGTGCTATGAGTTGCTCCTCAAAGTCAAGTCACAACTGTATTAACGGTTTTAAGAAAAAGGAAACAAACTTGCAAGACGTTTCCGTCTTGCGAAGCAAGCCCATAGGGAAAATCGTCTTGCGAAGCAACTCAAAAAACGAAAAACCCTTTCGTTTTGTGAGTTTTCCGTCTTGCGAGGCATTCGTCTTGCGAGGTACCACTGTATATGCAACAGAGCAGAGGGGTGGGGTGGACAAAAAATGAATAAAATAATAATAATAATAATAACTAAACCAATGAAAAATGAATATCGGTCCCTATTCTTTGCAAGCAGCCTTTGCTTGTTAAAAAGCAATCCTTTCATACCAAATGGAAACAATTCATTTTTTAAAAATACTGCAGCTTTGTGTAAATATATTTGATTGAGCAACCTACAAGGCGTGCTTATACGTGTTTCTCACACACTGTTGCGTTGTTTTACAGTTCAGAAGGATGCTAGTGGCATATGTGTGTGGTGTTGTGTTATGTGACACATAACTGGGCAGGCTGATACCATAAGTGAGTGATATCATTTGGCCCAGAGTACTTAAGTCTGTGGTTTTATCCCTCCGACCTATATCAAGATTGCGTCCAAGCCTCCATTTCATGATCATGACAGCCACGATATGGCACATTCCCACAATCTTGACTGGGCTGCAAATCCACTGGCTGCCTTTTGAACTACAGGGGAGGAGACATGAGAGCTACCTACTGTTTAAACCAGGGGTGGGGAACCTGATGCCCTCCAGACTTCACTTCCCATAATCCCTGGCAACTGGCTATTCTAGAGGGAGCTGATGGGAGTTGGAGTCCAACAACATATGAAAGTTCCCTATTGGGGCAATCGTAGTCTTGGATGGAGGGGAGGTTGTAGTCTCTTTGCCTGCCCCTCAAAATACTGGGGTATCCCTTTAAAGGGATCTGGGGGGGGGGAGTTGCCTGTGGGGTTCACCCTATTTGATGTAAGTATTAGAAACCCCTGCACAGACTGACTGATAGCATCACTTTCAGCAGGTAGGCTGGAATAATTTGATTGCCCCATGCCCAAGCCAAACCTCTTTCATCTGTATTCAATAAAGTTGTGGCCTGTTTTGATCCAAACTAGTCTCAGTTGCCTTTTACTTCCTTGTGGGGTGGGGGACTGGGGGGGCATGACGCCTGGGCCTGCAACTTCTAGAGCAGGGACAGGCAGCCTAAGGCCCGGGGGCCAGATGCGGCCCAATTGCCTTCTCAATGGGCCCATGGACGGTCTAGGAATCAGCATGTTTTTACATGAGTAGAATGCATCCTTTTATCTAAAATGCATCTCTGGGTTATTTGTGGCGCATAGGAATTCGTTCATTTTTTTTTTCAAAATATAGTCTGGCCCACCACATGGTCTGAGGGACAGTGGACTGACCCACAGCTGAAAAAGGTTGCTGACTCCTGATCTAGAGGTAACCCATCCTTGCTCTCAATCAGGGTGTCCCAAACTTGGGTATCTAGCTGTTTTTGGACAACAGTCCCCATCATCCCTGACCACTGGTCCGGCTAGTTTAGGATGATGGGTGTTGTAGTCCAAAAAATATCTGGAGACCCAAAATATCTAATTTCCCAAAATATTTGGAAAACGCTGATCTAAACCAAGCCTGTCTATTCCTGTCACAGTGCAGGTGAAAAAAAACTATTGTTGCATGTTTTAGTTTCGATCGTTTTTCCTGCAGACAAGCAGCTAAAAACTCAACTCTCAACAAAATCAAATTAAGCACACTAGGGAATGGGATAAGCAGCAGCTAAGAAGTGCCGGTGTGATGTGGTGCCAGATATACTCGCCATTCCAATTCCTTCTTGTAGACTTTCTATTCATTAGGAACCACTTCTTCTGCCGATGAGATTTTATTTTCCCACTTCAATTCTACCACAAAAATCCTGCCCACTCGAGTTCAAACCACATCTCAAGCCTCAGTGCAAACAGGGACTGACAATTTACAGTTCATAAAGCTGTCTTGGATTCTAAACCTTGTTTCTAATCAAATCTCTAGCCAACATTGTTTGAACTTTGCTTAGCCCCCGCAGGTGTGCCAACTCTAAAAGGAAATTTTAGTCAAGCAGAACAGATACTTCATGGTTGCATAATGGGAAGGTGGTTATTTTACACCATGCACGCTAACCGTAGTAGATAAAAGGTGAAGCTCTGAAAAAAAAACCTTAGTAGAAACTTAGGAAGCTGCCCTTTCCAGACTCGTGTCCCTGCCTGGGACATCTAGGTCAGTGTTGTTTGTGCTGACTGACAGTGGTTTTCCAGGTGACTTGGGAAAAAGGCAGGATACTCCCCATCCATCTGCCCTGTGACTCCAATCAGGCTGGGCCAACCTGCTTCAGCCTGGATCTGGTCCCAAATTAGTTCAGTGAAGGGACTAATGTTTAATTGGATTTAAAAAAAACAAAAGCAAAAAGCAAAACCTTAATTAAGCATCCAGCTAGGATGGGGGCGGTGATAGGAGATTTTGCATCTTTCAGAGCAGGTGCAATCTGTCAAAGTACCAGAGTAATGGACTTTCCCTCCTTGCTCTGCCAAGTGATTGAAGTGCTTTCAAGCTTGTCTGTTGCAGATTTGCACAGAGCAGGGGGGGCTTACCTGTCTCCACCTGCCCTCCAAGATGCTGATAGACTTAAACTCTAATCAGCTAAAAGCCAGAATGACCATTGGCCAGGGATGATGGATAGTGCAACTACATTGGGGAAGAAGTGGCACTGGTTTGCCACCTCTCGCATAGAGGGAGTCAGAGGATGAAGAAGGTTCTTTTCTTTTCTTTGATGGGGTCGAAAGGTAAAGAATTATATAGCTGCTGGCTTCAGACCTTTGGTTCAGGGTGTTTTACAAGGTGAACCTCTGCAGTCAGCAGTAGGCAACAATGGAGCAAGCAATGGAGCTTACTCCCAGGAAAGCATGAAGAAGATTATGGTCCTGTTATTCTATCTACAGCTGCCCTATGCATATAATGGATCAACCTTCCTGCATTTTTGGATTCTATTTGGAGGCATGGACTCTCCATAGGGAGTGATCAATGATCCTGTATCACTTTATTTTATGTTTTCTTAGAAAGAATTTTATTTGCCATTTTGCTGCCCATTTATCTAAGTTTGGAGCCCTCTGCAATTGACTTGGGCTTCCACTCTCCTGAATATGTTGGTTGTTGTTGTTGTTTAGTCATTTAGTCGTGTCCGACTCTTCGTGACCCCATGGACCAGAGCACGCCAGGCACTCCTGTCTTCCAGTGCCTCCCGCAGTTTGGTCAGACTCATGCTGGTAGCTTCGAGAACACTGTCCAACCATCTTGTCCTCTGTCATCCCCTTCCCCTTGTGCCCTCAATCTTTCCCAACATCAGGGTCTTTTCCAGGGAATCTTCTCTTCTCATGAGGTAGCCAAAGTATTGGAGCCTCAGCTTCAGGATCTGTCCTTCCAGTGAGCACTCAGGGCTGATTTCCTTCAGAATGGAGAGGTTTGATCTTCTTGCAGTCCATGGGACTCTCAAGAGACTCCTCCAGCATGACAATTCAAAAGCATCAATTCTTCGGCGATCAGCCTTCTTTATGGTGAATATGTTGGTATCATCTGCAAGTCTGGCTTCCTCACTGCTTATCCCAGAATCTGTATAATTTGTGAATAAATTAAATAGCAATAGTCCCAATACAAATACTTGGGAAACTTCACTGCTTAGTCTTCTTCACTGTGAACATTGTTTGCTTGCTCCTACTCTCTGTTTCCACTTGCACAATCAGTTACCAATCCACAAGAGGCTATGTCCTCTTATTCCATGCTGTGTTTACTCCGGTGAAAGCATTTGGTCAAAAGCTGGATCCATCCAATCTACAGTCTTGTTGATACTCTCAATGTACCCTAAATGAGGCATGCCTTCCCTTTGCAGAAACCATAGGGATACTACCTGTGAAAGATTTGTTATTCTATATAACTGAAGGGTTAAAAAATGCTTTCCCTGCTCTTACCAGGAACAGAAGTCAATGGACATTTTGCTTCCTTGATCTCCTTTGAATTCTTTAAAACAAAACCAAAAACCTGGCATTGTATTGCTTACCATCCAGTCCTTGGAAAGCTAATTGATTAGTGGCAAGTTGCATTTTGTTTTTGAGTTCGTTAAGCAATCTCTGGTGTAAGTCATCTAGATTTCGTGAATTTTTCATTTTAAATCTGTCAATAAGCACTCAAGCTCATCTGGTCATTGCTATATGACTCGGCTCTACAGATGCACCCCCAACCCCCACCCAATGTAGTTCAGTTCTGAGTCTGTCCAACAGTTTTTTAAGTGTAAGGTAAAGGTAAAGGGACCCCTGACCCTTAGGTCCAGTCGTGGCTGACTCTGGGGTTGCGGCGCTCATCTCACTTTATTGGCCAAGGGAGCCGGCGTACAGCTTCTGGGTCATGTGGCCAGCATGACTAAGCCGCTTCTGGCGAACCAGAGCAGCACACGGAAACGCCGTTTACCTTCCCGCTGAAGCGGTACCTATTTATCTACTTGCACTTTGACATGCTTTCGAACTGCTAGGTGGGCAGGAGCAGGGACCGAGCAACGGGAGCTCACCCCGTCGCGGGGATTCAAACTGCGACCATTCTGATCAGCAACTCCTAGGCTGTGTGGTTTAACCCACAGCACCAACCGCATCCCTTTTTAAGTGTAGGTGGTTGCAATGAATTTGTTTGCCTTCTCTTGTAGTAATCCTTTCACATCTTTGCTTCCTGGCAGCCTGAGTGCTAGCTTCTTGCTTGTGATTTTCCCTTTTTAAAAAAATACACCTCCATCAAGCACATCACCCCATTTTAATGGTTGTGCTGATCTGGTTGTTGTTGTTTTCCTTCCCTCAAACACTGCTGCTGAAGCTATAAACTGAAGTAGAAGACTAGTTCTGAGAAGAGGTAGGAGAAAGAGGGACTCACCTGTCTCCCCCTCTAGAAACTGCCTCCAAAGGGAGACAGTTAAGAAGTTGCTCCTCTGCCCTCCCCATGCCAGTCTTCTGCTTCAGTTTATAGCCTCCACTGCTGCATTTTGTAAAACACACACACACTCACACACTAGGGTAGGGCACAAACTTGCACACATGTATAGCTTGGGTTTTAATCAGCAAAGGTGCTGTGGCTCTTAATATTTCTATTGTAACATCGTCAAGCTTCAAGAATGCAGCAACTCCCACCTGGTGCCAGGCAAGGTGAATAGAGTTGGAAAACTGACACAATGAACCACATACTAATCCTGCTGCCAGCTTTGTCACCCATGGATTTGCTCCAGATTAATTAAGACAAGATTTTGATCTATGTTACTTCAATGCTTTTCACACCTGCACATTTAGTCATATAATTAAAAATAATTGGGCAGAGGAACAAATATGCAGAGCCGATCCACTCTGCTTTAAATTGCAAATGTATTCATTCTTAGGGAACTTACTGACTGAATGCCATGGGTTTTTTTGGTATTGCTTTTAAATGTTTGATTAATTGGGGACATCAGAGACTGAAAACATGGAGCCACAGAGATCAGAAGGGTGGTTTCTGAAAGGATACGTGCTAAGCTTCAGCCAAATGGCAGAGGATGGTGCTTTGCTTCAGCAGAGAATCGAGCTCTCCGTGAAATGCAGTCACTGATACAGAGGCCAGTTGGAGAATAATACAAATAAATACAAAATGAAGAATGTGAAACTGGGTAGCTCCACATATTGCATTAAAAAAGATCCAAAAACAGCTTCTCTGCCTTTCTCTCCATGCAAAAACCTTGCTGGAGAAGGCACCACAACACATCACGTCACTCTCTGGGGCACCTGTGAGAAATGACTATTAGCCACTGTATGGGATCTCGAGGAGATAGTGATCTGACATGGTCCACCCTTCCGTCTCTGGTCTATTCATAATTCTCCTATCTGTATTTTATTACTTTCAATATCCCTTGTGAAAAGGCCTTGGATGTACTGATGACACTGGTCAGCAAAGCCTTTGATGTATAGCCTGGCATTTTTGTCTTTTGATGTAGAGTAGCTCTGGTTGGGCCTGTATCGTCCTAATATAGGGGTCAGCAAACTTTTTTCAGTAGAGGCCAGTCCACTGTCCCTCAGACCTTGTGGGGGGCCAGACTATATTTTGGGGACAAAAGAAGAAGAACCAATTCCTATGCCCCACAAATAACCCAGAGATGCATTTTTTTAAAAAACCACACATTCTACTCATGTAAAAACACCAGGCAGGCCCCACAAATAACCCAGAGATGCATTTTAAATAAAAGGACACATTCTACTCATGTAAAAACATGCTGATTCCCGGACCACCCGCGGGCCGGATTTAGAAGTCTATTGGGCCGGATCTGGCCCCCGGGCCTTAGTTTGCCTACCCATGTCCTAATAGGACACAGGTCTATAAAATACCTGGCTATGGAGCATGCCAAGCAGAAGCTCAGCAGAGTCTATCGGTCATAGAGCTGTGCACCAAGACTATCTGGGGGGACACTTTCCCAATCCTTCCAGGCTTCTCAGTGGCAGATTGAGGAGCTGCTTGGTAATGTATATTTTGCTTGCTATATGTAATAAAATCTGTAATCTTCTTACCCAATTGTGTTTGTATTGCTTCTGAATCTAATCATTAAAAGAACCATCTTGCATTTAGCAAAACAGCCACAATACCCCCACAGATGGAGACAGCAATACTTCTGAATACGAAGTTGCTGGAATCTACAGGTGAGGAGAGTACTCTTTTGCTCAAATCCTGCTTGCTGGTTTTCCACAGGCCTCTGGTTGCCACGGGATGCTGGACTAGATGGACCATTGACCTGATCCATCATGACAAGTTGTAGTGAGGAGTTAGCAGCCCCCAACAGTTCCTGTTTAGCTGATTGCAGCCTCTGGGAGCTTGTGGCCAGGACTTGTAAACAGGGGTGTTTGCGAAGGTGTTTTGAGGGAAAGGCCCAGAATGCGGTCTCATGGTGTGCGTAGGACCAAGAGACAGTGACCTGCAGCATCCTTGCTATATTTGTCTTCCTGCCTGAGAATGTGCACTACTCTACCTGTAGTAAGTGCAGTCTGGTTGCCTTGCTGGAAGAGAAGGTGTAGAAACTTGAGGCCCACCTATAACCACACTTCAAGCTACTGGGCAAGGTGAGGAATTTCTCAATATTGCTGAGTGGACAGTCCTGGAAGAGCAATGCAGGTGGGGTGCCCCCAGGGAGGAGGAAAATTTCCTATTGTGGGAGACAAACCCCTGGAGTTATATCTCCCCTCTACACACACATGGATGACCTCCAAGTGCCCTCACACACCTGCCTTTTTGCTGCACATTTTAACAAGGTAAACCCCTGACTTGGATTCTGAAGGATAACCAGCTTGGCTTACCATCACAGCCAGATGGCTAAGCAGAATAGTAGCTTGTCCTTCTTTGGTTGTCCACTATGGAACTATGCTCTGGCTCTTGAGACAAACTTCACGTGGCAACTTCATGTGGCAATTTTGAGTCATCATGATATTAGATGTTAATGTGTATTTCCAGCCCCTAACAAGGTTCCTGGAAGCCTGAAACAGGACCTTGTGTAGCCATTTACGGGACTTATCATATACTACTGAAACCTTCCAGCAATGTAATATAGTGCTAAGAGAGAGGTAGCTCACAACCATAGCATACATTTAAAGCTCAAGGCTTCCTCCAAAGAGTCCCAGGAACTGTAGTTTATTTAGGGTGTTGGGAATCGTAGCTCTGTGAGGAGTAAACTACAAGTCCCAGAATTCTTAGCGAAAAGCCATGTGCTTTAAATGTATGGTATGAACACGGCCAAGTTCTCTTGAACTTGACTGGGAAGCAGATTCCACAGTTGTGGTGTTAATAATACCAGCCAATCATTGCAATATGGACTCCATCCTGCAACTCCTAATTAGCGCCATTATATAACTTATACAGTGGTACCTGGGGTTGCAGACGCTTCAGGTTACAGATTCCACTAACCCAGAAATAGTACCTTGGGTCAAGAACTTTGATTCAGGATGAGAACAGAAATCGCGCTGCAGTGGCACAGCGGAGTGGGAGGCCCCATTAACTAAAGTGGTGCTTCAGGTTAAGAACAGTTTCAGGTTAAGAATGGACCCCCAGAACGAATTAAGTTCTTAACCTGAGGTACCACTGTACCAGCTGTGGGGAACCTTTGTTCCTCCAGATGCTTTTGAAGTAGTACAACTCTCAGCCCCATCAAGCATTGCCAAAGGTCAGTGTTGATGGGAGTTGTAGTTTGGCAATATCTGGATGGACAAACGTTCCCCACACCTGCCTTATAGCAACAAATAAAAAACAAACCCATGTGTTCTTTCTCACTATGTTGCTGCCTCCACCTTAGAAGTGATGTCAATTCTAAGTGTTATTACTACTTACTAACACTTATAACTGCACAATGTGCTTGCAATAAACTGTATTCCTTTGCAAGCACAAATGCTGATTTATTTATTTCGTTGATATTCCACCTATCCTCCAAGGAACTCATAGTTTTCCTCCTCCCCATGTTAATCTCACAATAACCCCTGATAGGCTGAGGCCAAGTTCACTGAGTGAGTTTCATGTTTCAGTGTGGATTTGAACCCCTGTCTTCCAGGTCCTAAGTCCAGCACTCTAACCACTACGCCACATTAGATACTGACAACACACACCCATTCCCTGCACAATACAGTTGGTTCCCCCTGTAGAAATCAAATGCAAATGGGTACAATGGTTTATACTTACGCTCGCTGCTATCGCCACTGCTGTCATTCTTAAGAGAGCTGGCAGCAACAGGATGTAACAAAATGGGCTCTGTGACACTGTTGCCGGCATCTAAGACAAACAGAGTGGATTGGTGGTCTATATTTTGGAAAACTGCAGATTATTTTGCCTGTATTATAGCATTTAACCAAGTCAACGGAACTGTTTGCAAATAATATTGACCAATAGCAACAATGCAAACAAACAAACAAAAGGTTAACAGTGACCCCCCCCCAAAAAAATCTGTTTTTTAAAACTACTCAGCTGTACCTCAGCTCAAACTTCAGAGCTGTCTTTTCTATTGGGCTTACTGGTGCGTTGAACCAGGGTGCTGGCCTTTCAGGGGCACCCCAGTGAGTGGGGGAGCTGCGCAACTTTGCCGGCGGCCTTCCCTTTCCCTGCATGCCCACCAGCTGTGCCCTGTCAATCATATGGCTGGCGGGCATGCAGCTTCCTTCCCAAGCCTCCGCAGGAGGAGAGTGATCCCCGCAGAGGCTTGGGAAAAGGTCGACAACTCTGGGAAAGGGGGGGGCGCCAGAGGGATCTTTGAACCACGGCGCTGGATATGCTTAAGACGGCCCTGTCGAACTCCCTCATAATAACCCCAGAATATGCTTGCAACCATTTTAAGAGATAGTCACCAGAAGGCCTACTGATGTGGATCAGCCCCAGTATATTGGAGGGAGGTGGAGAAAAACAGGGGGATTCAACCCTTTGTCCTCTCTGCAGTCCCAATCCAACTTCCCCCAACGCCTTTCACCCCATTCACATAGGGAAGAAACCTTCCATTAACATAAAATGATTGTCACATTCAGCAGCTGATTGTCACTACTAGTAAGATCTATGTCCATATCTAATCAGCTGCAGCTTTATATAATTATATGTGCCATATTATACAGAATTAGCACAGTCTTGCTAACAGTGCAGTCCTGAAGTTGGCATGCGGGGCAATCCACAGGTAGTTTAGCTGTCCAACCAAAGCCCTACTGGGCTCATTCCTGCAGGGTGAAAGTGAGTTTGGAGGAAACTCATATGGTTCTCTGTCCATTTTGCAACTCCCAGCAAGAACCTAGATTGATGGGATGGAAAGAAAAGTCACAGGTGGTTTGGGATACATTGGAACCAAACTGCTTCCCAGTCCTCTACAACATGCCCATGGACCTCAGAGCTCAGAAAGCAGCTGGGCCAGGGCATCAAATGTTTCCAAGGTGGCAGAACAGGGAAATTTGATATTGGACCTCCTTCTCCAAAATCTGAGACGTCTTTTCAGTGTCAGAGTGGAAGATTAAATATTTCCTCCGACCCCTGAGATAGCTTCCCGGGGACAATAGATGATCAGAGTTTGTGTCATTTGAGGACACATCCAGATAAAAATGAAGTCTTACCATTTGGGGAGGGCTCTGTTGCCGAAAGCAGAACACAGTCGCTCTGTTCTGGTGCTTTTGCAATGCTTTTGTAGACATCAATAGTGCTATTAAAGTGCTTAAAGAACTCTTCTGGAAAGAATTTACCTTCTTCATAAAGATGGTCATTATATTTTCTAAAGTTCTAAGGGGAGAAAAATAACAAAATCCATTTGTAAAGGAAGCACAAATAAGCTGAGCTACCACAGCGTGAAATGGTATGGATCATGAATAGATGGAAATGTGTTTAACAGGTGGTACAAACTGGGAGGTCAAAACTGTAAATTATAAAGGTCAAATTCAGTTGGACACATTTTCCTTGATGCAAAAGCTCTGTTCCCTGGATTTCAATTGATTTCTTTCTTGCTGCAAAACTTTATCAGTTAATGGCAAAACTGGCTCCAAACAATATGGTTTTCAGTTACATCATACTTCTTTAACATGATATTTCAGTTAACTACTAAAACACGGTTACTTTGTGTATTGTAAGCATGGGGATACCTTGGGCCAGATTGAGCAATACTCTCCTGAGCGTTTGTTTGTTTTTTTATACTAAGATTTATACCCTGCTTCCCCCTTCATTTTAACCAGCAAGTTAAGACAATAATACTAAATTCATGAGGCAGGGAGTTCCACATGCAGTGTGCTGCCACCGAAAGGCCCTTCTGCCACCAATCATAACACAGAATCTAGACTCATCAAAGAAGTGTTTCAGTTTAAAGCGTTGTATATCGCACATACAACACATAAAATCGGTTTTTCTTTACCCATCTAGCTGAGTCAAGGTCTTGACATGCATAAGAGGGTATTCAGGCAGCTTCACGTGGGCAGCAACTGATACTGATATAACTTGATCTTTAAAGGGAATACCTAGTGCTTTGAATTGCACCCCTAAATCATATGGCAGCTGGTGCAACTGATAAAATAAAAGTGGTGAATGAACTCACCACTTGGCCCCTGTCAAAATCATGGCAGTGGCATTTTGCACCAACTGTGGTTTACAGGTTGTTTTCCAGAGCAACTCCACGTAGAATGTGCCACAGTAGTTTAATCACAAAGTAATAAAGACACATGAATCCAGGGGGCTGAAACAAGGGCAGGTTTTACACCTGCCTGCCTTCAACATCATGGGAGATCTATGTGAGGGCATAATTACTTCTACAGTATAATGTTATATGCCAGTAACATTTGTAAGATTGCTATCACTTAAATTTTGGGGGAAGCAGTCCTTGAACAGATTTCCTAAATCTGTTTTAGCTATTCCCAATGGCTCAAATGTGCAGTGACTTTGCTTTCGGAAATGTGTGTGTGTGTGCATGAACACACACACACACACACACACACAAACTATGCAGGTGGCATGTACAAAACTGCCTCAGAAACTCGCTTAGATTTAAAAAATAGTTCTGTAGATGTCCAGAGCTTCCTTAGGTGTGTGGAGCCTTAGGTGTGTCTCCCAGACAACAAGGAGTCCATTTTATATACATACTGTATATAAAAAGTAGTATTGCATCCCCAGTCAAATATTAAGGATGCAATCCAAAAAATGCTTACTTGGGAATAAGTACTATTGAGCTCAGTTGGGCTTACTTCAGAGTAGGCATCTACAGAATCACACTGAAATAAATGATAAAAAGTGGATAGGAAATCTAGTTGCAGGCAGACTGAGGGGCTTAAATATAATAGCAAGAAACTAGTACAAAGTGAAACAATCCTAGAGACAAGATAATTTCCGTGTAACACTCAATAAAGATTTAGCGATATAGGCACAAGCAAGGGCAAGCCCAAGCAAAGTCCTGGGCTTGTGTTTTCCACACACACACACACACACACCCTTCTACTATGATTGGAAAAAGGACCTCTGCAGCATTTAGTTTCACTTTTAGAAAATCCTGGCTTGATGTTGTTACCTGTGAACTACAGACCATGGTTTAAAACAAATTCCAAAATTTTAAAACAATCAAACTGCAAACTGATTTGTTTAATTAACAACTTTAGAATAAATGTCTCTGATTTGCACATGAAGAGCTGGGATTTTCTGAAGGCAAAATGAAGCACTGCAGAAGTCTTTTGCCTGGCTGTGCAGGAGGCCGAGATGGAAGCAGGTGCTGAAGCTCGGCCAGGATCCTTCCCACTACATACAAACCAGTCTATTCTGTTCTGGTCTGCTCTCTATACACAAAGGTATTATTTTGCAACCAAGAGGGAAGATTAATCTTAGATTATTACCTTATTTTTATTAGTAGACAGGCATGCCATTAGATCATTGATGATCCTTGTGAGATTATTGATGATTGAGTAATTACTTAAGACATCTGACATATCTGAAAAGTCTTTAAATCTGTGCAGAAGATTATTCAGACTCGCTGACAATTCAGGAACCATCAGATACAACCAACAATGATTAGGCTGTCAGGGGTGATAAAAAGAAAAGAGAGAGAGATTACACTCCACACACAACTGTTTAAGTAATTTAAAGTGTGTAAAAGTAGATTAACGTGTCCTTTCCAATAGGTATTAGCTTGCACTTTGTCAGATTGAAAATTCAGCTGCCATTAGATTACCTGCTGTTTTCTTGAGTCCTTTTTGGAATTCCTGACAGTCCTTCTTAACATAACTAGGTCAGCCATGACTGTCAGTAGATGTTGCCAGTTCTGCTTTATCCCTGAGTCTACCAGCTTCAAAGCTGTCAAAAAAATCACTGCTAGCGTTTAACTTCTTTCACACTGAAGTATGCGGGAATCTAACACACAATCTTGTTCTTCTTTACACAATGACTTGTAGATTGATTATTATGCCTTTTATTCTTCTAATTATGCTATACTTTTTTTAAAAAGTGTATCTTCACATTAGGTTCCACAAGACCCTTTTGCTGTAAAACGCATTATGCAACCCCCACCATCCCACAATTTATGCCTTGAATTTGTCTATCTCAATGTCAAACATGGTTTACTAACACTCACAACTAAAACACAATTTGAGATCTTTAATGCAACGATTCGGTGGAGCTGCACAGGGCAGGGATGGAGAACCTATGGCCCTCCCAATGTCACTGGATTCTAGTTACTGCAAAAATCTTAACTGAGAGCAAACGGAGATGTCAAAAGCAAATAAACCAATACTGTAGAATCGCTTGCTAACTCTTGGAAACTGACCCAAATGATGAAACTCATGGTGTGTTCATTTGAGAAGCAGAAAGACCCAATTGAAGAAGCCAAGGGCCCCATTTACAAATTTCATGAGGACGAAGTACAATTTCGACCTGAGGTTTATCAGTCTATTGCATTTATTTAATGAGCATTTATGTGTGCCTTTATTTGTATTTGCACCCACTGCCCTACATGCAGAATTCTACAGCACAAATCCTCGCTGCCAATTTCACTATCCTTTTTCTGGATGGTCCACCATAAAAACAGTTGTTGGCAACAAACTAGGAAGATGGTGGGGGGAGAGGAGTAAAGGAGAACCATAAAATTCACTATACAGCTTGGTAGCATATTTCAGAGATAAGAGAGTAACTCAAATCTATTAATTCTGCTGCTCCTACAAACACTAACTTTCAGTAAAGAACATCAAGTTTATGGAGAACTGAACTTAATAGTAACATTTAAATCATAGAATCATAGAATTGTAGGGTTGGAAGGGACCCTGAGGTTCATTTAGTCCAACCCCTTGCAATGAAGATGTCCCGTATGGGGATCAAACCTGCAACCTTGGAGTTATCAGCCCCATGCTCTAACCAACTGAGCAAGCCACAAAACTTGGATTACCCACCCTATCTTTTTCAACACTCGCAGAAGAAGGTTCTTCCTCGTTCATGCTTCCATTTGCACATGCAAGAATACACACACACACACATACACACACACACTAAAACCATTTTACTTACTCTTCCTGCCAGCGAACAGACTTCCCTTGGCCTTTAACTGAGCAGCACCCACCCACACTATTCTTTGCAGTTTGTACATTTGCTTTTTGGCCCACAGAATTAGATGCTTGGCTGAAAGTAATTTGCAATGCATTAATTTTTTTTTTTTAAATGTTGGCATTGGATGCATTTTATAGATCTGTGTTGCTGACACATTTTGGCTTGGAATATTTTTTGTTGCACCAAGTGCCAAAAACTAATATATTTCTTCAGTTGACTGAAAGCATGCTAATTGGGCTTGTTCCACCTTGCCCTCCCCCACATATTGATTTAAGTTTAAAACTGATTTAAGGGCTATCACACGGAAGGTGAAGAAAGCTTGTTTTCTCCTGCTCCAGACGGTAGGACCCAAACCAATAGTTTCAAGTTACGAGACAGGAGATTTCTACTAAACATCAGGAAGAACTTTCTGGCTGCTGTTTGACAGTGGAGCAGACTTCATTGGAGGTTTTTAAGCAGAGGCTGGATGGCCATTTGCCATTGATGCTTTAGCTGAGATTCTTGAATCACAGGGGATTGGACTAGATGACCCCCAAGATCCCGTCCAATTCTACAATTCTATGGTTCTGTAAGAACTTCATTAGATGTTTTGAAGGGGGGTACTGTTGTAATACTGATGATCTGCAGCTTTGGCTTTCTTATTCATCAAAGCAGAGCTGTACACTGTGTAGATGAGGCAGCATGAAAACACACCAATGGAAATTATGAATGATCACTTCACATCCAAACTATTGTCAGAATGGTCCAGATGTTTCAGTGTCCATGTGTTTTTAATTTAAGGTACTGGACATTGTTGTGAGAAAACTGCACCACAAGTATGAAAACAAAAAGCTGCTCCACTGATGTGGATATATTGATAACCACAGTTCCACATTTTGGAACACTTGGGGGGGGGAATAGTGGAAGGAACTAAGGGCCTCAGACAGAAGAAACTCAGAACAGCCGTCATTTCTTATGCTGGCCAGCTGGACGCCTTGGGAACGCATAAGCACAGCATGAAGATCAAAGAAACATTGTTGTTGTTGTTTAGTCGTTTAGTCATGTCCGACTCTTCATGACCCCATGGACCGGAGCACGCCAGGCACTCCTGTCTTCCACCGCCTTCCGCAGTTTGGTCAAACTCATGCTGGTAGCTTTGAGAACACCATCCAACCATCTCATCCTCTGTCGTCCCCTTCTCCTTGTGCCCTCCATCTTTCCCAACATCAGGGTCTTTTCCAGGGAGTCTTCTCTTCTCATGAGGTGGCCAAAGTATTGGAGCCTCAGCTTCACGATCTGTCCTTCCAGTGAGTACTCAGGGCTGATTTCCTTAAGAATGGATCGGTTTGATCTTCTTGCAGTCTATGGGACTCTCAAGAGTCTCCTCCAGCACCATAATTCAAAAGCATCAATTCTTCGGCGGTCAGCCTTCTTTATGGTCCAGCTTTCACTTCCATACATCACTACTGGGAAAACCATAGCTTTAACTATACGGACCTTTGTTGGCAAGGTGATGTCTCTACTTTTTAAGATGCTGTCTAGGTTTGTCATTGCTTTTCTCCCTAGAAGCACGCTGCATTATACCAAGTCAGAGCCTTGGTCCAGCCTAGCTCAGCATTGCCTTCACAGACTGGCAGCAATTTTGATGGCCTCAGTTGGGATTTTTTTGCAGATCAACCTGGAGGAGATCTTTCCATGCAAAGCATGTACATCAGGCAGGCAGCAATGTTGAGAGGCTCACACGGCAGTCCAAGAAGTAAGGATTCCCATCTCCTCTTTTCCTTGTCCCACTCCCAGTCCTATATCCAGCCTCCTCCCCTCCCTATTTTATCGCTTAATATATCTGGATACTTGTTCTGGCAGCTTACCGTCTTTTCCACCTTTTCCCTCTACTGGTTGGGCAACCTCTATCAATTTGACACTTTCTAATCTTAGCTATTACTGTTATTACAATATTAATATTTTAATAATAATGTTTTTTATTATTTGCTGGGGGCAGGGAGTGTATTAGCAGAAGAAAGGAGCTATGTTGCCCCATTTGAAAACATCTTCCAACACCACCTAAAAAGGAGGGAGTCTCTTTCTGGAAAGAGAATTAACCCCTTGTGGCATTGTTATTAACACAACTGGGGTGTTAATAATACCAGTTGTAGGATTAATTATTATGTTCTAAATATAGTTTGGGACACGGGTGGCGCTGTGGGTTAAACCACAGAGCCTAGGACTTGCCAATCAGAAGGTCGGCAGTTCGAATCCCACAACAGGGTGAGCTCCCGTTGCTCAGTCCCTGCTGCTGCCAACCTAGCAGTTCGAAAGCACGTTAAAGTGCAAGTAGATAAATAGGTACCGCTCCAGCGGGAAGGTAAACGGCGTTTCCGTGTGCTGCTCTGGTTCGTCATGCTGGCTACATAACCTGGAAGCTGTACGCCGGCTCCCTTGGCCAATAAAGCGAGATGAGCGCCGCAACCCCAGAGTCGGCCATGACTGGACCTAATGGTCAGGGGTCCTTTTACCTTTTTAAATATAGTTTAAAATATACCTACTAATGCAAAATTAACCAATCTCATAAATTAGTTTTTGCCACTCAAAACAATGTTATTCTGAAGGGAAGTGTCCCTGTTTTAATATTCCTCACAAAACCAAACAATACAGCACTTAAGAGCTCTTACCAAGGCTAACAAAATTTGCAGGCATTTCGAGTTTTATTCAACTAAATTATACTCATGAGTAGAACCACTGAACTCAATAAACAAAATTTAACAATGGCCATTAACCATGTCCAAAGTTTCTACTCTGAGTCGATTAACACTGAATACACTGAATACACTGAATTTTTTTTTTATTCTGAAAGCATCCGGATATTTCTAAAACAGCATGAATATTGCATTGGAATAAGGAGCATTTAGGACAGGCAGAATTATGCAAGAAAACAACAAAGAAAGGCATATATGTCAGGGAAATAAAATATACTTTTGATTACCCAGTGCATTCATTAAAGAGATAATCATAATAATTATCACAACTAAAGAAGCTGTTCACCTCCTTTATCTCTGGCAATGTCTTGTATGGATTTCCACTGTGGAAATGATAATTATACATAGGCTTATCCCTTTTGCTGCCAAAGCCACTGTACAATAGGATCGAAAATATAAATCAAAGATTCAAACCAAAAATCTGTGTTTTCTGCCTTGCACACTAATGTGCATTTATTGCATTTTATCACTAAAGAAAAGATATGGGGCACTCTCAAGCAGAAAAATAGTGTGGTTAATGGTAAGGGAAAAGGTTTAAGCCAGGGGTTGTTAGATGTTGTTGTTTTTCCCCTGAGGGCATTCACCTGTGGTCCAGGCTTGGGGCAGAGCATCCCTTTCTGGGTGTGGCCAAAAAGGGGCATTGCTATCCCACACTCTTGCATAAACTCTCTCACATAGTAATAATAATAATAATAATAATAATAATAATAATTCATTTATTTCCCCAGCCACTCTGGGCAGCTTCCAACAGAACATTAAAAACAGAATAAAACTTCAAACATTAAAAACTTCCCTAAACAGGGCTGCCTTCAGATGTCTTCTAAAAGTCTGATAGTTGTTGTTCTTTTTGACATCTGGTGGGAGGGCGTACCACAGGGATGGCGCCACTACCGAGAAGGCCCTCTGCCTGGTTCCCTGTAACCTCACTTCTCGCAGTGAGGGAACTGCCAGAAGGCCCTCGCCACTGGACTTCAGTGCCCGGGCTGAACAATGGGGGTGGAGACGCTCCTTCAGGTATACTGGGCCGAGGCCGTTTAGGGCTTTAAAGGTCTACACCAACACTTTGAATTGTGCTTGGAAATGCACTAGGAACCAATGTAGGTCTCTCAGGACCAGTGTTATATGGTCTTGGCAGCCACTCCCAGTCACTAGTCTAGCTGCCGCATTTTGGATTAGTTGCAGTTTCCGAGTCACCTTCAAAGGTAGTCCCACATAGAATACACACATGGGAACATAGGCCTCCTCATCAGTGGATTCGGGCAGATCATTTGAGGAAGTGTGTTTAAAGCTCACCTCCATGCATTAAATGACTGATCCGATAATGGGTGAGGAGGCAATTTCTGTCCCAATGAGGGTGTTGGGCTGGGCAGAACATTGCATATATTTACCCTTCTTAGATCTGCCCAAATTTGTGGGGGTCATAGGGTGTGCTGGGCTGAAGCTTAGCCACTCCTGGTTTAAGCTTAACTCACCCACAGAAACCACTGAGTCTTAGTACTGATCAATATCTTTTGAAGTAAATAGCTTTTGAAAGGCCTTTGTTTAGTAAGAGCTTTAACAAAACCTGAAGTTCTCATCTCATAAGAGCAGAAAACAAGAATCATCAAGGACTCCCATGGTTGTTTTACAAAGAATATAATTCAAGCGGTTGTACATACCAGACTGTCCATCTTCCGGACATATTTAAGGGTTATCATATAATCATTTGGAAGATTTCCAACCTACAGACAGACAATAAAGGACATTAAAGGTTATTTAGTGGTTCTATATAAAATAAAGCTTAAATTTAATTATGTGCTATATAGAAAAATATCATTAAATGTTCTGCTAAAGCAGGGGTGGGAAATGCATAGCTCTTCAGATGCTGCTGGACTAAAACTTCCATCATCCCTGGCCACTGGCCATGTTGACTGGGGCTGATGGGAATTGGAGTCCAATGAAATCCTATACAAAGGTAGTGCATGAATCCAAGACTCATCGTGGCTTGTGCTTATTTTCTATTACATCTGAATTCTGAACTGGAACAGTAGGTTATTGGGAAAGGCTGCTAATTCCTCATCCCAGTCATTGCTGGAGAAGATTTTCAGCTTGCCAGATGGAATGATTTCCCCATACGCTGTTCTTAAGGTTCTCCGGATCCCCCTAAGCCAGTTTGGGGAGATGGGGGCAGAAGAGGAGGCAAAGCCCCATTGCATTAGTGGAAGTCCTTATGCAGGCATCCATGAGTCGAATCCCACCCTGTATTTCTCATCATCCTGACAGCAGATAATTTGGGATCCAGCAACAGCCACACTTCAAGCAAAAGGGAATACATTGTTTTCCATACTCGGTATGCAGGAAGGGATTTGATACTTAGCAATGTCAGCAACTGTATATTCCTTTAAGAAAGGTCACTGCAAGATTAAATTTGTTCCAGATCAACAAGCACTACAAGAATTGGCATGCATTATGTATACAATCTACTTTACCGGCATCAGGGCCTGTCAAGCACTTTTCACGCACAGTTAAAAAAACACACACAAAAACGTAAGTGGTCAAGACTACAAATTCAAGGAGTAAGAGCATTACTTCCAAACAGAAAACAACTCAGCATGAGACAGCTTGTGCATGACAGTGGATAATATATATGCATGGTGTCTTACTCAGAAAACTTTCCTTAATTGCAAATTATTTATAGAATTGTCTATCAAATATAGTTGTAATTTTGCAGTCTCATCTATGTCCAAGTCACAGCAAGTCCAAAGTGGTCACGTGGATACTATCTCAGCAAAGCACATACTTAGAAGGATCCTCCTCAGAATCCTAGTCCTCCAACCCTTTCAGCCTTGCATTACCTTCCTTGATTTCCGAAGTATTTGCCTTTCCTGCCTCTCTTAACTCTGTCAGCTGATCTTCTTTGAAGGTTGCATGCCTCCTCTGATGTCACAGAAAGCACTTGGATAGACCCTTACAATTTAAATGTCCAGAGCCAACAGTTGGGAAATTTACATAAATCATGTGAAATTCAGTAAGACCTTTCAAGGTCTCAATCAGGGAGATAGTTGCACACCCTTTGGCCAAAAGATAACACAGGCCTGTGTATCACTTCCTTAACCCATTTGCAATGGGTTGTTCCTGGTCCAGTAATCTGGTAAGCAACCAACTCCAGCGCTACTTGTGACACAGCTGCTTGCAAGGTGCTCTGTAAAGCACCTGCTTCCTGCATGGGAACTGGAAAATTGAGGTGTGTCATGCCCTTGGCAGGCCACATCACACGGAGCAGATGAGCCACTTTGGCTTGTGGTGGCACAAATTCTTCTGCAAAATAATGCTTCAGATGTCTTTGGGTGCCACTTCTCTGGCAACAGAGACACTGTCAGAGACCTAAGAAGGAGGGGAAATAATCTACTACTACTGTGACTTAGGGAAAGACAGCCAGGAACACCCTAAGGAAGCTGCCTTAGTCCAGCCTTCTCCAACCTGGTGCCCTTTAAGATGAACAAAACCTCCAGCTGGTGAGAGTGGTAGTCTAACCAGGTTGGGGAAGCCTATCCATTCAAACTGGCACCAGCTCTAGAGGGTTTTTCTAGGCTGAAAGTTTTCCCAGCCTAGATATCTAATTAATTAGGCTCTTAACACAGAATGAACATCATTTTTTTGTGTCACTAGCTCAGTAGACCAATCCCCTTCACCTGCCTGCTTCTCTATTTGCATGCCAAGCTGTATATATAGTACTCCAAACAAACATACATAACCAGACTCAGAAAACAGGCCTGCCATTTCTGGTAGAGCTGATGACTAAGCAATGGTGAGGCCTCGGTAGAGCTGCTCACTAGGAAACTTGTACTCCAGTTCTACCTCTCCATCATTTCTCAACGAGTAGACCTGCTGTCCATCTGTGGTTGGGCCGGGCACCCAGATAATGCTTTTCTATGCACTACTGCAGCTCTCAATTGCCCCACCCCCCCTTCAGCCCTTCATTAACTGCAATGCTGCTACAAGTCAACTTCACAGATTCCCCACACCTCTATTTCCCTAGGAAAACCCACATAGCCATGATGATAATGCTGGACTACGTCTCCTCAAAAGGAACATGAAATAGTGGGTTGTTGTTGTTGTTGTTGTTGTTGTTATTCCCCGCCCATCTGGCTGGGGTTTCCCAGCCACTCTGGGCAGCTTACAGCATATATAAAAACATAATAAAACATCAAACATTAAAAACTTCCTGATATAGGGCTGCCTTCAGATGTCTTCTAAAAGTTGTGTAGTTCTTTATCTCCTTGACATCTGAAAGGAGGGTGTTCCACAGGGAGGGTGCCACTACTGAGAAGGCTCTCTGCCTGGTTCCCTGTAACTTCACTTCTTGCAGTGAGGGAACCTGCAGAAGATCCTCGGAGGAGGACCTCAGTGTCTGGGCTGAGCGATGGTGGTGGAGACTTAAAGTGGGCTGGGGGTACCTCAAAGCCCAGAGGCAGAATGTGGACCTCTAAGCCTCTGTATTTAGAGCTTAGGGTTCTCACCAGTCATATTCCCCACCAGCCTTCCTCACCACCTTCCAACAGACCATATGGAATGTGGGCCGATTCCAATTTTTTTGAGGACTGTTTACTACCCAGCACCTCAGCTCTGTGGTGCTTCTGTGTCCTTTTCCTCCTTTATGTGATGTGCCCTGAGCCATTTTCTCCAGCTGGTTTCTACTAGGAGGATTTGGGGAAAGCTGTAGAAAGATGAAGTGGGATTACCATTACCGAATTATCAGTACAATAAATGTTTATGTGTTCAGCAGTAGCATTGCTGCAGGGCAGGATCAAGAATGAATATCTGATCCCTAAGTTTGTTTTGGGAAGGAACACTGAACGTTTTGCTCTTGGAACTCAGGTTAAAAGGCTGCAATGATTGCCATAAGCAATTACATATACTAAATGACAAACACATGTATTATATACTTAGCCAAGGCTGTATTTGTTTTGTTTGCCTAATGTTAATAGTTTAGATATGATGTTTCCAGTGTGAGTAGACTATGAAACAGTAAAGTGTTTCTTACCATAAAAATGAACTATCTTAGCACATACATTTTGGTATAAGTTGAGCTTGGCCAGCCCTACCACTAGACAGAGTGAGGCAGATGCCTCAGGTGGCAAATGCCAGAGGACAGTAGTATCCCTCCTATCATTCACTCCAAGGGTAGCACCTTTTTTATATATATAAAGGGGGAACCTCTGGTTGCAGATATCTTTGGGGAAATACCGTAGGTCCCATGATTAGTGCAACATATAGTACTTCTGATACAGAGAGGAATCTCCTCTTTCATTAGTATGTGCACAACTACTCTGGAAGCACTGAATGACCACTCACTTTGCATCCCTTCCTTGCATAAGCAGAAAATGATCTGCAGACTTGCTCTGCTAGCACACAGAGTACATTGTTGCATGTGCAACAATCCTAACACACACCCAGGTGATACCTAGACCAGAAGAGTTTTATTGAGCTTTTTGATCACTATCACAATCTACAACCGTGGGACCCTTTTCCCTTGGGAGCTTTCCCAAAAGTTTCAAGTGTGCTTTTATAAAATTAGTGTGCTTTTAAAATTCACTTAAGGCAAGTTATAAAATTTAATTTGTTGTTACTCACAGTCAGAGTTTTCCGGGTGCAAATTAAAAACAAACAATGAGAAGAGTTGGAAAGGCACAGTTGTTGTAGGATGATAAAGAGAAGGTGGGATGGTTCAAGAGAGGATAGAAGGAGCAAAAGGACTGGAGTGAGTTCCTTTCAGATGGCAGAATTGGCTTCAGACAGTGAAAAGGAAGGTCACAAAGGAGGGGTGTTTGAAGAATGATTCCAAAGGTTTAAAAAGATGCCAAAGATTATGAGCAAATTGATGGCCACCTCTTATTGATGGTATCATAAAGAATGGCAACTTAATGTGTTACAGGATCACAGAAAACCATCACAGTAATCCAATCATGGACACACAAACTTAGAAACAGCATCAAAAGAGCAGCACCAACTAATCAATACAGCAGCAACAGAATCAAAAGCTTGTTTAAAAAGCAAAGTTTTCCACTGCTAGTAAACACAAATAAGGAGGAAGATGATTTAACCTCTTGAAGCAGGGAGTTCCACATATGAGGTCTGACCTCATACACACACACACACACCATAAAAACATTCCTGTCTTGCCAGCAAGTCTCCTCAAAGGCAAGGGAACATGCAAGGGAAACACCCACAGATGCTCTTGGGGACCCCAAGCCTGGGGGCCAACTGTGCCCCCACAAGCCTCTTTATATGGGACTCTTCCCAGCACTACTTTGAACCCTCCTCAGCTGTTTTTGCCTAGCTGCAATATGCCCTCTAGCTCTGATAATGCCTCCTTGAATGGAGGAGAGAGGGGTGTGTGAGAGTGTTTGTAGAAACTAGCCTACAATACAAAGATCTAGTCAGCCTTCATTGCTCTGTCAATTTTTGCCTCTGGCCCCTCCCACCAGTGGCATGCAGCCCCTGGAAGGTTTTCCAGAAGAGAATTCACCCCTTGTGCTGAAAATAGCTCCCTCTGCAGCTGAGACAATGAAGGGGCCACATGATCTCTGCTTCTTGTCCAAGTCAAGATTTTAGCAGCAGAATTCTGTACCAACCGATACTTCAGAGTAGTTTTCATGGGCAGTGGCACATATATCCATTATGGTAGTCCAGCTGAGATGCAGCTAATGAATGTAGGACCATAGTCAATAGGGGCTTAGAGAATCGTAGAACTGTAGAGTTGGAAGGGACCGTGAAGGTCAACTAATCCAAACCCCTGCAATGCAGGAATCTTAGCTGAGGCATCCATGACAAAGGGCCATCCAACCTCTGCTTAGAAACCTCCCAGGAAGGAGAGTTCACCACCCCTCGTGGGAGACCTTTCTGCTGTCAAACAGCGTAATACAGTGAAATGTACGAGACTGACAAAAATCAACCTGTTTATGAGTCTATGCTTATTTGTGTCATTTGGTTCAGATTACTTTGTTGGTTGTATAATACCTTCCATTCAAACAAGGACAATAATAATTTTTAAAGGGAAGTTTGCACTTAGACCAAAGCTTATATGTGGCTTTTGTGTAGGAACAGGCCATTTGTTGTTTGGATAAATAGCTGAACAAAGCCTTATGGCTTCACTTAGCACAGCTGCTAGATCTTCCGTTTCATTTCATTTGCCCCTTCTCTGTATTTGCAGTTTGTTTCTTCTGCTTAGATGTCTGATTCTCACTTTCTTTCCTACTTGTACATTTCTCCTCTCTTATATTCTCCCACACGATACATTTCCTCTTTATTCCTTCTGTCTCAGCTGGGAAAGTGTGCTTCCCTTCTAAGTAGAGCAATGAAACAGTTAACGATATTTACTTATTTAACAGCGCAATACTAAAACCACTTATGCCAGACCACTTCTACTGAAGTTGATGACTCTTGAGTAAGTGGATCGTGAACAGTGATTATAAAACTGTGCGGCATCACTCATAAAACCATATTACATTAACACAATTAATAGAAAATGAATATTATGTGCATAGAATGTTTCCAGACAGCTCATGAAAATATAAAAAGCATTGTTTCAGAGTTGCCGCTTAAAATTAAAAGCCTGGAGAGGAGGGTAATTAAAATTAAGCACAGCAATTAAAAAATAGGAACAGCAGCAATGCACACTAAAATTGTAAATTCTTCCAGACCCCCATCATACTGCCTTACATGAGTAAGCTGAGCAGAGACACACATAAGAGTGCCTTTGAAATGGTTTGTAAAAGGCCAAGCATGTACGCTTATTTTTAGAAATCTGAAAAAAGACTGTCTGTCAAACAGAGAAGGGCTGTAGCACAGTGGTAGAGCACAAACTTTACATGCAGGTTCAATCCCTGGCATCTCTAGATAGGGCTAGGAAAGATTCATGACCCAAACCCTGAAGAATCCCTGCCAGTCAAGTATATTGTACTGAGCTGGGTGGACCAGTGGTCTAAGCCATTTCTTATGCCTCACAGATCTAAGCAATAACTTAAATATTTTGGCCCCGGTGTAATGCTCTGCTTGTTCTCAGAAAACTCCCCAAAAGTGTAGCATAATGGTTAGAATGTTGTACTATGACCTGGGAAACCAGAGTTGGAATCTTCATTCAGCTATGAAGTTCACTGGGTAACCTTGGGCCAGTCACCATCTCTTAGCCTAACCTACCTCACAGGGTTGTGAGGATGAAATAGAGAGGAGGTGAACCATGCACACCACCTTGAGCTCCTTGGAAGATAAAGGTGGTATATAAATGTAGCGTATATAAAAAAGAAGAAGTTCAAGCATAGAATCACGTTAGGAACTGTTCTTGGCGCTTGAGTAACTGGCGATGGTGGGGAACCATGCAAAGGTGGGAATTGTCTGCACATTGTGTCTGAAGAACTGGACATGGAGGAAGGGGTTGATTTCCTTCATGAGCACAAATCACTCTATGTATAAGATAAGCCAACAGCTGCAGAGTCAGCCCAGTCAGTGCTGACTGTATAAGTCAGACATGGCCAAACTTGGCCCTCCAGCTGTTTTGGGACTACAGTTCCCATCATCGCTGATCACTGGTCCTGTTAGATAGAGATGGTGGGAGTTGTTGTCCCAAAACAGCTGGAGGGCCAAGTTTGGCCATGCCTGGTATAAGTGATTAAGGCATATCACACTCAGTCTTGTGCTGTCTGTGTCGGAGTCAATCTTGAGAAGTGATTCAAAGATCTGAATTGATGGAGCAATGGAGGTATTTCTACTTATCTGTATCTGTATCTGTATCTGCAAAGCCTACAAGCTGTATGTATATATCAACGCCCAGAAATGTATTACTGAAGCCTTATCTTCTTCAACAGTAAACTATTTGGACCTTAAGCTGCCTCTGTGTGGCGAATGGAACTGGGGGCAACTTCCACTGTGTGGGTATCTCACCTCAGAATTCCAACACATTCGAGGATCCATGTGTGCATTGTTTATGAACTTCCCCACCACCACCAAACAAGCAAACATTAAACTCCTTGTTAGGAAAAACAACAACATGAAGCTATTTCATTTTCCCTTGGGAAGCTGGTAGGTGTGATTGTTCGTACTGCACAAGTTAATAACCACATTTCTTCCAATGTGGAGATCAGCTTCACCATAAATATTTATGGTAGCATGAAATGGATTGCATGAAAGCATGTAACTTGCAAGAGCTCAAAAATCTCAAAGGTTTACTGTACCGAAAGAGAGATGATCATATGCAGGACTGTTTCATACCACGTCTTACCATCTCATTCCCCTCCCCACAGCCACACACATTGCAAATACCACAAAGCTAAACCATGGCTTGACACAAGCACATGACTGTGGGCGCTGCAGAAAGAATATTGTGGTTACTTGCTCCTCCTTTGGTTCTGCTACATTGCTGTGACCTAAACTATGGTTTGGCTTAGTGTGCCATCCAAACCTGGTTTTGTAATTTATCTCCTCCACATAAACCACAAACCAAATGCTATAGAACAAACCTTTCTAGAGGGAGAAAAACCATAAGCCTGGATATGGATGACATGTTAAGCCAAACCATGGCATAGTTCACAGAAGCACAGCAGCATCAGGACTGGAGGAGGAGCAAATGACTGCAATCTCCTTTCTGAGATCCTGTGATTTCACACTAAGCAGGGCTGTAGTTAACGGAGCGATAGCCAGGCTCTCAGCCCTGGGTGAAGCTTCTACAGGGGCACCACTGAGGCTCCCAGCTTGCAAGGGCTTCCTCTGACCCCACCACCTCTTTGCAGCTCCAGAGTCTAAAAGTGTCCTTCCTGTCTTTTGTAGCAGTGTGGATCTTGAGATCCTCCTTCCCCTTTCCCCCTGTCTGTTTTGGAACTGTGTGCGAAAGAGAAATCCTGGAGAAAGTTGCTCTCCAAGCAAGTTAGAAAGGGAAAGTTTTCTTTCTTTCTTTCTTTCTTTCTTTCTTTCTTTCTTTCTTTCTTTCTTTCTTTCTTCTTCTTTTGCTTCCATCAATGTCTCAAAGATCAATTAAAAGTGGTGAAGAGATCAGAACACCACCTCCTGCCCGTTTTGGGAACAAAAGCACTTTGGAGTATTGCTTGCTTATGTTTGTTCTCTCCCTCCCTCTCCCTCCCTCTCTCTCTCTCTCTCTCTCTGTGTGTGTGTGTGTGTTTGGATCTAGAGGACAACATACATGTTTACACCATATGAATACATAAAGAGGGCACTGCTGCATACAATCAGCTGCAAAAATTGAGTCCTCTTCATACTGAAAATAAAATATCTGCAATGAAATAAATGTGATGCTGACATATGAAGCACTTTGTATTTATCCCTTCCTGGTGTGTGTGTGTGTGTGTGTGTACACAAACACATGTGGGGTGGTGGTGGCAAACCGAGTCTTTGCCCCAGGTGACAGAAGGCCTAGTTTCAGCCCTGCACTAAACCATGGTTTGGCTTAGCTTAATGTGCAAACTGGATTAATGTGGAGCAGTATCAGCTAATGTTTCCCTTATTTTATTTACTCATTTCCACATTAAAAGCAACATGTTTCTCATAAGTGAGGGAACATGTGTTTTCTAGAATCCATGTGACTTTAAAAAAATTGTTCAGCTCACAAGATCTCTGTACATTGTTCATAACTGTACTGCATGCTGTTTTACTTGTTCTTTACTTGGGGGTAAAACATGCAAGGCTGTGTGTTACGAATTGTTTCTCAGTGACATTTCCATTATCTGAGTCTTGCTGGGATGATCTAATCTAAATTGGCAGAAACCCCTTTGAGATGCATTTTTGTAAAAGAAAAAAACAATACAATTCATAAAAGACTGCCCTTTTTCTAATTAGGGAAAAAGCACGCGATTTGGTTTGTCTTCCATAAGATTGTGAGAACACAAGCAGAAAGCTCCTCAATCCATTATTTTCAAGTAAAAACACACAAACGAAACACTCAGGTTTAGGTTAAGGGGCCAGGGGGCCTATTTACCATGGGCTTGAGAGAAAAGCTAATACTAGCACTTGGGGAATTTGCTAATGGGCATCAAAAATGGACCAAAGAAAACAAATTAAGAACATCTGAGATGTGCTGCTGACTGTTAGAACAAACATTTGAGTTGAAAAGGAAGCCCTCGAAGGCTGCTGTCTTGGATGCTGCAAATCTGGGGTAGCCAACATGATGCTCTCCAGAGGTTGCTGGATTGCAGCAATTATTGCACGCCAAAGTGCTGTGAAACCATTGCCCCACCCAATCAAGGACTACACATGGCAATATTCATTTTGGATTGAATTAGCCACAACCCTATCGATTACAGATGTAAGGGGTTTGGCCTAGGCATTGGGTATATTCTATATCAACCAACCTACTTGTTGGATGTTTTATGGGGGCTGATCCAGAGATGGTTAGGCCCTGTGACATACATCAAATATCTTCTTGACTGGATTGCTGCCTTGAGGAGCGCTATGACCCTGGACCCCACACATGGGCATCTGGACAGAAGCACCTCCTCCTGGATTCCTTTAATGGGGTACCTGTTCCCTCAGCGGGGCAGACAGAGGCTTACAGACTCTCCTCCAACCAAGGCTAAGGCCTAACTCTAAGTTGTGACAATTGTTATGAGGAAGGTAAAACCTTCAGATGAGGCAAATTAGTCTGACAGAAAAATTCCTCCCTGGTCCCCAATATTGGGACTGAGATCATCATCTATAACAAGGTCATGCACTGAGCAATCACCCACAGTAACAGGTAGGCACAAGCTGAACCCAAATGGAAAAATGGCAGTGCCAGGGAAGGGGCTAGCTGCTTTTTATTTCTGAGAAGTGGACCAGAGTGAAGTCTTCCTTTGGACCTTGTCTGCCCTGGGCCCATCAGCAATTGGTCAATTTACAGGCAGGTTGAATCCAAGTCCCCCCAGCCAACGAGAGAGTGACCTGGTCCCTCACTGGCTGGAGGTCCTGAGTAGAGAGAATTCCCTTGGGATGAGGTGGTGGAGTCAATGCCTGACTGCAATACTGTGCTACAGTGGAGATGAGCAGAATTCCCATCATCCCTGATGATTGGCCATGCTAGCAGGGACTGCTGGGAATTGGAGTCCAACAGTTTCTGGTGGGCACAGAGTTGGCTAGCTCTGCTGTAAACACAACCATTTTTGTGAATGCACTTTCAATCTTCAATTGTAAGTCAAGAAGCACTTCCGTCAACATGCTTTCCCCAGTGTCCCTTCTCGCTTACTGTAGTCTGCTTACTGTGGCTGCTTAGCATAGTCACAACACTTAGTATATAAAAAGAAGGTTACAAGGAAAGCCACTTGCCAGTTTTGCAATGTCATACACATCATCCGTCACAGGATTCCCGCAGGGACTTTGGGCTCTGATAAAAGGATTAAGGAGGAGCAGCTGAAGATAAAAGCAAGTGATAATCCAAGTCTGTAAAAGAGAGGGAATATTTGCTTGGTAAACTTCACAAGAACCAATTACATACATGTGATACTTTGAAGTGAAACATTTCTTGGCTAGTAAAATAGTCAATCACTGGCTTACAAAAATGCAGACGAGTATGATAAAAATGCTGATATCATGGGTTAAGATTTCATTGGGCAATATTTGCAGAAACAAATTCATGCTTCCAAGGCAAATATAAAGTTCTCCACAGAGCAGACTCATTGAAATTAATAGACCTAACTCTGTAATGTTCATTAAACCCCATGGATTCAACTCTGAATAAAACTTAGTTGAATACTACCCAAAGTGTTTATCTCCTCAACCCAGTCGTCTCAAGGAGACATGAAAATGCCTAGAACAGGCTCAAGATGCCTAGAATATATTTCATAAGTTAAAATAAATGTTTTTGTTAGTTGGGTAATAGGAGCATAAAATAGGCTATTCATAAAATGTTTGCTATTTGACTATAGGTTGCACCCAAGTTTTACTGAGAGTAAACTCAAACTGAAAAGGATGCACCTAAGTGTTCATTCATTTAAAGGGGCTTCTGCCGAGTATGGCTAACGTTGGATGCAAACCCTATTTATATACAAATTTGTTTACTGCTCTCATGAGCCATTTTAAGCATCATTTGGAAAAGTGGCATATAGATTACTGTATTTTTCACTCTATAAGACGCACCAGACCACAAGACGCACCTAGTTTTTGGAGGAGGAAAACAAGAAAAAAAATATTCTGAATCTCAGAAGCCAGAACAGCAAGAGGGATCGCTGCACAGCGAAAGCAGCGATCCCTCTTGCTGTTCTGGCTTCTGTGATAGCTGCACAGCTTGCATTTGCTCCATAGGACGCACGCACATTTCCCCTTACTTTTTAGGAGGGAAAAAGTGAGTCTTATAGAGCAAAAAATACGGTATTTTGAAGATGATTTTAAGTACCAGCAGCTGGACAGCAACAGTGGGAAAAGGTATTCTACTTTTGAGCCATGCTGGTGGACTTTCCAGGGACATTGACTTGGCCACTGTGAGAAGCAGGATGCTGGACTAGGTGGCATTTTGGTCTGTTCTGGAAGGGTTCTTTGTTGGTCCTTACCATATTCACACAAGCAAAGATGTGAAATCCCACTTCAGGAAACCAGTTCCATGCAAACAATGATCCTGAGATGCGGACACACTTCACACATTAGAATAGCACACCCAGCTTTCACATGTTACAGCTGAGCATTTCCCCAAGCCAGAGCACCCAAGGGTAGCACTCTTTGAAATTGCACTTCAGTGTAATGAAGCTGATCACAGAGACTTGCCTATAGTTTCATTTTTGCACTTCCCCAGCAAACCACACATTTTTGCTTGCATTTTATCTTAAAATATGCATTCCATATGCATTTTAGCACCTTTTTTTAATCCAAGAACTGTTATCTCAGAATTAGACATGCAAAAACCAAAGGATAACCATGTTCTGATCCATATATTTGTCTCGGAATTGTGAATTAGTTTGGCTCCTTAAAAATGTAAGCAGAGCCCTGCCAGATCAGGCCAAGAGTCCATGCAGTCTAGCATCCTGTTCTCACAGTAGCTAACTTGATGCCTTTTAAAAGCTCATAAGCAGTGCATGAGTACAAGACCACTCTCCCCACCTGTGATTGCCAGCAACTGGCAGAATTCAGGGCATACTGCCATTGAGAGCCTTCTCCTCTATGAGTTTGTCTACTCCTCAGTTAAAGCCACTCAAGTAGGTAGCCATCACTACCTCTTGTGGGAACAGGTTCTAGAGTTAAGTACTGTGTGAAAGTACCTCCTTTCGTCTGCCCTGAATTTTCCAATATTCACCTTCATTGGATGAACCAGTATCATAAGAGAGCAGGAAAAACCTTCATTACGTGCTTATAAACCCAATGCACACATGGAGTCTGTTCTTAGCTGTTAAGGCTACTAGGAACATCCAGCACCAATTTGTTTGATCCTTTTAACAAACCAATCTGTTCCAATGACCCATCTTGCAGCAATAAATCTGTAAGTCAACTGTGTAGGAAAGTCACTCGTTTCACAGTTATCAAATTACTAGCAATTAATTTAATTCATTGTAATTATCTTGAATTATTTGTGTAGAAATGGACTGCACATAATTTCTTTTGTCTCCGTATTTATTTTTGGTATTTGCTGCCCTATAACATGCTGCCCTATAACATGAAGTTCTCAGGGTAGCTAACAATAAGTAAGCAAAAACAAGTGAAATACTATGGTAACCATTAAAAGGGGAAGAAGCTGGACAGATACAATGAAACAGAACTTGCCACATCCTCAAAATTAAAAAAAACCCAAAAGCCATGGTTCCTACGCAGAGAGGGAGACTACTTAAATTATGTCAAAGGCTTGGGTGGACAAAAAGGTATTCAGCCTGGCAGCAAAAAGACCACAAAAATGGCTAGCCCCCTGGAAACCTATTCCATAACTGAGATGCCTCTACTGAAAAGGACCTGTCTCTGGTGATTGCTCACCTCACTTCATTAATCAGAGGTACCAGGAACAGGACTTCTTAGGAGGATGTTAAGGTTTGGGTCAACGTGTGTAGGAGAAGACAGTCTTTCATGTAACCTGGTCCCATGCTGCTTAGGGTTTCTAAGATTCAAACCAGTGTTTTAAATAGGGCCCAGGGGCTAGTGCAACTGACAATCCACAGGCATAGTGTGATCAAGCAGCCAAGTCTAGATTGATCTTATTGTGTTTTATTTTGGATTTTTTCTATTATTTATTATTATTATTAAACTGCTGAGTCTCAGGGCACTTTCAGACCTGTTTATTGGGCATTCGTCATTATTTGTTTTCAGGGAGATTATATGGCAATTGCTGTTTAATGAACATTCACTCCAGTTTGCTTGTGGGAAGGTTGGGTGCTGCTGCCTTGAAGCAAAAGCTTTTCTACACTTTCCAGTGAATCTCCCTGTCACTTTCCTTATTACAAAAAGTCCACTCTTTGGGGGAAATGGGTTTTTTGCATAACACTTCCCACTCATCTGTGCAATTGTTCAACCTAAATTTGTATGCATGTGACTGAATTCCACCCCAAAACAGATATTGTCTGGAAGCAGCTTCAGTTAATAAACTCGTGACACTCTTCTGCACCAACCACAGTTTCTGGATTGCTTTTAAAGGCAGCCAATCTATCATGCATTGCAAGAGTCTAAACAAGAAACAAGCAATTCATAATTTTCTAAGCGTCTCTTGTGCTACCTACCAGTCACCATCTCTTTACCACTAGCTAAAAAGCAGTATAAAGCTTTTCTTCACAAGAAAGCTGCTCCACTTTTCTTATCTTTTGCCTTTTCTGTAGAGGAGTTCTGCAATATGCTTTTTGAGAGGAGGTGGCCAGTGGTTCACAGAGTGTTCTGAATGTGTCTCTCTTATGTGCATCTCTCCATAGTCTTACAAGTTCTATTCTGTCAGATTTTGTTTTTTATATTTTATTCCATCAACTTTTGCCTGTGGTTGGACATGATTTTTTTTGTCACTCATGTCCACCCAAACTAGCAAAAGCTTGATTTCATAAAGATCATCTTAAGGTGCTTATGGCTCCTTAAAACTCTAAGTGGTTTGAATCTATGTTTGTATTAATAGCTATTTTCAAATGTGTGTTTCAAAGTACTCTCCGCATCACATTTTGTATTAGATAAATGCTAGGGTAGATGCAGACGACCATTGATCTACTACCTAATCTATGATAAAAGAATTCTCCTTACCAGTTGACAAGATGATACAAACGGCCACATAACCTCACAATGAGAGAAGTGACCCTGAAATTCATGGGTTTGTAGTTTGTTTTGCATTGAACCTGCCTCTTGAGTTCACAGAATAACCTCACATTCTTACCTTTTGAGAAAGAGGGGGATTTTGTAATGCCCTTCAACTTAATTTCATAAGTCTCTGTCATGTCATGCCCAGTAAGTGAATAAATGCACACAAAAGCAGCTTTGTGAGTGCTGACTTTTTTATTTAAAAAAAGGCTAATGCAAGTAACATTATAAGTTTTCAAAATATGTCAAACGTAATTTGGAAGAAGCTTCATAACTGTGGAGCCCTCACCACCACTTCCTCGGGTATTTTCTGCAGTTGAAGTACCGTATTTTTTGCACCATAACACTCACTTTTTTCCTCCTAGAAAGTAAGGGGAAATGTCTGTGCGTGTTATGGAGGGAATGCCTACGGGTGGCATGCCTACGGATTTTCCTCCTCTAAAAACTACGTGCGTGTTATGGTCTGGTGTGTGTTATAGAGCGAAAAATATGGTATATTTCAAAAACCTATAAAACCTTTTATTTTGTTGATGACTACCGTTGGCAGGGTTTAAGCTGTCCTGAAGTGGAGGGGTTAACAACTGATTATTCTTATGACTTTAATAAAATGCTTCTGTGGTGTGAGCTCCTCTTCTCTGTAGCATGCATCCCATCAGCTTGTTGAAAGAGTAGTCCTTACTTTGCAAAGCTCCCTTTTGGTGAGCCACAACTATTCTCCCCATCATTTACACGTGAACAGAATTGAGAATGAGACTTGCAAGAGTCCCCCCAAAAGACTTGCTTTAACTGATGTGCAGGAGAATCTCCAGTGAGCACCTCACATTTCAGTCAACAGGTTTTCTGATACATGTCAACAGCGGCACAAAATTGAATATGACAGCAGATTTCACAACACGGATTATACGTATTAATTGGTACTTTGATCTAGTTAACATTATGCTGTTAAAACAAACCTCCCACATACTGTTATGCCTCATAGCTACATGTAGTTATAGAATTTAAAATAATTAATCCTAGAGGATACAGCTGAAGAGCAAAGAATCGGAAAACTACAAAACAAACCTTGGTTGCATATGCAATATCCCTTTAAAATGCATTTGAAGCACATTCTTTTCCTCTAAGAATTCTGGACACTGTAGTTTACCCCTCACAGAGTGACAATTCCCATCAACCTGCTAGGAATGAGCTATCGAGTTATAGTGTGTATAACTCTTAACATTTTCCTGCAGAATTAAATAAATGGGATTACATAATGGAGCATGACCCCAAGCGATCCATGTGAATCTCGTCTGCTCCCAGAAGGCAAAAGGGGAATTCCAATGCTTCCTGCGGCCTGTGAAATACCCTCTGAATTGCATGGTAAGATGTATTAACTGGATATTTCAAGACTGAGACCACAGTGGAAGGCTTCAGAATTTGGGTGTCCATCTCAAGTTCCCTGCCTTTTTTTTTTTAAGCAAATGATGCACAACTTTCTCTTTTACAATGTTCAATCAAACATACCCATCAATATCACACATTGTTTACCTAAAATAAATTTGAGTGGGGCACAGCTTTCGATCTTAACTGAGGAAAAACGCAGAGCTTGACTTAGAAAAAGACCTGATTTCCTGGCCAGCAGAATTAGTTGTTCAAAGTGCATTTGAACAAATTTTGATCTTTCATCATTACTTGGTCACACTAAGGGTCAAATTAAATATGAAATTAACTGTAGGAATATCATTACATCAAGTTGGGGGGGTCTAAACTGGAGGAACAATAAGTTTGGAAATGGAGAAGACCATTTGTGCTCACTTTTAAGGTAAAAAAATTGTGTTGTGAACTTAGCAGTACAGGAGTGCAAGAGCAGAAATCAAACTGGTTTTTACTCTCTTTTTTTAAAAAAAACAACACACAAAAACCCCAGCTTTTAAAATGTTAGGACATTTCTTGAAGGGAGAGTGTAGCATTTCATTGTGGGGTTTCAACAGGGGTTCATATACACTGGAAAAAAACAATTTAAAAATAAAATGTATTTTTACAGCAGCACAAAAGCTGTCAAAGTGTTCACAGCAGGGCAGTCATATTAAATTGCAGCTCACAAATTGCTCTTTAATGCTTGCTTCCCTTCAGTATAGGTAAGTCTTCAAGGTACAATGTCTGTATCTCTCACAAAGGAATTTTAAGGTCACTTTCATTGTGTGTGTGTGTGTGTGTGTGTGTGTGTGTGTGTTTAAGGTCCACCCCATCCAAAAGAGCTCCAAACAAAGCATAGAATATTCAGTTCAACATTCAGGCAATTTGGATCACCAAACCATGACAACTGAGACACTTTTTCTGATATCAGTGGGACTTCTCTAAATATCCCAAACAGTGTGGCTGCTAACATTTTGCTAACAATAATAATAATAACAATTTATTAAATTTCTATACCACCCTTCATCCAAGAATCGCATGGCAGCTTACAATATAAAAACACAAAAATTCATAACATAGTAACTAACAGAAACAGTAACTGTCCCCCCTCCCACAATCATACTTGACTGGTTGCAGCTTCCCAAAATGTATAAACAGATGACAGGTGGATTGTTTCATGCTTTTTCCTACAAGGAAATTCTCTTTTTGTGTAAGAAATGTATTACTTCTGAAGAAGCCTTCAGAGAATCCTGGAGTATATCTATAACTTATACCCAGTGCATAGTTTTCTTTGATGGATTCTCAAAAAAACCACTTTGCCTAACTAAAGATCCCTTTCCTTATTTTCAATGCATTTCATTTTTCATATTTAATGCATTTATTGAACCTGTGTTCATTATGTATTTATCACTGGCAATGCCATTCCTTGTTCAAGAGAACCATTTATCAGCTGCAAGAGACTTGTTTATACAGGACGCAGAGCTTTACATAGGAGCTTTTCCAAGACTGTGGAATGTGCTCCTTCAAGAACCAAGGACTATTGTTCTAAATGCAAAATGCGTTTATCCAATCTCCTATTTATAAACATTGTCCTTAAAATCATTCCTCCTGGGAATAAAGCAAATGTTAATAGCTTCTCTCAATTTTCTACCTGGAAAAGTTTCAAATACTTCAGCAATGTTACAAGAAAGTGGCACAGTAGATTACAATAGTTCATGGTGGCCAGTCCTAGAATATTAGGGCTTAGTGAAATCTGTAGTAATCTTGTTTAAACTACTACAGTAAAACAGCATCCTCTGTGTATTTTCACCCATATTTGCACATATGTAGTGTAGTGGTTAAGCATGTGAGCCAGAGAAATCTTCATTCAAATTTTGCCTCAGCCATGAACTCAGGAGATAGCTTTAGGCAAGACACTATGGGCCAATTCATTTTTATTGGGAAATCATTGTTCCCTGTTCCATGAAGGAGACTCAGGCCTGTGCACTTCCTGTTTCACACTCCTCTTCTTTTGTGAACCACAAGAAAGGATCAGAAGTTTTAAGTTCCAACTTTAAAGAAACCACAGTTTCCCATTACAGCCATACTTGAAACACTGTGTCTTGTTAAAAGAACACAGCAGGATCAAGCTATGGTTTGTTCACTAATTAGTTTAAACAAACCACAGTGGCTTGAGATCAGACATAACAGGGATCTGTGGTTTATTTGAAAGTGGAAGTTCCTTAATGGCCCTCACAGCCACAAAAGGGGGGGGGGAATGTGTGAGAACATGTAAGCCCAGGGCTCACCAGTTTGGTCATGTAGCAGGAAACTATGGTTTCCAAAGCCATCTGAAACAGTCCTCTTTCTCAACATCAGCTCATCCATCCATAAGAGAACAGCTGTGGCTGACTTTATTGGATGTTGTTGTTATTGTTTGGCAAGATTAACTAATTATCATTATTATACAACTGAACTGGAAGTAATGGGGAGTAAATCCACCCTGATAGCTCTAACATATTTACTACTGAACAAAACATTGACCCTAAATGTTTATTTGTCTTGTTCAATGGGACTTGCTTCCAAGTAAATAGGATTAGGGCTGTTGGCCAAACAGTCATAGGCACACTTTGGGAGAGTTAAACCCCAGTAAGCACATAGGGATTTACTTCTGAGTAAGCATGCCTAGAATCACTCTGTACATCAGCCCACTGGGTTGTTACTGAGTGCACATTGTAACAGATAACTTTCAAAGATTAGCTACTGAAAATAAAAACTACAGAGACTTTCACAATTTAAATTACTGCTTTTGTCTTCCCCTAACATCAACGTGAAACAGTTCTGCATTGCTAACGTCCTGTCAGAAACAGCACCAGACTGAAGGCTCAACTGTAATTCATGCACAAACATGCAGAGTGCATACCACATGTTGGAAGAGTGTTTTATAATATGCATATGTAACAAGCCAAGATGCTGGAATGGAGACAGAAGACAAAGAGTAATCAAAGTCTTTTATAAGGGTAGGGGATTTGTGTGTGTGTTAGAATCAGAGAATTGCAAGACCACTAATGAAATATACTCAGAGTCGCAAAGTGATTTCATGCTCTTTATTCAGCTCATAGTGGTGAGGAGGAATGAATGAAAGTTCCCTCAAAGTATCTGCTTTATATACATTATTTACACAATGGGCTGCACATGATTGGCTAATTCTGGAATTCTACTGTAAGCCAATCAGGTTGTGGATTCACTTATATCTGGAGCATGATTGGGTGGTTCCTGCCAACCAATCATACTGCTGCATTGTTCTAGGACCAATCAGACTGCTGCATTCTGAATCCTATTGTTCTAGGACCAATCAGACTGCTGCAGTTTGGATCCTATTCAACTCAGTACATAACAACTAAAAATCCTCAGGAAAACGTAACTTGGAGGGAGATCAAGAGAACATCAAATTCTGACTCTCTAGAGCACAAATAGGGGACCTGTAGCTCTCCTCTCCACATGTGCCTGGACTACAACTTGCATCAGCCTTAACCATTAGCCATGCTGGCATGGAGTGAGCTTGACAATGTAGCCGCTATGCCACACTGGTTTTCCTTGCATTTTCATCAGTAAGTGCATACAGGTAAAACTCTTACTTAGTGCTGCACATATTATTACCGGTAATTAATTAAATCTGTATCCTGCCCTTCTTACCAAAGGAGCCCAGGAGAGTACACATAAAGACATTAAAACAACACAATATAAAGCACATTTAATTCTATTAAACACAATCAAAAAACATATAAAAACAATCACATACCCTCACTGTTGCTAATTGCTAAGTTGTCGTGGCCAATAACTGTCAGCCAGCAAATGCCTGGTTAAATAGGAATGTCTTTCCATTTCTCCTGAGAGTCAGCAGTTATGTACCAAACCAGGGTGGACATTCCACAAACAGGAAAGCACCATTGAGAAGACCTGTCATGGGTCAACATCACCGGACAGCAGCCAGAGGTGGCACCAACAGCAAGGCTTTTCTGCCAGTCGTAGGGCCTGAGATGGTTGATAATGAGGGAGTCACTCCTTTTAGAACTTTGTACGTTGACACTAACACCTTGAATTTGCCTCTATGGCCTGCCTAGTATAAGAAGACGGTGACCTAATCTGCAGGTAAACCAAACCAAAGGGAAAGAAAATCATGTATAATTCCAAGCAACCAAACCTTGTGGTGGTCCAAGGCTATACACATAGCTGTTTGCTATGCATCCAGTGTACTTCCGGTTTGGGAAGTGGTGTTCACATGATCCATATCTATCCTGTTGTTTCTTAGGTAATTTTGAGTTTTGATGTATTTTAGCACAAAACATAATTCAATCCAAATTGAAAATAGAACAACCCAGCTGTGTGTTAAGCCAGTAATGTTTACACAGTCTAAGAGGCAGCTGGGGATGAGAAAAGATGGAGGCCTAAGAAAACTACACTGAGGGATCTAAACACTCATGAGTGACAATGGAGATATCAGATAAGGAAGCACAAGAGTTTGTTCATAATAAGGAAGTCCAAGAGGTTGTTCATAAGTCTAACCAGGTCTGTTTTGAATACAGTTAAGTACCCACAATTACCTGGAGGATTGTTCCTGATTTTACACTGCCACCAGTTCAACATATTGTTTAAAATAATTTTTGTTAAAGATTTTCCTTGTTTACAAAGCACATGCATTGTCTCTTTCTACAGGTTGTGTTTTCTACAGATCAGTTACATTTGTTGTGAGACATTTAACTATGGGCATCTGAAATTAAGCAGAATGTCTTGTTTTTACTCTGGGGTTATTTTTCTTTTCTCTTCCTTTTCTCTAAATTAAGTTGCTTGTACAGAATCCAGAGATGCTAAAGTAGCCTAAAATAGCAACTATGATTTATCACCACCACAGTTCTGGTAGCATACCTGCTCCTGGACTACGTGGGCACACATACACACATACATGCTATAAGAAAGTAGTATTTTTAGAGTTGTCTGGAAAAGCCCCAGACCAGGGGATTTTTGCAGACACTTTGTCATATTCAGATTCAGATGAATTGCACAAATCAATAAACAAAATAATGTGAACCTCTCTGAATGCAACTCTATATCAAAATGAAGGTGACTGGATCAGAGGTCACTCTCATCCAAGGCACAGGGCCAATCAGATCAAAAGAAAAGGGAGTGAGCATTTTAAGTTTCCCAAGGACAGAGGCACTTGAGAGATGAGTGTGTGGGAAACTTTACACCAAATCACCGCAGAAGACCTGACTCAGCATTCTGCATTTCCTTATATTAAGCCCTCTAGGGAACACAGGAAGCTATCAGGCCACTGGTCCATTTAGCTCAGAACTGTACACTTGACATGCAGCAGCAAGATTTCAACCCTACCTGGAAACACCAGGGATGGTATGTAGTACATTTTGAATGCAAAATATGTCTTCAACCATTAAGTTATGGCCCTTGCCACTAGGGACCTGTGGAGCGGCCCTGCTCTGTAGATGATGTTTCCTTAAGAAAAGCTTAAGAAATAAGCTTCATTCTTCCAATAAGACTGAAACACACAACTCCTGCTGCATTTGAACTCCCAAAGGAATGACTGGGGTTCTCAAAATTTCTACCCCCAGGCCCCACTTCGGAGGGCTAGAAATTACTGAGACCCATTAATCGCAAAATGGTGGCACAGGTGCAAAGCCTGTCACAAAATGGTGGCAGATAAAGGAGAAGTTGGGCATAATCAGCAGGCATCCACTAGTGGTCATTTTCTATTGATATGGAATATCTGTTTGGGAAATGGCTAAATTCTTTTCCTGGTAGTTTATATTTCCTCAAGTTGTATAGAAACTATCTCAGGAAGTATTGTGCATCCATCTCTCCAATTTGGGTAAAACTTGCTGATTCAGTGGCTGTATTTGGAGAATATTGTTATTTCATATTTTTGCTTTCTTTCACAATTAATACTTCTCTCTTGTAATTTTGTCTCCCTTTTTACTTTCACGCTTAACAAACCTTTCTGCTATCCCTTGCCTCAAACTGCTAGGTTCTTTAATTCCCCCACTCTGCTCCTTTTACATTTTTCTTCTCTTATTCCTTTTATTCCTTTTAAATCACATTTTCTCTCTCCTTCCTTCGACTGCTCTTCTGGCATTTTCCCTCAAAGAAGAAAGGTTTCCCATCGCTCCCCCCCCACCCGACCCTTTCTGTTACCTGCACATTTTTATCAGGATGTGGGGAGTGGCTGGTGCTGGTATCCATCCAACCAGAAGGGATGCAGGCAAAGCCATGGGGCAGGGCGGGAAAGTGATTAAGTCCTGGGTAGGCTTGAGGTGGTGAGGCCCACGCTGGGACAATCCCTTTGATATGCCCACTCAAGCCCAGCAATCTCCTTTTTAATTAACACATTTCCAGCCTCAACGCCTGGCTCTGAAAGGTGTTAAGAGCACTTTCCTAGATAATAAGCAACTCGGCTCACCAGTCATGCTCAACCCACAAGTCAGTCTCTCAAGGCCACCCAGCCTAACATGGAACGAAATGGAATAATGGGCCCCTATTCCTTTGACTATCCAAGTCTGCTGCAATCTAAATCAACTTGGGTTGCCCTATGTGTATGTGGACTCCCCTTCAACAATCTTTCATAGACTAGCAAGCTTTTAAACATTTTTTGACAAGCTTTTTCACAAATCCATGGAAAAGACAGCTATTAATGGCTGCCAGTCGTAATGGCTAAGCTCTGCCTCAGCAGTTGGAGGCAGTAATGAAAGCCACAAGAGAGGAGTGCTCTTGTGCTCAGGTCCTGATTACGGGTTTCCTGCAGACATTTGGTTGAGCAGGCACTGGGAGAACAGGATAATGGACTAGATGGGTCCTGGATTGCTAGCTTGCCCTGGAAAAGAAGCCGCTCATAGTGCTAGTCTCCTCCCAGGAGTTAGAAAGGGCATGAGAAATACCAATGAATATTCTCGGCCAGCCTACACCCCAAGGAAGCTGTGTTCACAGTGCCTGTTCCAAGACCACTTCAAAATATTAAAATAGCTACTACTGCTTGATTTGCTTGGAACAAACCATAGTTAAAAATAAACTATCAACAAGAAGCATCCAGGTGCACACAGGCAATACCGTACTTGCTTGGCCCCTCTCCTGCTGTTTCCATGTAGGGGGAAACAGAGGCTGCCTTAGTTTTATATGCAAACCCGAATTCATTGTTTGTTTCCTTCAAAGAAAGCTTGAGAGGTTGGCCTTGACTTCCAATCACAGTTTGCCCAAAGAGAAACAAAGCATGAAGCTTTATGTATGAACCAGGCCAGGCAAGATACAGCAACTGAAAGCCATACTGAAATTCAGGCCATATCTGCGTAATTCATTCAGCATCTTCTAGAACAATACTATAAATAAGTGTATTCATTGTGCATGCATGTATTCCTGTCATTGTGGCACTTTGCAAAGAGAAATTTAGCAGGTTTGAGACAGATTAATCTTTGAAGTTTTGAGAATTGTTCTGAACGCTTGGCAGAGTCAAAGTACACAGCTCTCTAACCTATTGAAATATTGACAAGTGTATACAGGTGACAATTACTTTACACAAATGAATAATTCCCATTTTTCTCCTCACAAATTTGGTGGCAAAGAGGCCACAAAAAATATGGGGGGAGGGAGTCAAGCCTTAGGGTTTGGAGGGAAAGGAAGGGCCATAGCTCAGTGGTAGAGCATCTGCTTTGCATGCAAAAGCCCCAGGTTCAAATCCTGGCATCTCAAGGTTTTTCATCTCTGAATCCTTGAAGAACTGCTGTGGACAGTTAGTGTGGACAGTCTCAAACAACAAAAGAATACAGAGAGAAAAACCTCATAAAGCACAACTCTGCACAAGAGAGAGGCACTGACAAAAGTACAAACAATTTGCAGGGAGGTGGAGGCAGTGGGGAGGAACCCATGTGGGAACATCCACATGATAGTTCAGTGGCCCAGAATATTAAGACACTGTGACTGTGTACACCTTGCCAGCTTAAATAGGGACGTAGGTGGCACTGTGGTCTAAACCACTGAGCCTCTTGGGCTTGCCAATCAGAAGGTCAGCGGTTCAAATCCCCACGATGGGGTGAGCTCCCGTTGCTCTCTCCCAGCTCCTGCCAACCTAGCAGTTTGAAAGCACACCAGTGCAAGTAGATAAATAGGTACTGCTGCGGTGGGAAGGTAAACGGCATTTCCGTGTGCTCTGGCTTCCATCGCAGTGTTCCGTTGCACCAGAAGTGGTTTTGTCATGCTGGCCACATGACATGGAAATCCTGTGGACACACACCAGCTCCCTTGGCCTGAAAGCGAGTTGAGCACCACAACCCCATAGTCATCTTTGACTGGACTTAACCATCCAGGGGTCGTTTACCTTGACCTTTTTTTTTTTACCAGCTTAAAATGCAGGTAGGTTTTTCTTTTTTCTCAATTTGGATGGAAGATTGTTTAGAGGGAAATGAATCAAAATGCAGCATTTCATAAGAAACCACAGGATAGATATGGGTTGTGGCTAATACTGTGTGCATACCTCTTCCCAAATCAGCAGTGGGAGCACACTGGATGCAGCGTAAACAGGACAACTGGTGGGGAGGGGACGGGGGGAATAGCATTAAGTGGCTGGAAGAGAAAACATCTAATATAGGTATCTATCAGAGTAGGAAACCTGTGGCTATCCAGATCTTTCTGGATAACAACTCCTATTATCTTTGACCATTGCCCATGCTGGTTGGGATGAATCTGAAGGGCAACAGATACCTCCACCTGGATGCATCTAATTGGTAATTCACACTGAAGCTATTTGCTCACAGACATTAACGGAGAAACTAACAAATTTACTGCAGCTAGAATTAGGCATGAGTGCATCCATCCCCACCCCCCAAAAAGGAGGAAAAAACCAAAACAGTCCAGTGCATGGTCAGCGGGCACAGAATGCCGAACAATTGTTTGTTTTGTTTCTTAGCTTAAGTGTCGAAGGAGGGAAGAAAAAGGAGAGAAGAGTGAAGGAATGTAATGGCTTAAGACCTCAACAGAAGCACTCCAAACTATCATCCAGTTGCAGGGCTCACTTGTAAGTACTGTACGTAAAATCATATGTGAATAAAAGAGTTTCACTGCACCTACAGCCTTCTAAAGATTTGAATTACATCCATTCAGACACTTTCTTTTACATCGGTGTAGAGCCAAATGCACAGAGCTAAAGTGAAACTTGCAGGGTGTTTCCCTATATAGTAAATGGGTATTTATTGATCCAAGCCATGTCATCTTGCAAGCCCAAAAGCTAAATTCCACGGAAGTGGATAAATTAGTAACTGAGACTAATCTTCGAATCTTACTAGCAAGTCTTAATGTAAGTAGATACATGAGGCGGATGATAAGCCCTTTATCTCAGATGGTTAGTGCTGGTAATGACTTACCTAAATGCTTACAGCAATTTAAAGCTGAGTGCTAATAATTTGCAGATCCGTAATACCTATTTTTCTAAATTTCTGCTTTGATGTAGCCATTTTTTAAAAGTAAAACTTGAATCAATCGTGTTTTGGTTATTGCAGTGTAAGTTGTATTACTTCTGCAAATTGGATAGGGGGTCACATGTTCAGATTCCTGCATTGCAGGAAGTTGGATGAAATGACCAATGAGATCCCTTCCAACACTACTAATCTATGATTCTATAATTCTATATGTAGCAAAAAATTACAATTAATTATGTATTACCCTATGTAGGTCACATTTATTCAGATTTTAAGCTGTAAAGGTCTCCCAGCTTCTTTGACTTCATAAAAGGTTTTACTATAGAAGAGTAAATCCATAAAAAATGGTCACATCTGAAGTGTGTACTGTGCGTATGCACTACCAGAAAAGGAAATGCTTAATTGCTGCTTTGGGAAGCAACCCTCCCCCTTTATTTTTCTTGCTAGAAATGCAATGTAATCAGCTATAAAATGCTAAGCTTAAAATAGAAAGAGAAGGGATGGGAAGGGGACAAATCCTTTAACATGAAAAGCCACTTATAATGTTATTTCATTAAAGACACATGTCAGTCTTGTGTTGTTGTTTTTTTAAAAGAATCTCTAAATTTCTCCATTAGTTACCGTACTTTTTAAAATGGTTTCCATCTGTTATTATTTAATTAGGTGTGTATCTAAACATCATATTGGTATATATTATAGAATATACATTGATAAAACTGACATGCATCTTCTGAACTGCAATGGTTGGACTACTTTTCTCTTCCACCCTTCAGCCTCTTAGCAGAAGACTTTGTATAAAACCCTTGTAAGAGCTAGTTGCAAATTATAACAGACTGAACAACCTCCTGTTCTCCCCTACCAGAACCTGGAGTGCCTTGGATTCCAGTTTAAGACCCAGAGTAGACAGCCCTCATAAACCATCTCAGAGTGTCTTATTCTGATGGCGCATCGGAAATGTGTTGGCAGAACTGTGAAACATTGGACCAAGGAGGCATATTCTAATCCAATACTCCTGCAGACACTGCTCTCTGCTTCTATGCTGAAGTAATGTTACATTGAAGTAAGTAGCAGGGCAAGTTAGAACTGCTCCATTCAGCTCAAAGGCAACAAGTGAAAACATACTATTGGCAACAAATATATTACTGGCAACAAACAAAAACATACTATCACAGCACCCTCTCCCATTCTGCCACCACAGCACAGTGTTCAGTTTAACTGTATCAAATCACCACAGCAATATAGAACTCCTGTCAACACACTACATTTTGCAAAAGCTGCAGCTTCTGGACCAATCTCAAGGGCATCCCCACCTAGAGCACATTGCAGAAATCCAGCCTGAAGGTTACCAGCAAGTGGACTAAAATGGTCAGGTTCTCCCAGTCCAGAAATGGCCATAGCTGTGTCTCCAGTTGAAGTGGGTCACCTGGCTTCTAACAACAAGGATAGAGCATCCTTGGACCACAAGCCTTCCTTCAGGGGGTGCATGACCCCATCCAAAGCAGTCAGTCATCGGCCTCCCATTGCTACTCCCAGCAATTTTCAAGTGTGTACGAGCGAAACTATGCTGGCCAACCATTTCTTTCTTCTTCAGCAGCTAGGAGAACTACATAGGAGACCCAAGGGAAAATATGCAAAGGGTAGAAAAAGCAGCCAAAGATCCCCCACTCACTGTTAAGACAGCAAACCAAGCATACCAGTGGAAGTCAGAGGCAGCGCAATTATGCCATTGAGAAGTAGGGATGTCAGAGAATTTCAGAAAAAACAGAGAAGGAAATTGTCACAGTTTTATGAGTTCGTCTCTGGTCAGGAATGCAAATCAGTCAAGCAAATATAATGTTCACATCAGTTTTTTTAAGTCTGCAAATAAAATATGATTACCGTAAGCCTGAAATTTGTGCACATTTAATTTGTGGACATTCAACCTTACACATGTGGCTTAAAAACAAAAGGTGGACAGTGGGTGGGTTTCTGGGGGGAAATGTCTTTAACAATCCTACCCATCGTTGAAGTCAGTGGGTTTTGACTATATGCAATTTCAGCTTTAGGCATGATCCCTGGATCATAACCCAAGGGTAATTTGCAGGCTGACTGTACCTAGTTTTAAAAACTGTTCTGACATTTCCTTTACATTGAAATGGATGCAAGCTACATAAGTTACATAGTTACATAGCTTAGCTGAGGCAAGAAAAATAATGCAGTATCTGGCAGAAACCATACTGCAGCAGAACAGAAACACTTCTGATTGTGAGATCAGAACAGGAATCACTGCTTCTTACAAGCCTATTGATAATCAGCAAGCACTCCACTCTCGTTATTGCCATTGCTGGCCAAATATTCCCTCTCCATCCAGAGTTCCAACAGAACTTCCCTTAGCGATCACACACCCTCCCCCCAACAGGATGAGGCACAGAGACAGGAAGAGATAGCACCACAGTCATGGCATCAGTTGCTCATCGATTGTGCTTCCAGGACCCAATAACCAGCAGAAACACAGCATTACTCATTATTCTTCCTTTCTCTCTGTCAGCTCTCCACAGAGTGCCAGAACAACCCCAGTCACTGTGATCCTTATGGCTTCCCCATCTACCTGTTGCAGGAAGAGTTTTTGGACAAAGGTAGAGCAGCGGTGGTAGGCATGGGCCAGAGACAAAAATCAGCATAGCAATGAATGTAAAAATTATAGACTAGTTTGTATACACATTTACATTCCCCTCTCTAGCTTTCATCCAGGGAAGAGGCCTTATCAGAGTCCAAGGACATGTTCCAGCAAGGCAAAAGCACTCAAGGAGGGTACAGTGCAGGGAGTTGTGGTCTGGGAAGAGTCCCAAGGGCCAGACAGAGAGATTTGAAGGGTCACATTCAGACCCTGGACTTAAGGTTCCTCACCCCTGACATAAAAGAATGGGCTCTCCTGCATTGCCCTTAAGAGAACACAAGCAACCTTGTCTTCCCAGAGCTGGTGAGGAACCATCTCCTCGGCCATTTGGGAACAGCAAAATGAACATGCACATCACTAGCATTGGAAGAGGAGCAGGAGGCATGGATCTATGGGTTACAGGATTGGGAAGGGGAAGTGTGTGCAAAACATTGCCCAGGGAAATCACTTTGATCATAATGACTTGCCATCAGTGGGCTTGCAGCATGGCAGGGCTGCCCAGCAAATGAAATGAATTATTTCCAAGTGTTTCTGTGATAATTCTGAACACAATTATTGACGCAATCTGTGATACTTTTGGTAGACCACATGAACACTAAAGTAAGATTATACAAAACACCATCTCCTTACCTGCATAAGTAGCAATGAAAATGAAGGTGTGATCCTAAACACACTTGCCAGAGATTAAGCTCCTCTGAAGTCAGTGTGTCTTTCTTCTGAATAAATATGATTAGGCTTATGTTGCTGGGGCCTACAAAGGTGCTGACCAGAACAAGCAGCTGCTAACAGATGGTGGCTTAGAGGTAAATATTTGGAAGGCTGACACGCAAAGAGCCACTAGTAAAGGTACATAGAAGTATTTCATGTTTAAATATGGGGTGGGCCTCACACCAACAGGACAGCCTTACAGTTTGTGCTGGCCTAACGTTCACCCTCGTATTCACAATCGTATGTGTTTTGGAAAGCTGCTGCATTTTCCCAGGTTTGTTTATATTGCCATTTGTAGGGGTTAGTGAATAGAGGTGTTTTCATAGTTGTGAAGGACTTTACAAAGAGTAAAGGTAAAATGCAAGACAAAAAAAATAAAAATGTTTGCCTCCTTCTCTATGACTCGGAACACCCAGATTTTAGATGTGCACAGCTTTCCCAACAATACTTTATATCAAAAGTCATGTTGTCATATTTTAAAATAATTTCTGAAAGAAGGGAGAGAGGGAAGATTTTATAGAGACATATAAAAAACACCACAAATAAATGAATGCTGGGATTCTCCAGATTCTAACAATAGCTCACAGGCTTCATAAAAGCCATTCTGGGGTGACTTTTCATATGTAATTGGATTAGATGTCATTAAAAGGGGATTTAGAAAATTGTGCAGGCCTTGGAGGACTGAGTATGCAAAAAGTGCTTCTGGGGAGAGGTGTAGATCTAATCTTTTACCAAACCAGCTTAACAGTACTTAGTCACTGTTACTCAGTTTAAAAGTTTGGTGAGAGACCCTTAGGATAGAACACAGCTGAAGTGAATTATGTGACAAAGTATAGCATTATGTAAGCATGATAGCTCCCACATTGATGGATGTCCCAAGCAGCTCCAACATTGCAAAGAATAATAGAATTGTAGAGTTGGAAGGGACCCCAGAGTCATCTAGTCCAACCCCGTGCACTGCAGGAATCTCAATTAAGACATGCTCCCATCTCGTTTCTCTCCCCTGACATCTGCAAATAGCTTCTGCAAGGACAGGCCTTCATGGATGCACACACAAGTTTCCACAATATGTGGTTCCCCTCTAGAAATGGAGAGTGCTGCATCCGGAATGGGGCTATTTGATGCGGTCTGGCTCCTTGCTCCCACATTCATCAGCAAGGCAGAGGGCTATAATCACCATCAAAGTGTTATCCATACTTGTACAAGCTAGCAATCTATCACATGAAGGTCAATAATATATTACACCTCTGAGAAAGTCATCCACGTAATGGTCGCTCACTCACCTTCCTTACAAATAAGATTACTTTTGTGCTCAGTCATTTATGAAAATGTATTCCAGTATTTTGAATCTTATATCATGCTGCTAGGAACAACTTCAATATATCATGGGGGTCTTCCATGATCAAATCATGTGATTTGGATTTAACACACTGTGTCTTATAATACAGTTAATAGGGTTGTCAAAGCTACATCCCATTTTCTAGGATGACAGTTTTTATTACCTTGTTCTGGCTGCCCTCTACTCTCCAAGAGCCCTTTCAGATATAGATTACTTCTGATGCCATAAGTGTGCCGCTTCTCCATTTGTAAATCATGTTTGGAATGTGCACGGACAATGGAAGCATTCACACAAACTTTGCCCCCGCTACGAAATAATCCCCACATGCACCCCATGACAATCAGTAAGACATGAAATAGTGTATTCACTGTTCCTCCTCCCCCCCCAAATGGGGCTCAGTTCCTTCTCTTGAAATGGTTCCAAAGATGTGGGTATAATAATGGGATCACCACAGTCCAAGCCAACAATCGCAGAATAACTGAGCCCACGACACAATACCAGAAGAATGTCTAGAGCTCAACCCCTGGTGACAGCAGAGTGTGGCAGAAATGGGCTTACTATTTTCTCTATCGCACTACGGCCTCATGTTTCCCTGGCAGTGTTCACATGAGAACAAAAAAGAAAAGGATTTAGAAGCACGGTGGAAGGAACATCTCTGCATAGAAGCAATAACCATTGCTTTTTCCCCTCAAGCAATACAATATTTTATCAGGGAGATTTAAAGTCAGCTACATACTTAAGGCCAACTCCATCTAAATGAGATCTACAAACCTACTGAGCTTTGCCCCTTGCAGGACTCTGCATCTCTTGCAACTTTTTCAGCAATCTATAGTTTCCTCTATTGTCTATTCTCTCTTCCTACATTGTAACCTACCATCAGGAACGCACAACCAGTGTGGTGTAGTGGTTTGAGTGTCATACTAGGACTGGGAGACACAAGCTCAAATCCTCACTCAGGTCACTGGGTTAAACTTAGGTCAGCTAAGGGGGTGGACTTAGTGGGCCAAAAAGACTTTGGCAATCCCACCCACCACTGAACCCAGTATGTTTTGACTATATGTGATTTTGGCTTTAACTGTGATCCCTGGAATTTAACCCCCGTGTAAGACACGGGCTTACTGCACTGGCATTATAATAGATAAAACTAGCACAATAAATCCCAGTTCTTCATGCATTTCTTTTGCCAACACCTTAGTTAGACTTTGGCCTTGGCAATGTCTAACCTGCCAGGTTTTGCTATTGTTTTTCACTTTCACTTTGCTAATCCATGCTAGCCTCAATTGCCCAACGTCATTAATAATTCTATTATTCTCTCTTCAAGGTCAATGTTCACTGTACCTTTTGTACAAAATACAAGGAAGCCTGATCTACTCTGATGCACATCTATTCCAGCGGGTTAGCCACTGTGAAATGCAAACATGGACCATCGGTCTGATCCAGCAGGGTTTTGCTTACATTCACTTGGTCCCTTTAAAACCCACAAAAGCAGGAGCCCCATTCTTTACTGAGCATAGATTCTGAGGATGTAGGGAGACAGAATGTGCATCCTTCAGACATGACAAAAGGTGCATGTATTTTGCAGTTGCAGATCCGTGGTCAACTACAAAATGAAAAGAGACTCAATCCCAACAACAATATACAGTGGTACCTTGGTTTAATCTGTTCCAGAAGTCTGTTCTTAAACCAAGGCATGCTTTCCCATAGCAGTGGGGGACTCAATTTACAAATGGAACACACTCAACAGGAAGCAAAACAAGCTCTGCTTCCAAGGCAAAGTTCACAAACCAAAACACCTACTGCAGCATTCTTAATCCAAGCTGTTCATAAACTAAGCTGTTCTTAAGCCACTGTATAGCCATTGTAGGCACAGGAGTCTAAGGTACTTGCCAATCTTGGGACCAGACTTGGCAGATCTCCTGAAAGTCTTTTGTGTAGCACACAACAGTGGCACACCTCAAATTTCAGAAGTGCCCTGAGCAATGCCCAAATTCGGGGGGGCCTCCACCTCTCACACTCCATTCTAAATCATAGTGGAACCCCCAAGGCTCTGTGCTCAGTGTGACTGAACAGGCTGCATTCCCCTAAATCCGTCTCTGCACACAAATTCTGACCACTGTTCATTTAAGCAATTGCAAACCTGTACCTACTTATCGGCCAGTAAGCCCCACTGAATTTAATGGAGCTTAGCTCCAAGTAGACATGTATGGGATCGCACCAGCAAATCTGTATTCCTCACAGCTGCAGAAAACAGTTCTCAAATGCAACGATTTCACCGAACATACCTCAAAGGCTCTGAACAACAGCACAGATATTTGATATTTTTCATTAAGAAAAAGGGTGCCCTCGAGATATGGAATTTCCTGGCATGTGGGAGGGAATCACACCTCCCAGAGTGCCCTTGTATGGAGATGGCAGACATGTCTAATGCAGCTTCATGCATTATTAGTGTCAAGCATCACTATGAATAAGGGACTTTAATTTACTGCGGGCACAAATCCCAAATATGTATTAGACCAACAAATGGAAACAGTCTAAACAAGGAAAATTGAGCAAATTATTTTAAAAATGTAACAAAAATGAAATTAGTCGTCATGGCATGCCACAGCAGGATTCTCTCGGATATTGGCACTAACCCAGAGTTGCTTGCTTGGGGATACAGAATTTAAGATTTCCTACATATTTCTGTAATGCACCACGGAATGATCCTTTACTGAGTTCATGCCAGCCAGTTGTGGCCTCTTCAATAACACTCCATTCCAATGCCCACAAAAAGCCATTCATCGTTTCAGGCCCACTGAGCATGTTCAGTCCCCACTGGGCTTCATCTTAGGTCCCACCCTCCAAATTATTTATTTTTGTACTTCTGCAGTAAAAGGTTAGGGGCAGGCACTTATATAGTAGGTTAAAGAGCAGTATATAGAATCTTTGATATTTTTCCTTCCATAATGGAATAACTACCAGTTTTTCCTAAGCCAGCTTGAAGATATCACCACTCCACATAACTATAAATAAAGTGAATTTTGGAAATACCTTCCCATATTACAAGGTGACTCATTACTAGGCTGCAGCACCACCGTTCCCACGACTCAACTGTATATGTCTCCTTTAAAAAGTTGCTTTGCAAAAGCATGCAGTTTCCTTGGCTCCCATGAAAAGCAGTAAAGAGGAAGTGTGTGGCAGTATAAAAGGCTGGCGCAACCCTACTGAGATGGGCTGAATACATCAACGCAACAGCCACTTTTGCTATATGCTGTAATAACATAAGGCACTTTTGGGGGGTAAGATTTCACCTCTTCCTTGAGTGGTCAAGTGTTTTCAGTGGATTTCTAAGAAGCAAGATATTTTTCTGCATTGTTTTACAAGGTATTCTTTGCCTGGGAAAGAAAACCATAAGGACAAGAAACTAAGAGAGAAAAAGAAACTTCCCATGTGCCAAATCTTGTTAACTACACAGTAGTTAAAACTGTGAAACTTCACAGTTTGACAGTCACATTTAGTACCCTCATGTAAGGAAATGCACCGAAGTGTAAATTGCTTATTGTCACTGGGTGGTGCCACGGAGGGCAAGGAGACTTTTACTCTTGACGCTAATAAAAATAAAGTGGTAAGATACAAATTGGGTTTACTCCTGACTTGAAACATTTTGCTAAGAATGGGCAAGATTCTAGAAATAGCCAGAGTCAGTGATTATTGTTTGTAAGTTTTGTATGAGGGCTGGAATGCCTTTGTTTTAAAGAACAAGACCAGGAAAAGGAACATTAAGGGAACAAACAATGTATTTAGATTGTCAGGGGTATTTAAAGTTTGATTCATATTGAAATGTTGCAATAAGATTCCAAAGGAACAATTAAAAAAAACAAAGCAATGCAAAGCACACCCTCCAATAACCTTCACTTCATATACAGGAAAATCATTTGCAGCCTATGGAAGTACTGAGGCCGTTGTTTTCATTCTTTCATTTTTAGCACAGCACAATGACTTCGGCATGGGTAATGATATTCCAGGTTAGATGTCTATAAAATATTAAAACTCTCAAAAAGATAACATCAGAAAAGATCACTGTCAAATATTGGCTTTAACAGCTGCTGAAAATGGATGAAGCAAAAGATTGTGGCTGCACAAATCTTGACTGGCCTTAAGTAGCAGGACCTACGGTTAACTTAAGAGGCCTCTCTCATGCACCAGCCTCTGGGAGCATCCAGCACTGCACTAGTGCCCCAGTGCCTTCCTAAGGGTAGCAGATGAACGGCTAATGCTGAAAATGGGAGTGGCAGGTGTAGTCACCATCTTGATTTACCCATAATAACTCTGGATCATACACTGGGGTCCAGAGTTATTATGGGAAAATTAAGGTGGCAGTGGCAGCAGACGCTTCATCTGGTGCTTCATTTCAGAGCAGCAGGGTCTTAAAAGTATGCTAAAACTGTTTTAAAATTGTTCATTTACAACAGCAGTAGCATGGGGGCCTCTGTGGACATTGTGCCCTGGCATTTGCCCCACAATGTCAAATGCTGATTCCAGCTATGCTTAGCAGTCAGGACATGTGTTTACCAAGAACCTGCTTCTCCCCAATGGATTCCCACATACGAATTCATTGGCTTATAGGCAAGGTTTCATAGGAGCAAAAGAAGAGCCTTCCTGGATCAGACAAGGTCCACAAGCAGGGCTTGAGCACCATAGCACTCTCCTCATCCTGATCCTCAGTAAGTGGTATTCAGAGGCATGATGCTTTTGGTTCTAGAAGTAGTAGCTATCATGACTAGTTGCCACTGGCAGCCCATTCCGCTATGAATTTCTCTTGCCCACTTTTAACTCTGTCTACATTCCTTATGAATAAGATCACTGAGATCCTTGGTACAATTTGTTCTTCAACACATGCCACTACGGACACTTTGCCCAGGCATTCCCTGACCTGTAAGAATAGACTCTGTTTATTATTATTATTATTCACTTTTATGCATTTTTATATTGCTGCACTATTGCTTTAGGCTGAGTTTTTGTTTTTTAGACTGTACCATTAAGAAGTAAACAAATGCTTTTAAGTAAATTTATTTTAATTCGATAAAATAACTAAGTAATAAAATACATTATGGCTTCATGCCTGCAATTTTTTTGTTTCTAAGTCTAATTTTTCATTGCTTCTTTTTCCAAATTCATTAAAGGGAAAAAAGAAGATATCAATTTAAAAAAATGATTCCAAGGCTACATCTTTCACCTATTATCCGATCACATGATTTGCACACGTGCAGTCTTACAATACAGTTAACAGAGTTATCAAGTTTACCTCTCTTCTAGGATGACAGTTTTATTACCTTGTTCTATCGGTCCTCTAGTCTCCAAGAGCCCTTTCAGATATAGATTACTTCTAATGCTGCAAGCGTGTTGCTTCTCCATTTGTAAATCATGTTTGGAATGTGCATGGACAATGGAAGCATTCACACAAACTTTGCCCTGGCTATGAAATAATCCCCAAAAGCGTCCCATGACAATCAGTAAGACATGAAATATTGTGTTCACTCTTCGTTCCTTTCGCTGATTCCAACAAGCCCAGCTGTCCTCTCAAAAGATGGTTCCAAAGCCATGGGGAGGAGTGAGTTTGTTTTTTAGAAAATCAGGGATGGGGAACCTGTATCCTGCCAGGTGCTCTTGGACTGTGGGCTCCCCATCAGTCCTGACCAGTGCAGCTAATGATTAGGGGAAATGGGAGCTAGAATCCAGCAATACCTGGAAAGCCATGGTAGAATGACTGGGACAAGGGCTGCAGTTGTCACACTCAATGCTCTTCTTCAGAGCAACAGGCTGTTGCCTTTGCCTCATGGGTGCCAATGCTGGGGCTGCTTGGTAATCATCCAAAACATTCAACTGCTAAGAATCTGCTGCTCTCCCAATAGAGAGTCTGTCTTTGGGTATAGGAAGAGGGCAGGGCTTCAGAAGCCTATCCGCAGATGAGGGGGAACACTTGCCATAATAACCCCTGAATTGTCACCTACAATCAGTGGCATGTGGTCAGTGGACTAGGGGGCCTAGGCTAGTCTCCTAAATGTTCCCCTGGCGCCCCTTTCCAAAGCCTGGGAAGCTTCTGCGCTGCTTAGTGAAGGAGGTACAGGTCCAAGAGCCCACCTTCCACCTTCCCAAAGCCCGCCCAGCTTTGGGAAGGAGGTAGAAGGGTTCCAGCATCCTGTCAGAGCCCTGGCAGCTCCTCCCCAAAGCCCAGGAAGCTTCTGTCCAGCTTAAGGAGGAAGGCACAATCCTCTCATGTATCACCCTCGCAAGCTGGCTCCTCTGGTCCTAACTGTTCCCTTATGAAAAAGTTCACTGCATGTCACTGTCCACAATTACCCTTTGAAGCAGTGGTGGGGAGCTTATGGTTGACCAGATGTTGTTGGGACTGTATCACCCATCATCCCAGACTATAAGGGGATGCTGGCTGGGACTGATTAGGAGTTGAAACCCCCAAACCATAGGTTCGCCTTCCCTCAGGATGACTATGTAACTACATAGTAATCATTGAACCCAGCTCTGCAACTGGTTTGACGCTGAAGCCAATATGGTGCTTTGGGCTGATCTCATAGGCACATTGGATCTAGCACATATAATACTAAATAGCAGGACTTGGTTTTATAAAAAAACCTGCACAAACCAACAATTGTTAGGTGCAGACTTGTGTAAATGATAGTCCAAGGACAGAGACTAATATTTACATATTTCAATTGAGGCTTCCCACTGCACCCCTACCCCCAGATTTTGATCCTGTAGTAGGAACTGAAATCTCCATATACTGCCACCACACCACCCTATTATTATTATTATTATTATTAATAATAATACCCTGTCCATCTGGCCGGGTCCCCCCAGCCACTCTGGGCAGCCTCCACTAAAATACACTTGTCCATCAAACATTAAAAGCTTCCCTAAACAGGGCTGCCTTCAGATGTCAGATTATAGAATAATTTTGTGAACTACAGAAACTGTAGGTGACACATCTTATCCAATGTGGTTCTGATTAAATTGGGCCTCGGGAACAGCCCAATAGTCACAATTTATGTGCAAGAATGTGTTAAAATGTTACAGACAAAATAAGGTGATAGACAAGTCACCATCTCTGAGACGTCTTGATAATTTTCACATTCCCTGTGCTAAACATGGGATGACATTTCTGGAAAAGGAGCTTTTGAAATGTGTCTGGTGAGGAAGGAGATAAGCCAAGTAACAGTTGACAAAGTCGTGTTTCAAAAATGTAGAATCTGCAAAAGTCATTGTCAATCAGCTATTTCAAATATAGAAAATAATAAGGAAAGGAAAGTGACTGTATGAAAGTCTCCAATGCAGAAGGACCACAGAGATGAAGAGATGAGGCTTCATTCACAAGACCCAAAAGTCCTTCTGTGAAGGCAAGGGTCCTTGATTTTTTAAACAACAACAAAACAACCCAAATTTAAGAAATATTAATATCTTCTTAAGTGACTGACTTTTGGAAGGCAATCCTGAGAAGAGGAGTTCTTGCCAGGTCTCCTTTGAAATTTGCCCCACAGAGAGTTGGCCGTGTGTCAAAGTGGCCCTTGCCCCGATTAAGGATTAGCCATGGCTGCAACAGAGACTCACACAAAGAAAGGGAATTTGTTTTTTCTAGGTCTTTGCTCAGCCCCTGCTATGCTGCCTCCCGTACTGTTCTAGAGCATTCCCAGTGCTCTAAAACAGATTTAAAGAGGACTAAAACAGGAGGTTACAAGAGGAAGAGAAATTGACCAAAACCACCTCCCTGCTTTATGCTGGTGGGACTCAGGGCCACCCTTTCCCTGAGCATGTGGATATGCAATGCAAAGTACAACTGCCCCTTCATATCAGGAGCTCCTATGGTCTACAAGCTCTTTCTTCACCACTCATCATAAGGAAGAAAAATAGCCAAAGGATATTGCCTAATAAAAAATATGTGGCACCCTCCAGATTTTGTTGGACTACAACTCCAATCATCCCTAATCACTGGCTATGTTGGTTGAAGCTGATGGGAGTTGGAGTCTAACACCTTATGGAGGGCACCATGTTGGATACTCCTGGTTGGATAGGTCTTGCCTGGATGACTGGATTCAAGAAATGTAACTGATCTTGAGAGAGAGATAGCTTGGGCAGAGAGAAAGTGGTATTAGGCATTACAAAAAGCAGGTGATAGTCAAGAAATGCCACAAAGGATTACTTTGTGTTTGTCAAGTGCAGGGTTGCAGGAAATTTTCAGAGTAAGAGACACTGGATTTGTTGCATCTCTTCTGAAGTGTCTTAAGGAACTTAAGTGCTCTGAAATAAGAGATGACTGACACCTGGCAATCATTCTGGGAGGACTAAAGGAGAAAAAGAAAAGGACTCCCAGTGTTCTAGCAACAACCCCAGTACAGCTAGGCTCCAGGCATTGCGACAGGGAGCACTTTGAATCCCCTTATATTCTTCACAAGCACAGGTAAGTGATTTTTTCAAAAGCGAGCTGAGGAACAAGAAGACAAACCACAGTACCCACGAGGTTCTCTGGGCAGGACACCTGCACACACATAGCACACACATAGCACACCTGGAATGGGACTCAAGGCCCACCTAGGGGAAAGGCTGTTTTGCAAGCAGCCCAGGAGAGGGGCCAGGACACACAATAAGGATGTACACAGCACACAAGCGCTGCAGGGCATAGGATTTGGAAGCTGGAGATAAGAGTTCAAGCCCCACCCACCAGAGAAAACAGGGGAAATTCCTCCAGATACCTTTTTGTAGTCTAGCAAAAAAGAAGACCAGTCATATTGAGGATATTGTGGCCCTCCAGATGTTGGAAGGCTTCAACTCCCTTCACTCCCAGCATGCTCAATGGTCAGTGATGACAGGCATTGTAGAGGACCACATGTTTCAGTGAACTCCATCAGGAGAAGCTAGCAGATCTTTCATGCTGCCATAATTTATTGTCAAAGTTAACAGTAGGAACTCCCTGAGCATGCAGAGTTCTGGATTACAGTTTATGGATTTGTAATCAGTGACGATAAAGTTTGCTTGCTCTGGAACAAAAACATGTCAATAGAAAATCTTTATAAAACATACAAGAGATGTCATAACTTAAAACAGGTGCCAATTTCAAATACGCAAAAATTATTCCACAGAAGGAATTCTGCACATTCTTCTCTATGGAAGCTTAGTTTGTACGTGAGGTTTTAAAAAAATCCAGAGAGGGAGTGTGCCAAGTAATATTATACAAGTTTTCTAAATTAAGCTGGCTGCCTATTGTTCACCCTCCCACATACGACTCAAAGCGTATAATTTTTATTTTATTTTATTTTATTTTTTTGCTGCTCAGTTGCTATTCAGTTCAAACAAGAGTTGACATCCAAATCTGTAACAGTTTTAAAAAGGAGTTGCTGTGTAATTATTGCATTAGATACTGGAACAACAGAATTCATTGCACAAGGCCTTGTGGCTACAGCGTGGACAGAACTAATGCTTTATAAAGATGTTCCATATACAGAAGTACTAAATCGTGCTTTGCACATGTGCAGAAGTGCCGAATCACAACCCATGCATGCAGAGACGCAGTGCTGCGGGTTGCGGACACCACGGGTTGCGAACGTGCTTCCTGCATGGATCATGTTCGCAACCTGAGCGTCCACTGTACCAGCATGGGAAAAGGAGTGTTCTTTACTCTCTGTCAAGGAAATGTAAGACCAATGGTTCTGCCAAGTGATATCTCAATTCTGTGGAACAGATCAGTTGGACACCCTCATCCTTTTACCCAATGCCCTAAAGGCTTCCTTCCTCAACACCCCATTTGTATCCTCTAAAAAAGAAAGAGAAGAGATCACAGTGGGGAAAGGAGGGTGGAAGAGGGATTGTCCTTGCCTTCTCACACCTACCCACTCCTCCAACATGGTTATGTGCAACAATCAACAAACAAGCACCATTTGTTCTGCAGTGTAATAATAATAATAATAATAATAATAATAATAATAAATTTATACCCTGCCCATCTGGCTGCATTTCCCCAGACACTCTGGGCAGCTTCCAACAAAATATTAATATACAATAGTACTTCAGATATTAAAATCTTCCCTAAACAGGGCTGCCTTCAGATGTCTCCTAAAAGTCTGGTAGTTGTTTATTTCTTTGACATCTGATGGGAGGGCGTTCCACAGGGCGGGCACCACTATCGAAAAGGCCCTCTGCCTGGTTCCCTGTAACTTCGCTTCTCACAGTGAGGGAACTGCCAGAAGGCCCTCGGCGCTGGAGCTCAGTGTCCAGGCAGAACGATGTAGTGCTTAGTGTGTCAGACTAGGACCTGGGAGACCAGGGTTCAAATCCCCACTCAGCCGTGAAGCTCTGTAGGTGACCTTAGGCCAGCCACTGCCTCTCCACCTGACCTACATCACAGGGTTGTTGGAGGGATTAAATGAGGAGAGGGAGAACCATATGTGCCAAATTCAGCTCCCTGGAGAAAAAGGTGGGATAGAAATAAGATAGTGTTAATGACCCACACCACAGCATCAGAAAGGGCACCTAGAAATAGCTTGTTATCTCTTTCTCAATTCTGTCCCTCACTCAACAAAACGGCAAATGTTCATAGCATGTTTCTCTCTGGCCAGGCAAGGGTTGTAGTAGGACAAGGCTTATTATGGGCTGCTGCTGCATTTCTCTTCCCTCGCCCCACTTCCTTTTTGCTGCTCATATGACACAGAGCAGAATACAGCCACTTTACTGTGCTCTCTCTGGTATGATTGCAACTGTGCCCACTATCTTACATGTATAATGTAGCAGGTTTATTTTTAAACCTCGGTCTAAGGAGTGCAATGCATAGAAGAGGGAGAGGTGGGGGGAAAGATAGGTCATTAGCGGTATCGGGGGGTGGGGTGGGGACTGTCATACAGGCAGTTAATTTTCATTGTACTGCTTTGCCAGCCGAGACAGTAATTTTTTTTAGGAAAGAAGATATGTGCTAGCCTTACATACACCTTTGAAATAAAAACCAATTTTAAAAAAAAGTCCGACACAGCTTTCTCAGGCATAGAAAATGTGAATGGGATTAGTAATAATTTGGAGTGCTTGCTTGCAGTGATTCACAACTTGCGGTAAACGAACAGAAGAGGAGACCAAAAGAGCAATCTGCAAATTTAAACAGCTTCCCTCCTCCCCATTGCTTGATGTTATAAGCATGTTTGCACGTGAACTTATGCAACTATAGATCTCTGCTTGCATAATTTTGAAAACTGCTATTTCCAGCACAGCCAGCAGATGAGAACTGACTAGTAACTTTGCAGTGCAGGAACTTCATAAGGCTGCAACATTTTTAACTTTTACACATGAGCAAATGCATACAACAAGATTTTGCTCATAAGCAAACTGACCGCTTGCTTCATTTTTCATTTTTCTGGTTGACAAACTTGTTCCATTTTTAAAAAGTACTATTGAATAGTCTATAATGCATTCTAGATTTAGAATATGAATATGTATATCTGTATTATGTATTGCTAAGAATGTATCCTGGCATCATTGTGCTGCAGTTAGATCTGCAAAATTAGTTAGCTAACCAAATGAATGTCATTTTGTTGATCAAAATAGCAATGCTGATCAATCAGGCTACTTCCCTTCCTCCTAAAAAATCCCACCCTATAACTTGAAGGAAAGTATGTGGGAGCTTTGACTACCAATCTGGAGGGAGCACAGCAATTTTGAATCTGAATTTATTTATTTTTTGATATTTCAAACTCATCCTTCACCTACTGGTTCCAGGGTGAGAACACAACAGTAAAACAGGTCAAGAAAACAATAAACACATATACCTAATAATTGAAACACCATAAAACTTCTTTAAAATACAGAAGATCAAGTAGCAACAGGAGACAATCAGATTCTAACTGACTGGTTCATTTCAGGTCTCACTACCTTCCAAAGGCCTTGACAAAGACCTGGGGTAGATTTCCATTCAAAGTAGGGTTGGGTGACTCTCAAATTTTGCTTTAAAAACACATGAAAATTAATCAGCACTTTAGTGCTACAATATTTTCTCCTAATGTACACATTTTGTATGTGACTTTTTCCTAACATCCACAGTTTTGAAAAACAATTTCCCCAAATAGTGTTATGAATATGAGTCACACTGAGCCTTGGGCTCAGCAAGATTTCCATCCCATATTTTCATCCAGCATGGGCACAGGATCAATATCAGAATCTTGCCATGCCATTAAAAACCCCCACAAACTGTAATTAATCTTAACTATCGTATGTTAATACAGTACAAGGTAACTTCAAACCATAGTTTATGAAGGCTTGTTTCAACTAGCTATAGCTACAACAAATCACAGTTTAGGGTTTCGATGACATGTGGCTAATAATAAAGAACTCAAAGCTTTTGAGCTCCTCCACGCAGTCACAGCAAGGTATACCAGCCCAAGCTCTGTGAAACTTGTTCTCATAAAAGCTAAAATATGGTTTGGCGTTAGTTCCAAACCAACCCATTGACTGAGTCAAGGACTGTAAGTGCTCCAGTGTTCTTTGCTAACTGGAACCTTCCTGCAGAAACACAACTGATCTCACTATTTCAAATGTTGGGACATACAAGCATGTACATGTTACTCACAGATAAATCATTAACATGTGAGGAGAGCAGCCACATTTTGAGACCCTTCCCAAACATCACCTCTTCCCTCCCCCTCAAAAAACCAACTTAATGGTTGAAAAGACCAACATGTCTCCATCTGGGTAAGACTGAGCCACTGATATGGTTGAAGGAAACATTCTAGCCATGCAAACAGCACTTGAGAAGGGTGGCGAATACCTGGGGATATTTCTGGGGGCAGCAGAAATGCATCTGAACCCAAGCCAGAATCTCCCCATCATGGCTTATACAGTGGTACCTTGGCTGTCAAACTTAAAACATTCCAGGAGTCCATTCAACTCCCGGAACTGTTCGAAAACCAAGGCGCGGCTTCCTATTGGCTGCAGGAGCTTCCTGCACTCAATCAGAAGCTGCATCAGACGTTTGACTTCCAAAAAACATTCGCAAGCCGGAACACTCACTTCTGGGTTTTCGGTTTTCGGGAGCCAGTTTGTTTGGGATCCAAGCCGTTCGACAACCAAGGTACCACTGTACTGCCAGTCAGCAGTTCTCTGTGATTTCATACAGAGATACACATGGCAGTTCTTATATTACCAAAGTGGAATATTTTTTTAAGAAGGTGGTGTTGCTTAGGAAACAACACCTGAGAGGATTGTTGTGGGGAGAATTGTGGTGTGCCACCTTGCATTCCTTCTAGGTGAGGTAGGGATACAAATATGATGACTACACACAGTCAACTGCTGATATGCACCAGATGCTACTATAGAAAATATTAGATCAGCGGAACTTTAAAAAAAAAAATATTCTCAGTTAGATATACAGCAGAGTAATGAATAAAGTCATTCCTTTTTTCCCAACAGTGTTTTAGAATTTGCAAACCTTTCAATAAACCTGAACATCTGTTTACCAGTGGCACCCTGGGATCCCTTCTATTAAGCTTCAAACACAATCCTTCAAACCACAAGAAATTGCTGTTTTCACACAATATAATTCCATTTACAATTCCTAATCTAGGTGTCAGTCGAACAGAGAAAAATCTAGGGATGTGCAGAGTATAAACAAGGTCAGCAGGAACATCCCTGAGGAGATACAATTTCTAGAAGTATTAGTGTGAGTCGCCATGGCAAGGAGCAGCGCAGCAGGGTGGGAAACGTGTGGAAGATTTTGGAGAGAGAGAAAAGTGATGTTGGGAAAAGCCAGGCATGGCAGGAAAACTCACACAAATCCATTAATACATATAAGCACAACAACGGTAGTTCATCAGCTTAGCATTTCATTACCATCGATACTATTGGCACATTAAATGGAACACACGATGAAAACATTGTGGTTTTTGGACACTTACAGTCCCCCCCCTTAAAAATCTATTTAATCTCCAAGAACAAATTCTTTAAAAGGATAAAAATCCAAATTTATTTCTTTGTTTCTTTGTCTTTGGGATACGATTAAGTCAGAAATAATATTCAAAGAGTTAAATCCTACTATGCATGTCTACAAATTGGGACTTACATAGTTATGTGTAAGATTGCACTGTTAGTGAAAGGAGCATGGTTTGAATACACACTTGCTGCTTTGAAGACAAATGACTTGAGCATTGTTATATTTCTTACTTAAAGAGAATAGGCAAGAACACAACACTTACACAGTGGACACACATGATGTGCGGAAGAAATGAGGAGGCTCGTCATTGCAGCAAGTCCTTCCCCCAACCAACATGTGCTCACTTGGCTATTTGTGAAATCCTTATGTGTGCTCAAACTGTATGTTCATAGGATTTGTATGTGTATATTTCTGCTACACAATGTTGTCTCCTTTCATCCATAAGTGGAGGTGAGGAAAGTGTGTGTGTGTGTGTGTGTGTGTGTGTGTGTGTGTGAGAGAGAGAGAGAGAGAGAGAGAGAGAGATAGGTTTGTTCCACAAATGTGAGGACTCTCAAATCTATGCAGCCAAGGGAAAACATCCTGTGCCAAATATTCTCTACACTGAGGGTAATCAATGTGATGTCCTACAGATGGTTTGTGACCCTGAATGCATCCCAAGTGCTCTCATGACCACCAGGCATTCACCAACTTTTCTGCACCGGGGCTACAGATTCATCCACCCATCCATCCATCCATCCATTTGAATATTGACTTCCAATGCATATATGTGATCAGGAGCTGCCCAGAGAACTCCTGCTACAGGGCAGCTACATAAACACAGTTAAATAAATAAATATGCTCTATTTAAATATATCAAAAGTGGACAAGTAGATAAAAATAAATGCTGGCAGTTTGCCTGACTGTTTTCCCAGTTGTGCAGGCACACAACCTATGTGCGTATGTCATGTACACATATGACACAGACCCCCGCCTTTCATGTGCTCAGCATACCCAGGGGCCAAATGAACAGGCTTTTATTTTACAATCACCTTTCTATCAACTGCCGCCAAATGGATAAGAGTCTTTGAGTCTCAGTGAAATTTGATTAGGAGCCCCTCAAACTTTTGAGTTGGTCACTCTGCTCTACAGCTTATCGCTTTGGCATTTCCCCATCTCCCAACCTTCAACGCAAACCCTTGCTCTGATCTTTCCCATTAAGGGAATTTTATTGATTGATGGATTGAAATGATTCTTACACCACTCCTCATTTACAAAGAAATACTAAACTGGTTCACATCATAGCAACACAGCACTGTTGGTATCTGGCTCTGATCTCAACAGGGACATGCACCACCAACAAAGAAGGCCCTCCTCTGGATGCCCAGCAGATGAACATAAAAAGATCCCTGCTGGATCCGGCCAAAGGTTCATCTAGTTCAGCATCCTCTTCTCACAAAGGGCTGCCAGATGCTCATGGAAAGTCTGCAAACAGGACCCAAGTGCAGAAGCTGGGATGAACCTCTGCAGGTTATTTGAAAGAATAATGGAAGAATATTCAACCCAGTTGGCAACACCTGTACTCTTCTCCCCCTAAACTGAGTAATCCAATTATTTAAAAAAAGGCAGTGCCAACTTGATCCTGTTTGTTCATTTATGAAGTTTTTACACCACTTAATTTAATAATTTAAAAACCTTAAGTGGTTTCCATAAGCAATTTACCAATGTCCCCAAGTTAAATTAAGCCAACAGAGCAAGCGTACCTTTTCTCTTGCCTTCTCTTTCCCAGCAACCTGTTGAGCCTGACCCAATTCTAGGAGTTGACTCAGAATTTGGGAAATTACTAGATAAACAAAAACAAAAAAAAACCTCACCCTGTCACAAAGATTCGGAAAGAGCCATCAATAGCACACTCTTGGAATCTTGTTTAGCCTTGCATTTACAGCATCTACCTAGATGTTGATGTCCACCTCAACTACTGCTTCCTCATATCTCATAACCAAAGGTGGGTTACTCAGTTGCCACTCTCCATGCTATCCCAGAGTAATAAGAACACAAGAAGAGGTCTGCTAGGTCAGCCAAAAGGCCTATCCAGTTCAGGATCCTGATTTCCACATTAATTAACCAGATGCCTCTGGGAAACCCTCAAGGAGGAGGAGCTCCTTTGAACTGACCTGTCTGGGTGTTAATGGCACTGCCACCTCTATGGTTTTTGAAGGGCAGGGGAATATAAGAGAGCTGGTTCTATGGTGGTTCCCTGGCTTTGGAATGACCTTCCCTCTGAAGTGAATTGTATGCCATTGTTGCACACACTTTTTTCTCATTTCCTTGAAAAAAGCCATCTATGTAGGTAGCAGATGCCATATCCTGAGCAGCAACTTCCAGAAGTTAACTCTGCCCTGTGTAAATACATCCTTGTGTCTGTCTTGAATGCTCCCTTATTCCACTTTGTTGGATCATCCCAGGTTCAAGCGTTATATGAGAGAGGAATAATGCCTTCTCTTTCTCCAAGCCACGCATCATTTTATAAACCTCCATGTCCCTCACCCCAAATCATGAGAGAGAGAGAGAGAGAGAGAGAGAGAGAGAGAGAGAGAGAGAATGCATTTATCTAACCACTTTAGGTCACTACAAAATATGTATGGCTGACTCACAGCTTTTGCGCCTTTAACATGCTCTATTGCAGATTTACGTGGTTGGAGTCTGGCCAGCTGACATGGCACAAATTAAATGCATGCAAGGCACAGGAAGATCTTTTAGGCTCTTCACCTTGCTTACTGGGCTCAGGGAAGCTCTCACAGGGTCACCCCTCTTGCCCATGAGCCTTCCACAGTCTGCACGAGAGCTTCCAAAAGCCCAATAAGCAAAGCGGAGACCTTAAAAGCTCTCCACCTTGGGGTGAGGTAGCAGCAGCAAGGCATGCTCAGTGTACCAGCTTCAGAAAGGGAGGGGTCCCTGCAGGGGGCAATTTCAGGGTTCTTTTGACTATACATGATTTCGGCTTTATGCACCACCCCTGAAACATAACCACTGTGCAAGTTGCGAGTCAGCTATATGGATTTTGCATGAATCCAATGGAAAAGCAATTACCACTGTAGGAGTTTGTTGTCCTTTGTGCATTCTCCCCTCACACAAAATGATAGAATGCAAGGTGTCTCACCTCTGTCCCACCTTGTATTTTCCTGGTTTCCCTCCACACACTGCTTTTCACTAAACTTGATTTAGGTATGAAATAGCCAAGAAGCTTCTATCCAGCATGCCTGAGGATAGGCCAGCTACTGTCATGCAAACCCAGTGGGTTTTATGCAACTAAGTCCAACAGAGAGCAGACCCACTGAAATGAATGAACCCAAGTTAGTCGTGTCCATTAATGTCAATGAGTCTACTTTGAGTAGGACTAGCATTGAATACCACCCTGTATATCCCAAAAAGGAGTCAGAGGAGAGCCTCGGTAGGAGGGAAGGATATATGAAAAGACAAGACACAGAAAAATGAGCTGTAACTCTTGCACGCCAAAGCCACAAAAATGATTCCCAGGCCAGCAGTAGTGCAGACAAACTCTTTGAACATGATAGAACGGAAGTTACTCACATCAAATCACTTATAAACTGTATTTTGAAACAGTAACATCTTCCCAACAAAACCATTGCGGTTCAGCTCCTATCTTCCCCACATACCTTAGAGGTTATTCTAAGCAGCCAGGAAAGCATTTTAGCCAGTATAACTTATGTTTTAAGAAACCTTGGTTGCAGATCTCCAACTAATTTCTTAGTAGCAGACCTGATGGCCTTCATGGATCAATGCCAAAATGAGTAGCTTGAGAATTACAACCTGTGGATGCTTGCAGTTTTAAAATCAATTATTCAATGAAGATTACATCTCTATGCTCCCCATACACATCCCCTCCAGCAGTTATTCAGTTCATTTCCAAATGAGTTTTTTAACTAATAAAAGAACTAATATTCACACTTATACAAGTTTCGGTCATTACAAAGACTTTGGATCAAAAATATTCTTTTTTATTTGCCAGATACGCCCCTTAAGTGCCCTATTAAAATAAGAAATTCATCAGTTTAATTAAAATGATAGGCATTTTTAAAATGACGTGCTAAGTAAATGGAAGGATGTGCAGAAATGAAGCTCTCCTTCAACATAATATTTATTCTGTCTCTCTTTCATGGTGGCATTGCCCCACAGCATCCAACAGAAATAATGTGAACTGGTTTTATATGCTTTCTTTGTAGCAGGTGCCAATTTTTAATGTACGTTCAATTTTAACCTAGGCATCCTATGTTGTACAACTCCTGAGCTGGCTTCCTGGATGGAATAACAGCTTCCCCTATGGCATTGTATAAAGGTGGAATAACACCATGCATTGCTGAGTCATGCAAAAGCTACAACAACAGCAAGCTTCCAGCACAGGACTCTCAGGTCTATCATGGCTCATCCATCATTGAAATGTTGCATAAGGTGTTAGAACACTCATTTCAAGAACATGTGCCTGAATTAGATAATGGGGTTCTGCTGGAGTTATAAAAGAAATGAACCCTGCTAAAGGATCACAGATTTTGTGCAGACAGTTGGGGTGCAAGAAGTCCTCTGAACTGTGGGAGGGTTGGTTGCAGCCACGAATTCCAAGGAAAATTCCCTCAGCACCGATTAAAGACACATTTATTTACTATTATGCTTTTTCCAAAACCTAAGCACTGATACTGAAAAAAGATTCGGAAGCTTACTGCTGGTCCAAACCAAGCCCTGAAAAACAAAGCCAGAGGTTGGTTTGTTTGTTTTTTAAGGGGGAGGGAAGAAACTGTCACTGAGTTTTAAACATAAGCATACAAACAAATGGCCAGACACCAAGATCACACTTTATTGGTCTAGGATTATGCCTGCAATAGTCAGGTGTCTCACTCTGGCTCACATAGAAACTGAAAACCCAAACTTATTTCCAGCTCAGCTCTTTTGCATCTAGGCATAATCATTCAATCTTTGAACCTTCTCCTCTGATGCTCAAGGAGGTGCTGCCTCTCACCCCCAGGTATTCTCTTTATTATTAGGCTATTAGGAGAACAAAGTGGCATTTCAATACTACAGGGACTCAGCTAGATTGGCAAAGAGAAAGCGTTTTATATGTGTTGTATATGCGATATAACAATGTGACACCAGAAGGTGCTGTGGAGTCCTGTCTTTCCCTACTGGATTTCCTGTACAGTATGAGTTTACAACACGTTTAGCTGAATCACCCCCTTCATGGATCACTACCTTGTTGTGGCAAAGGGGCTTGGATAACTCCAAGAAGCTCTGAGCTATGCCGTGCAGGGCCACCCAAGATGGACAGGTCATAGCCGAGAGTTTAGACTAAATGTGATCCACCTGGAGGAGGAACCGGCAAGCCACTCCAGTATTTTGCCAAGAAAACTCCATGGACATAAAAACGGAGAAGATTTGAGAAGAAAGTGAGAGTTCCCAAGGCATGCTCTGGTTCATGGGGTCAGGTTACACACGACTAAGATGACTAAACAAAAAGCTGAGTCACATCTTGGACACGTCTAGATCCAGACCAGGTCAGTAAGTTTAACTGCCCCTTTACGAGTGCAGCTCTCATTTCCCAAAGCAAAGACTGCTTTGTCACAAAAATTGGGCCTTTAGGAAGGCTTCTGAATCAAGTGCACAAGTCCTTCAAGTGGTATGGGAATATGGGTGTCTTGGTTTGTCTTGCAAGATATAATGATTATGATGATGGTGGTGGTGATAATATCATCTTCCCTTTATTTCTGCTCTCCTTCGGGAAATATTCTGGTATGGTTTGCACTGCCTGCTTATTTCCAAAGATCCTCTTCAACAGCAAGAATGCTGCACTACCAGGACTGTCCTCGCTGAGAAGCCCTGAAGGTCATATAACTGCTGGCAATGAATGTACGCATTCAACAAAAGAAAGCTGTATTCTTTCTGCCTCTAGCTCTTTTCCACTACTAAGGTCTCCTAAAGTTTGCATGTCTAGCCAACAGGTCAAATTTCTGAGGGCTCTGGGCAGTTATCACCAAATTCATTATTATCCCTCAGATTTCAATGCCTGACATACAGTTGGTGCAATCACTGCAGTATCTTTTTAAAACACACACACACACTTCTCCCAATATATTAGCTGCAGAATCAAAGCTGTAAAAATAGGGGCTTTTTTGCAAGTCCAAAATTTTCTAAACTCATTCTCCCCTGCCACCTTTTTTTTTTTAATGTTTTGAATGATAGGGTCAAAATTGTATAGATTTGCCTCTTGTACTAGTGTTTCTTTTACTAAACTTATCATCCTGCAAATCCTCTCACCCAAGTAATCCTTCAACGTGCTTACATCAGTGTGCTTACTGTAAATGAGTAGCTGAATGTTTGAATCCTACATGGTTAATTTAAAAGGCCTTACTACAAAGACATTTTTGTAAAGACCATAACATATAATAAAATCTTGTACATACATGCTCAGATCCCAGTTATGAAAAGTGTTTTCCAATATGATAAAAGTGGTGCCAGCTTACTTGGGTTCTTTCCTTTAAGTGTGGGAGGTCACAAACTACACATCAAGGCTGTTATAAATGAAGTTCTTCTCTTGCACATCAAACTACTTTATTTATATGCATCTGTTTTTCTAACTGTACCCCTAACCATAATAGAAGAGTTAAACTTCCACATTACGATATACTCACATATTTGTATATATAAGCATGTTCATATCTTGCATATGTCCTATAATGAATTTTAAGGATTAAAAATCATAATAATAACAAAACTGGTGATCTTCTGTGTAAGTCATACCAGTTGCTCAAAAACTTTATTTTTAAAGCCGCTCATAAATGCACAGGTATCAGTGAGTTCAGTGGGACTTACTCCCATCAAGCATGCTTAGCATTAGAGCCTTAGGTTGCAATACGAAGCATGCTTGCTACGAACTAGGTCCTACTGAGCTTAGTACTGAACTCAGCAGGACTTACTTCCAAGAAAAGACGTTTGGAATCAAGCTGAAAATCTGACCTGAAATATTTAACACAAATTGAAGCAGAAGCTATTCGCTTATCCACCTTGTTTCTCTCACCCCCCTTTTTTTTCTTCAAAAAGCCATTGGGTGAAAATGTGGTGGGAACAATAGGGCATACTACAGAAGCAAGATGAAAGGTATAAAACAATGGTTGACGTAGAATGATGTAGTGGCTGATTACATCACACTCTGAAGCCACCTAGAGGTCATTCAGTACAATCCCCCCTCTCCCCGGGTCAAAAGGAGGCACCTACTAACATCAACCTACATCCACACCTCAGGTGAAACATCCTCTGGTTTAATCCATTTCATTCGCACTCTGTTGCATGACACAAAGGGAGCAGGGGGAAATCAGGTGTGCTTGACTATCACCACCAGATTAGTTTCTACTTGCCTTGAGTGTGGAATGTTACTTTTTCTAAAGTGGGGAGAGGGGGGGAAAGGCACTTCCTCTTCTTGCTTGAAGCCTCGTCTACTCTGATCTCTCCGAAGGAATCAGACATTTGTTTTTGCCCTTCTCGGCTTAGATTAACATCTAACACTGTTCAGCAAGAAGAGAACAGATCTTTCGGCAAATGGCCCCCACCCTCCATTTTTTCCAATGACAAAAATAAAAATATCGCTCTCAGCCTGACCACATCCCTGAAACTGAATTCCAGCTCACAAGAAGGCTGAGAGTGTGGTGGTGGCTGATGGATGCTTCTCTGCTAAGTCAAAACAGTGCCACAGGCCACCGTGAGGAACTCCTGAGCTCAGCCATATGACCCAGAGCACCAAAGCTAACTGCCTCCTTCCTCAGATTAATGGGATGAGATCTATCATGTCAGCTTTGCTGGAATCTGGAATGTTAACATTAACATTACATTAAAAATAAACTTTCCTTTTCCAAAAGACTCAAGTTCTAGTCTAGGAGTGAGATCCGGCTGGCATTGCCGTTTAAAGTTTTTATTTTTAAAGCAAATCCCTTGTCCTCATTACATTATATTGCAACCAACTTTTGGGAGGGCTTGTGAGTGCTCATTTAGTTCTAAGCAGATTCAGACACCTGGAAGTTTGCAGCATACAGCCTAACTCTGCAAACTTTGTACCCTGGTTGGGTACAAACCAGGCAATTAAGGGCCAACCACCAAACAGCCAAAGTTTGTAGGACTTTTACTTTCCAGTACTACAGTACTACAAAGACTGTCAGAGATCAATCTACCCTGCAAATAGGTATTAAATCTTTCAGGGTGCCTAAGATCTCAGGTTCCCAAAATTAAGTGCTAAGTGTCACATAAAATACAGAGCCTCCCTGTTTCATTCTTCTTGAGCAACCAATGGACCGATCTACCAAAATGAATTTTCCTGATTCCCCCCTCCCACCTTATTTCCTTTCTTGCATCCACTGCATCCTTTCCCCTATTAGATACACATGAAAGACCTAAAATGGAATGAGCCAAGAGAGCAGCAGGTACCGAAGGAAGTTGGCAGGAAAGTAAGCACAGCTTTGCGATAAGGGGGTGGGGAAAGGAAAGAACCAGTTATGTGAAAACGTTAAACAAAACCAAGTGTCATATGCACAAAGTAGACACAACTTCTGCACACTACCCATTCCCTTCAAGTCACACTTTAAGCAGCTTATTGTAATTAGCAATAAAAAAATAAAAATAAATCCCAGAGCAATTATTTTCTGGTTCCTTTCTCTGCAAACACCTTCTGCCTCATATGTAAGATACACTACCCGCCACTTGGGCGCAACTTGGGAAGCAGTAATGGAAGAGGGTTCTAATAAGCGCACAGAGCCATGTATTAAGCAAGGCTGGGCAAGGAGAGAGAAATGGAAGTGTATTGGTGGTGACAGATGCAAGTGTACGTGGAAGGGATGCGCACAGAACGGGAGGTTTGAATGAAGTTGCTGCAAGCCAGAAATAAGCAGCAGCATGTCTCTCTCCCAGCAAAATTTCAGCGGGGACAGGTTCCGTGCGCCTGCTTGCCAACCTGCTTATCTCGTGTGTGCATTATTCACACCATCTGTAATACATCATCTATTAATAGTGCCCTATCAGTGCAGCAAGGAACTTTCCCTCGAAATTGCACAAAGGACAGTGCAGATAAGGAGGAAGGAACAGATAAGGGCAGCGTCTCGCTGCGCGAAACTCGGGAACAGCGCTGTCGTGGGGAAGGCGCCTTGGCGAGCAACGGACGCAGTGCCTCTGGGTCAGAGCAACCTGGCAGAGGGCTAGCTCATCATCAGCACATCCCAAGTGCTATAGGTCGATGCCCATCTGCTGGGAACCCAGATACGACTTCCATGTCTGTGCCACCCGAATCCACGTGCAGGAAGTTAAGAGCTCCTGCTACACTCCGGAGACTCAGACGCCTGTCAGCTCAGCATTCAGCGTGCACTCCGACAGCCCCGGGCAGGTCTCTCTCAGTTGAGACAAGTGCCCGAGGAAGGAAGGCAGCGCTACTCCGGCCTAAGAGCGGGTTCTCCGAGTTCCCTGAGCAATTGCTCTTTTCTGAGTCATCCGGAGAGGAGACCATCTCCCCGCCGCCGCCACCTATCCGTGCAAAAATATATACCACAAGAGCGCATAACTTCCCCCGCGCGATACTCACTTGTGCCTTCTTCATAAGGAAAGAGAGCGCTGCAATCCAGCCCCAGCAGCGGCGTGCAAACTCCGTTTAGCTGATGTGTAGCTCCTGCATGTTGCAAAGGCACCTAGTCCGCGCATTGGGCTTGCCCGGCGCCCTCGGTGGCTGCGCGTCTCCGCTCGCTCGCTTTCTCTTTTGCCCCCAGGCACGCAGGCGGCGGCGGCGGCGGCGCTGCTTGGCTCTGCACGGCCTCGGTGCTCTCGCAGCAAGCAGAGGCGGGGAGTGAAGCCCAAGCCGTCCTCTGAGCAGGGCTTTTATAGCTCCGAGCTGCCTCCCGCAGCAGCAGCAGCAATCCTGACAAGGAGGACACGCCTTTCTTGCGAGGCTTTCTTTGCCAGGGCGGGGGAAGCCCTGGGGAACTTCAGAGAGATGGAGCTCTCAAGAGCAGAATCAGGCCACCAGGCTACAAGAGGGAGGCTTGCGCTGTCTGTCTGTCTGCCTGTCTGCCAGGCGGACAGAAAAGAAAGGAGGGAAGTTATGGAGACGGGAGGGAGAGGTGGATTAAAGAAGCCCACTGCACCCTCTGCGGGTTTCCTTCCACATCACCTTCCCTGTCAGCATAAGGGTCTGTCATATGTCATGAAGCAGTTGATTGACATTGATCAAGTGCTCTGGGCATTACAAGGCCCTTGATGGCACATACAGCAGTGTGTGTGTGTGTGTGTGTGTGTGTGTGTGTGTGTGTGTGTGTTATTATTCGCTCTGCTCCAATCTGAGACTTGCCATAAAATCTGGAGAAGAGGAGGAAGAGGCCCAGAAGACATTAAGAGGCAATTACAAGATCCAAGGTGAATGCTTGGGTACATCTGATGAATCAATGGATTCAAAATACAAGGAAGGAGATTCTGACTAAACAGTAGGAAGAACTTGCTGTTGGAAGGTGGAATGGACTCCCTCAGAAGGTGGCAGACTCTCTTTCATTGGACGTTTTGAAGCCAAGGTTGGCTGTCTATCTGTCAGGGATGCTTTAGTTGTGATTCCTGCACTGTAGAGGGTTGGGGTAGATGACCCTTGGGATCCTTCCAACTCTACAATTCTATGATTCTGTTATGTCATAATAAAAGGTCAGTCTTGCAGGTGCCACAAGACTGTATTTCTCCCCTTTTTTTGCCACAACAGCCTCTGAAAATTATCGCCATACATACACAGTGGAGGCAAATGTGGCCCTGCCCTACCAACTTCAGGCTGCCCTCATCCAGCTCCCGCCTGCCTGTCTTCTTACTGGCATCCAGTCCAGCAAATAACACTGGCTATCAGTTTTCTCCTCCTCGGTCTCAGTGTTGCCCTTGCAGAACTCAGTAACAGGGAGGATGGGGACAAAACTGGAATTGTTTGGCTCTGCTCATCATTGGCCCAGGCTCCACCTACTGTTGGCATACCTGACTCCCACCCTGCCAGCCCTGATGGTCACCAGCTGCCACTGGGCAGACTTTTAAGACAATTCAACTCACATGCACTGCTCCAGAGTCAGGTAGGTAGCCGTGTTGGTCTGATGCAGTCGATATATGTATATATATGTATATATGTGGGGGGGTATATGTGTGTGTGTGTGTATCAAACATATCCATTCTTAAGGAAATCAGCCCTGAGTGCTCACTGGAAGGACAGATCCTGAAGCTGAGACTCCAATACTTTGGCCACCTCATGAGAAGAGAAGACTCCCGGGAAAAGACCCTGATGTTGGGAAAGATGGAGGGCACAAGGAGAAGGGGACGACAGAGGACGAGATGGTTGGATAGTGTTCTCGAAGCTACCAGCATGAGTTTGACCAAACTGCGGGAAGCAGTGGAAGACAGGAGTGCCTGGCGTGCTCTGGTCCATGGGGTCACAAAGAGTAGGACACGACTAAACAACAACAACAACAAAACAACAACATATATATATACGTATATAATGTCCAGTAGCACCTTAGAGACCAACTAAGTTTGTTATTGGTATGAGCTTTCGTGTGCATGCACACTTTTTCAGAGACACTGAAAGAGAAGTCACCAGACCCTTCTATATAGCAAAGTGTGGGGTTTTTCTCAGGAGGGTAGTAGGAGATGGGTGATTGACTCAATTGGTATGGTAAACCTGTTGACAACTGTTAATGACTGCAATTAGTCCTACAGGAAAAAGCAAGGGATAGTATGCAGATGATTAGCATATGTAATGAGACAGGAATCTAATGTCTCTATTAAGACCAGGTGTCTCCATAGTTTTCAGTTTAGTTGTAATTCAGCAACTTCTTTTTCAAGTGTTTCTGAAATTCTTTTGTAATAAGACAGCTGCTTTGAGATCCTGGTTGAATGTCCTGCTCCAATAAGGCCATTTTTACAGCTTTGTTGCCCCTACATGTGTACGGTTTATACTGGTGAAAAAATGCATTCCCCACCCCCATGGGAAGTAATTGGCTTTCTTTCCCACATTAACAGTATTGACTCATGTACAAAATCAGTAGCAGAGGCTCACATTCATTGTAAGAGCAATTTCACACGTCAGGCTTGATATATGGATGTAAAAATATGCATTGGCCAGAAGGCTCACTTCAATCTGTACAACAAAGAGTCCTCTTCCGCTTTCTCTTCCCTGTTAAAAATCTAAGCACCCTGTGAAAATGCTCTCAAGGGAGAGCAGTGCCTTAAGGATTCCGCCAACCACTTCCTTTTCTTTCAAGAGTGTTTGAGCAATGGGCATCCCTTTAAATACAGTCGTACCTTGGAAGTCGAATGGAATCTGTTCAACTTCCAAAATGTTCAGAAACCAAAGCACAGCTTCTGATTGGCTGCAGGAAGCTCCAATCGGAAGCCACATCAGACGTTCGGGTTCCAAAGAACGTTCACAAACCCACTCACTCACTTCCAGGTTTGCGGCGTTCAGGAGCCAAAACGTCTGAATACCAAGGCGCTCGGGACCAAGGTATGACTGTATACCCATTGAAATAAAGTCCTTAGTTTCAACGAATTTACTTTATGTGTGATTAATGGTGTTTTGAAGGTCATTGGCACACTTAAGATGGCAGATGGGTGGGCATCACCATCCCACAATACTTTGAGAGTGTCTGCCATTCTGAAAGGTGTATAACCCATTTTTAAGATTATTTAACCTGCAGCACTTACCATATCCTATAATGCCCTTGCCTAAGAGTGTTAAACAGTGTCCTGGGGCAGGAGGTGGATTAGGCACCCCTCCAAAAGAAAATTATAGCCTATGGACCCACTGATTTTGGGTGCAGCAAAACATTAACAAATAAATTTAACACTGTGCTGAAGTGGGAAGAGAGGTTTACATTTCTCCATGCAACCCAGCACTCTGAGGGAGAGGCAGATCATTTCCTCCCTAGTCACCAGATTCATCATTTTATGACAACCTCCTAGCTGATCTGCACAGGTTAGTTAAGGAGCGGGAACTGTGTACATGCCTGAGGGTATGTCTGCAAAAGTGGCAATGGCAGACCTTGGCACCTCAAATTTCCATGGCGCCCTGTGTAACACCAAAATCTGTCCCCCTACCTCTGGTCTTCTGTTGGACTTCATAGCTGCAGCACCAGCAGTGACACCTCAGAAGCTCTGTGCCCAGTGTGACTGATCTGGTGGGGCGCCCCTAGATTCACCTTTGTATGGGGTGGCCACTGCCCTTCAGAGGGTTGGCCAAGAGTGTATGCAGTCCATGGGCCAGAAAAGGTTAGCCACTTCTCCTTTAACTACTTTGTGAAGCTCATATAGAGGCATGCCCTACGCACATATTCCTTTGCAATTTTTACAGTGCAAACTTAAGGTTGTTAAGGAGAAACAGTTATGAGCTTGTTTTTTCCTGAGTGCATTAACTTGGAGTGCAGGGATGAGATATTCTGTAGCTGATATTCTGTAGCTGATTTCCCCCCAAAAAAGTATCACTGGGTTGAGCTTTAGAGAGGAAAGGAGGTCCACAACCACCTTGTTCAGCGATAAGAGAGGGAACTAATGTTTTGGAGTGGGGAAAAACATTTCCTCTAGAAAGAAAGAGCATGCCATAATTTGCTGAAGGTGACAAGACCTTTCTTTTTCTAATTCACATTTTACTCCCAGTCCTCCTTAAGGCAAGTATATAACACTGATTCTGCCTTTGAAGTGCAGACTGTGAGCATTATAAGCACACAATGTAATATTGCAATGTATCCCCAATCTCTAAAAAGAGTGCTCCTGTTCAGAGTCTCAGCTACCTTGGAACCAACAGCTAATCGACAAAGTAGTCATGTGTCCTACTTTACAGTAGACAGTCCACTGCTTCAGGGATGAGGAACATGCAGCCTCCTAGAGGTTGCCTCTCAGCTCTAGTCAGCAGTGCCAATGGACAAGGATGATGGGAGCTGCAGTCCAGCTATATCTGGAAAGTCACAGGTTCCCTACTCCTGATCCATTTGAAGGGCTATCCAATCAAGTTTGGTTTAAAGAATGGGGCAAAAGGTAGGTATAGATAAGCTCTCAAAGTCTTCTCCACTGTGGTGAGATGTATTGTGTTTCTGTTTAAATCACAATGATTATTTCCAAATTGGAGGGGATGTTGATTGCTTCCATGTCCCTCTGTTTTTTCCTCCCATCTTCAACTAATTTCACAAACCATGTTGCTCCGCCTCTCTCTCTAGCTACTTACTTTTACCCTAGTTCACATCACAGCCCCAAAACTCTACTTCAAACTCTGGCTTTCTCCATCTAACTATCTCTGAGTTGAGGGAGGGGGCGCGCCCATTTGTTGTCTCAAACAGAGTCCCCTTCCCTTTGTTCTCTTAATGGCCCATCACCCAGCCAATCAACTCAACACAGGGGCCAGGCTTATATTTTAACACTTGCTGAATCCAGGGGTTAGAAAGGTCTCAACTCTCCCCAGCAACTCATAACAATACTTTTATAATTGTATTCAAACTACAGTACAACCAGTTTATTACTGACCAAGTTATCATGAGGAGGGGGCGAGCACCCTCCATCCATCACACTACCTCAACTGTGCTGTCCCCACACATTCACATGCAGATGACAAATCCAAACACAGAACATGCATGCAATCTTATTTATGTAGGCTAACACTGTGTGGTCAATTGCTAAATAAAATATTGCCTGATGTACCTAGGATTTTATGTGCACAGGCTCTAAGTGGGATAGATATGCAGGGACAGTGCATTGCTCTGTACAGTAAACTAGAAATGGAATCACCCAAACTGGCCCTGAGTCTTTTACAAATCTTGTCTCTCTAGAGCAGCGGCTCTCAACCTGTGGGTCC